CAGAAACAAATATTAAGGTTGCAGAATTTTCATGTCAGAAAAAAAAAACTTTAAAGGTTAACAAATTTGTGTTAGAAGATAATAAATTCCTGAAAGGTTTGTAAAAGATTTTTGGTTCAGAATGAAATGTTCAAAGTTAAAACGAAAAAGGGTTTCGGCCTTAGGATGAACCAGTCAATGGTTCAAAGGTTCAATGGTTCAGCAACAGAAAAAGAAGTTTCATAAGCAAATCTTAAGCTTCAAAGTAGGCTTTGGAACCAGAATCAAATCTTTATAAACCTTCACCGTCGAACCGAATGCTTTTAGCGCTTCCCGAGGGGGATACATGAATCTCTTAGAAGCTGTATGGCAATGTGGTTTGGAATCCCAAGCCTGTTGCATGCCCGGCGAGGATCATCTCGCTAACTCGTGAGACAAAAGCCACTGGGGTCATGTGACTTCATCATGACAAAGCGAAACACTCATCCTCTAGCGACGAACAGCTCAGTCCTTGGCAACGCCACCGCTGTCTTGGTCTTAGGGCCCGTTCAGACACAGGGAATTCATACTAAACTTGTATAAAGAAACGTATAGAGAGTTGCTGTCTTGGTCTTAGAGACTGTTCAGACATGGGGGAAATTCATACAAAATTTGTATAAAGAAACGTATAGAGAGTTGCTGTCTTGGTCTTAGACACTGTTCAGACACGGCAAAACCTCATACGAAACGTTCAAGGAGTCGTCATATAGCGAAAGGGACGTTCACACTGGATAACAACATTGTTGATGAAGAGTGCTGTGTTGAGAAACGCTTTGAAGAGGTCAGTTATCAGAGACAGCTGGCCAATCTTCGGTGCGTTCACACTACAATCCAGCCTGGCTATAGTTTTCATAAGATTGATATGACGTATATCAGACCAGAACAGGAATGTGAATCTTTATCAAAACGATGCTCAAACAGTCAGATTCATCTTATAGCCTTACGTTTTTTGTGTGTAGCCATAGACGTTTCATGATCTTGTGGGTACAACACAGGACTGTGGATTACAAGGTCAGGGGTTTCAGTCCCACCTAGGCACTAATATCCTTTGGCAAGACAGTACCGGTACCTTGAATTTGCCACTCTCCACCCAGGTGTAGGAAATGGGTACCTTGTAGGAATTTATTCCTTGAATGCTTTTTAGTACCTAAGGGCAGCTGGGCTAAAGCCAGGGTAATACAATATTAATACTTTGTATTATTATACAATGAATTTTAGAAGTCTGAATGGGGTCTTAACCACAAGCTATTTCTTGCTCGGGTGATGGGATCAGGATTATGTAGAGAAATTGTTGGTATGAATACACATTGTAATGTACACTGACTACTGTCTCTTCTCGCTCATGTGGAGACACTTATGTTTTATGTTCCCTAGAGAAACATTCAAAATACATCCCAATGACTACCACTCCAATTAAAGATAACATGATACTTGAGTAGAATGTAAAGCACTTTGATCGTTTCCTTGAACCTAGAAAGGCGCCATGTAATAATTGAAGAAAAAAATAAAATAATGTCAGGCACATGAAAGAAGTAGATTGTGTAACAAATAAATAAAAATGATTACACTACACCCATCTCATTAACTATTGTACAACATCACACTTAAACAAATGATCTCTCTCTCTCTCTCTCTCTTCCTCTCTCTCTTCCTCTCTCACTCTCTCTCTCTCTCTCTCCTTTTCTCTCCTCTCTCTCCTCTTTCCTCTCTCCTTTTCTCTCCTCTCTCTCTCCTCTCTCCCTGTTCTCTCCCCCTTCTCTCTCTCCGTTATTAACACTTCTTCTTGTCTCTACTTATCAGTTTTTCTCTTACTATCTCTCTGACTCTGTCTCTCCTGCTCTTTTTCCTTGTGCCCATCTGTATTCATTTCTGCCTCCCCCTCTCCCCCTCTCCCCCTCTCTACCCCTCTCTCCCCCTCTCTCCCCCTCTCTCTCTATCCTGACCCCTTTTCATTTCTCCTTCTCTCTTTTCTCCTTCTCTCTTTTCTGCTTTCCTCTCTCTGCTCTCTTCTCTTTTCTCCTTTCTTTACTCTCTTTCTCTCTCTCTCTCTCCCTCTCTCTCTCCCTCTCTCTCTCTCTCCCTCTTTCTCCTTCTCTTCTCTTCTCTCGTACTTTCTCACCGAAGTATTGATCTGTGACTGGGGTCCCCCAGTCAGCTCCTATTGATTTCAGTTAGCATGCAAATATTAGTGGCGATGAAAGACGCCGGTCCGCTAATTGTTTTCTGTTACTTAACCCATTATCATCAGCTACACTGCCCTCGTCTGGTTGTGATGTGTCAAGGTGCAAATCATGCGTCACAGGAACTAAATTTTGACCTCAACTACGTGTTTTCTTCCCAAAATATTAATTTTTGGTTTTCCGCATTTGATGCTCCAATTTAGTCATATCAGATTTTGTGAGTTATAGCAAACAGAGGAAGTTTTGATTGAAGATTTTTACCATGATAGTTAATTAGTTGTGTTTTGGAGATGATATATCCATCTTTAACAATTACAACAGAATAGTTTACTCCTGAACAAGATGGATTGGAAGTGAGTTTAGTTTAAAATGGTTATCATACACACGTTCTTTGGGAAATCTTGACAAAGTAGGAATAACTCTAAATAATGAATGAAATGAGAATAATATATTTTAGGCATTTGATATGAGATATGATTATGTGATAGTCTTATGCTTTGTAGATAACTTGTAATGCAATTTGAATGATTTAATATTTCAATACCCCAAACTACTTTCTTATGCTTGCAAATTAAAATTAAAGATCCATGGTCAAAATTGGGTATTGATGAATTGACCTCAATAGAACTGATTGAAAATGGTTCTTCAATTTTGGGACCACTTTGTCAGCGGGTCTTAATTACTGTAATGAGAAGTTTGTTCTTGACCTGTTGTAAGACAGAATGGGTGGGGGAGGGGGGGGGGGGAGTTCTGGAATTGGAAAGACAGTATGGAACCGTTAAAGAGAGAAAGAGGTCGATTAGCTGAAGGGGGGAGGGGGGAGTGATCTTGAGGGCTGAAGAGGGCTGAAGAAGTAAAACATTCTGATTAAGTAAGTTTTAGATGTGAAAGAAAACATACTTAACTTTAGTTAGTAAAAATTTATAACAGAATTCACAAGCAAATTGATCGAAATGAATACAAAGCTGATGGGAGGGTAAGAGAGAGATGAATAGAGAAAGAAAGAGAGACGGACAGACTCAGATGGGGGGGGGGGGGGGGGGGGGGGAGTAGGAGAGTCAGAGAGCAATTTGATTGAGTGGACTCGGCAGAAAATGAAAATTATTGATTCTTGACCAAAATAGCAATATCTTTGTTTGATCTCCATTTCATTTTCCTTTTCCTTTCCCTAATTATGTGGCTACTACCAAACAGGGGATACATAACATATTCATCATGGGATCATCATCTCATATTCATGATGCTGAGGATAATGAGATTTTTATATCATCATCATAATCTCTATCATCTTTACCACCATCATCATTATCTTCACCATCATCTTCCCCATCATTATCATCATCATCACCATCATTATCATGACCATCAACATAACCTTCATCATGATTATAGACCACTATCTTTTTCATCTTATGTCATTAAAATGACAAATTGTAATAAATTAACACAGCTACTATTATTACCGATATGTTTACTCTTCACTAATTATCATCTTTAGATGAAAACATGTTTTTATTAAAGGGGCCGCTCTGTTTCTCATTGGCTTAACACCCGTTCTTTCACACAACGTATAATTGTTAAAGCTACAGACGATGCGAAAGAATAGCCAACTGTTTTCTTCGATAAAAGACGATAATGAGGTGGTAATTGACCCAACAGGTAAATTTAGCATTTCCTTAGCCCACCCCTTAATTAGTCAAGTCCATGGTTTAAATCCTGCTCGACTGTATCATTCATGGATGTACATTTAATGAGTAGGAAGGTCGGCAGGAAAGGGAAGATGGGGAGGGATGGGCGAGTAAGAGAGAGAGTGGGGGTGGGGTGGTAGAGAGAGAAAGAGAGAGGAAGGGTCGAAAGAGAGAAGGTGAGAAAGGAAGGGAGAAGGTGAGATAAAGAGAGATAAGGAGAGAGAGAGAGAGAGAGATAGAGGGGGAAGAGGGAGGGAGAGAGGGGAAGAGAGAAAGAGCAAGAGAGGAGAGGGGGGGGGGGGGGAAGAGAAAGGGCAGGCAGACAGACATATGGAATAAGTGACTGCATGAAAATGGAAAAATAGATTTAAAGATACCGTTAGCATAAAAACTAAATCTCAAAAGCAGGAGATAGATACCTAGAAAGATAAACAGATTCGGGTACTTTTGATAGCTAATTGGTTTGGTAATTAGAAAAGACAAATGCTTCCAAGAATGATACATTATGATAAACTTTGATAATTTGCAGAGAGCTATAAAATAGGGCTCTTTGTAAAATTACATGAATTAATGACGCTTTGACTATCATCTGAAGATCTCTGATTTCATTAAGGTTTTCATATTTCCAGCAGTTATGGGAACAATGAATATTAATTGACCATTCCCTTTAAAGCACCCTTTAGCATGAAACAGACAAACCATTAACCAAGCAGCGTAATAATGTTATGACCTGGGAATCGGGTGACTAATAAAACCCTGTGAATTAACTGTTGTCATTTTAATTCCGAACTGTTTAATGGCGAGTCCATCTGCATATATGCTAATCATCAGCGCTATTTGCACAGCTCTCCTGCTTGACGTTTAATTGCCAAAACTCGTTAGTGTTTTTAGCCTCACGATCAATAATTTGACCGTCGTCGTCTTCCATCCGATGCTGGAACATACACAGCAGAAGGGGAATGTAGGATAAGTGCAGATGTGCATTGTGAGAAAGGTCATCCAGAGCGCAGGACATGAGCTGTACATGCCTCTTATGTTTGGAGTTGTGCATAGGAACAGAGTCGTTATGATTCAGTTTGTGGGGGAAGGGGGAAATGGCTTATTACCCACAATGCATTGCCTAGTGCGTCTCAACAGGAAGGGGTATATGTGGGCAGCGAGTGCGTGATCTTGCTGGCAGGGGAAGACGAAAGCCAAACCAGTGTTTGTTGCGCAGGCGATCGGGACAACACACGTATCTCAAGTCCTGTAGCTCGATCCGCAAAGGCCTGACCCCCCGTCACGTGGCGTAACTAGTCGTTGAGGACAAACGGATGAACAGGTCATCATCACTTGAGGAAAGCAATCAGTTTTCATACAAACTGCAACTTGCAAGACAAAAGTGCATTGAATCTAAGACATCATCAAATATTCTCCTTCAACAACTTTCATTCCAGGAGGCTTGAAGGAAGAGCCCTTGCAAATCCTCACACGGTATTTGAACAAGCCAATATTTTGCCAAGAGCGACCTGTACATACCCTCAGCTGTGTAGCTGCTGATGACGATTTTCATCTTGGATCTATTACAGGCATCGTTGTCACTTGCTGTCCGCGCTCTGTCTGCGCATACATTCTCTCGAGTCCGGCTTTCAGCTCTGAAATCTGTCGCGGCGTATCCCGATTGATTCGCTAGATCTGGATCTGAAAATGCGACTGCCGACACAGAAGGCTTATTCAGCTTTTGAACAGAAGATGTAAGCTGGTATTGGTGCGTGAGCTAGTCTTTGTCCAAGACCTTCAGAGAGATTCATCGAGATAGAGAGGAGGAATTTGTGACTTGTGGTGTTTGAATCAAGACTTGGGAATGGATTTTTGCTTGAATACCTATGTCCTATTTTCATACCAACCAAGGCCGTTGGACATCTGAGATCCGTCTTCATCGCATTCTTGAAGTCTGTACATTGTGGCTTTCTCATCAAGCGAGGTCGCCGCCACTTGTCTTTTACCGCTGGCGACAGTTTTGACAGTAGAAACTGAACGGGATCGTTTCAGACCCTTCAGCTAGCACCCCATCCTCCCACGACAGCTGAGGAAGGGTCGCCTTAACACGATCAGCACAAGTTTAATGAAAACACAGAAGTAAAGCAGTAGTAAATCATGAAATAAATCATTGTTGTTCAGCCCAGAGAGATATTGACAAGCGTAATCGGAGAGAAAGAGCATTTGCGTGAATACCGTCATTGACATTAGCATAATTCTGTACCCATGCAAGACATGAGGATGGCCTAATTAAGTGCCTTTCTTTTCTCTTGTCAAATCAGTTGTGCCTTTTAAATGTCTGGATTTTTTTGTATGACAAATGGAAATATCACACCGTTCTTCCTGCACCAGTGCCTTACTCAGGATTACATATTTTGGAATACCGCCTAAGCTGCTGTAACAGTGTGTGGGATGGGATTGTTTCAATATCTGGATGGTGCATAGAGAGAACAAAACACATTAAATTTCACTTTGGATTGGATGCGTGAGCTAATAAAGTCTGATGCTGACAAAGCTTGCAACCTTTGTATCTGCTGCTGCGATTTTCCTTTGCTTCTTTGTAACCCTGCTTGAGTTCTTCACGCGGGAACTTTACTACTCAGTGCACCAAAAGATCAACGGCGTCGCGAGTGTCGTGAACATAAAAGCAACTAATACGGCTAGTGTCACAAACAACGAGAAACCAACAAACACTGCTCGTAGTGCAAACAACGAACCAGCAAGCACTGGTGGTACTGCAATCGACAAGAAATCAACAAACACTGCTGGTATCGTAATCAACAAGAAATCAACAAACTCTGCCGATATCGTAAATAACGAGAAATCGACAACCATGAATAAGATGACGTCGCTGGAGATCTCGCGGGCTAACACCCTGCTCCACCGTCAGCCCAAGCACCCTTTGCAGAAGATGAAGAACGGTCGGCCGTGCAGCTTTCCAACGACGCGCACCGAGCTCTACTCCATCTATAACAACCAGGGGGAGCGACAGACAGAGGAGCAGCGCATCCTGGACGAGATCTTCTCATGCCTACTGAAAGGCATCGTGGATGGATGTTACGATGAGGTGTGGTGAAATAAATTCAGATTTACGGGGTTCGTTGAGAGCTAGAAGGGCGCTAACTCGCTATGTTAATGCCCTTCTTGCACCCAATGCATGCAAACAAGAGGTTCTCCTTACCTTTGCTGGCATGTTTAACACAGCCATTATATTTGGATGGTCACTGAGAGCCAGAAGATTTTTTTACTTCTTACATGTGGAGTTCCACAGGGCTCTGTGGGTGGGCCTATCCTGTTCTCACTTCATTCAATTCGTCTGAAAAGTAATCTTTAACATAACTCTTTTAATATCATATTTCCAGATGATTTAATCACATTGTTTTTCCTTTGAAAGTTTGAGATTTAGGGCTATGCAGTGCTCCAACATGGCAATTTAATCCTGTTTAAATCTGAATGTGAACATGGCTAGGTGGGGTTTTCAGTATTCTAGTTAATGTAATCATATGATTAAGTTGTCATTAGCAGCAGATAATCTGAACATCTGTTGGGTTAATCATTCAGATGGCCTTAGTTAATAGCTCTGTGGTTGTGGTACAGTTTCTTTTTACAAGTGATGAAACTATTATGTCAACTTGTTTTTTTTTTTTTTTCATCAGTTATGATATTCATCATGGATTCATTGATAAAGAATGTTTAACTTTACAATTTTGACTCAAAGCCTATCTGCACTAGTTTGGCCAGGAGGGATTAGACCTCCCTGCATGGTCACTGACAGGTGGTTATCTCATCAAATCAGCTCTCAATTAACATAAGAAAAAGGGGACAATGGGGGACCAATGGCCACCGATTAGGCATTGTTTGCTATATAGAGGGCGCAAGTAGCTATAAGTAGTACAGTGGGGCTTTAAAGATTGTTACTCGGCCAGGAATAATTAAAAAATTGTAGGTACATGTAATTTTGTTAACAATTGATGCATAGTTTTTGACAGCTATTACTATGAGTAACCATTAGCTCATTAGGATTGACACTGTGCAGTGAGGGAGGAGGGGTAAAAATTAAGGTCTTGCTTCTGCATTACATCTATGTGATACATACCTTTCAGGACGAGGACACACTAATATCAGGAATTGTCATTTTTTTTTATTATTTAGCCATTAGGACATGTTAATTCAAAAGAAAAGGGGAAAAAACCATGGAGAGTACATGAATGTGACATTGTGACATTCTATCTGTCTATATATATCCACCTATCTATCTATCTTTCAGTCTATCTATCTATCTATCTGTATATCTGTATATCTATCTATCTGTCTATCTATCTTTCAGTCTATCTATCAATCTATCTGTCTATCTATCTGTCTATCTATCTTTCAGTCTATGTATCAATCGATCGATCTATCTAACAATATATCTGTCTATCTATCTTTCAGTCTATTTATCAGTCGATCTATCTATCTATCTATCTTTCAGTCTATTTATCAGTCGATCTATCCATCTATCTATAATGATGTCTTCTCCCAGCTCGGAGGCTGATTGCAACATTTTTTTTTGCACTTCTCTGCTTTCTGCCATCGTAGTACATTCTTGCAGTGTCATTCCACTCCATGTCTTAAGTTCCCTTCCCAGTTGGTTCTTGGCTTCTCTATTTGTCTAGTACCTTCTACTTTTCCTTTCAAGAAATCTGCAAGAGACTCTAATGCATACATGTATCAAATGCAAAATGTAGACAGTAATGTAAGAAACTCAAGAAAGGAATATCAAAACGTCTGTTTGGAGCCAGAAGGGCGCTAACTCACATGCTTCAACACAGAGTTAACGCCATTCTGGCTCTGAACGGACACAAGCTCAATTTCATGTTGGCAAAGGAGGAAGGCTACAGCTTTGTATAAATCATATGCTTTATAATCACCCAAGTAGGCGAGTGGCAATATGTTAGTGCATAAGTGCCTATGTAATATCTGGAGGTTACTATTATTAGGACTTATTGATCCCCACTAGCTGATTGTGAATTTCAAATGCTTGTAATGTACCATGCAATAAGTGTAATCTACGAGTACTTATGACCCAAGGTACCATTCATTAGAACATTAATGTATGAATGGGGGGCCCCCTTAATTATGTGCGCAATATTAATAGTCAAATGTGTAGGCTACATGAGTTGATTTCCGTAGGTGTTGAAAGGGATTTAATTAGTATATTTTTGTACAGTTTTACCTTGAAAATATTTGTTGAACTATAATTATGGAAACTGGTAGTTTAGAAGAGAAGTAGAAGGCAACATTGTGGCATTAGATTCACACTACAATAGCAAGTAAAGATATTTAACAAACTTAAAACAGGGACTTGGGATAAGTCCCTGCTTAAAACAGTAGCGAGGAATCTGTGTGATACTACAAAAGCTTCACAATACAAAATGAATACTAAAAAATCTACTGAATATACATATTATGGTACAGTATTTTTCTTTGAAGGAGATTGAATATCTATTTTCAATATGCTATATAGTCTTCCCACATTTCAATGTTAAGCAGTAACTCAGTGATTATATATGTTTTACAAAGCTAATGAAGTGATTTGATTATCATAATAGCAACAGATATATATTTTCATAAAAGAAGACAATTCCCATGGGGTAAGATTATAGCGCAAGGAAACACAGAACGTGGGACAATTCGCCGTCAAGAGTTGACCAAAACGTCAAGGGCATTTGCTGATCCAAATTTCCTCCTCTGTAAATATTTTCATGTTTTCTCACGATTCGTGAAAAAAAAAATGGTTAGTCATTCCTGAGACAAATTGTTTTCACAAAAATGCATTTAATGGAGGATTTTTCTATTTATAGAGGGAGGGAATTCGCACCAGAATATGTAATAATCAGAAGCCATTGGTTGTAAGGACAGAATGCATATAATCCAATTAAGAGCCAATGTCCCAGCTATTTGGTAGTTGTGTATGTGAGCCTAAGACTTGTTATGCATACTCAGTAGATCAATAATTAGCAATGACAGCTAAAATCCCCTTCATCTGTCCCACTTATAATAATGCTATGGTCACAAAGGTTCGTACGAACGATAATTTCGTACGAATCTCCGTTTTTCCATTGTCTTCCCAAATTTCCATTGTCTGAACATTGTTCGTACGGCATTCGTAGCAGTTTGTAATGTCATTTGTGACCGAGGCTTTAGCTGTTTTCCCTTTTATAAAAGTTCAAGTATTTCAAGACTATGCCTTTCTTGTGCTGTTTTTCGTTCTTTCTTATCTTATTTTATATTCATTTTATAATATTTTATTTCTGGATTAGTACTGTTCCTTTCTCCTTCTCTCTATTTCTGTCTGTCTTTCTCTCCCTCTGATGTTCTTTCTCTTGTTTCCCCTCACCCACTCACTCTCTCTTTCTTTCTCTTTTCAATATTTTCTATTTAATGGTCTCCCCTCCCCCTGTCTCTCATTCTCCCTAGCTTAATTTCTCCCATTCCCCTAGTTTCTTTCTCCTACGATATATCCCCGTCTCTCCCCTCTCATTCCTCCTCCTCCTCCTTCTCTCTCTCTCTCTCTCTCTCTCTCTCTCTCCATCTCTCTATCTCTCCCTCCTCCCTCTCTCTCCTCCTCCCTCTCTCCCTCTTCCCTCTCTCCCTCTTCCATCGCTCTCTCCCCCTTCCATCGCTCTCCCCCCCCTCTTCTATATCTCTCCCTCTCTCTCTCTCCCACTCTCCTCTCTCTCTCTCTTACTCTTCCACACACACATCTAAGCTTAAAAGGATTGTCTCGTTGTATTTGTACATCAGTAACTTTAATTAGCTTCATGAGTCTTGCCCGTCTCTCAGCGCTTCTAACAGTATTGAAAGAGAATTTGGGAACGTAAGACGATCTGCTGTGTCTAGATAGCAGCGCATCTGTCTACAAAGACCAACTCGAGACGTTCATTTCATGTAAATTACTAATGAATGGAATATACTCGTAGGAGTAGGTTTCATGTACATTACGAATGAACTGCTCCTCTTTAGTAGCTAGCTTTTTAATGTTGTTTCATATAGGTCTACATTACCAGCGACTGGATTAATATGCTGCTCTTTGGTAGTACATGTAGATTGTTTAGGCTTTGGATTAATATACATTACAAATAAAATGTATAGTTAATCAGTTTGGAGCCCGAGGGACATTAAGTCTGTGTTAAGGTATATGAGATAACGCCTATTTATTGCTCCATAAAAGATTATTTGAGAGCTTTTTGAGACTTCTGTTTCCTGTGTATTCCAAAGTAATGGTACATGTAGTAGGACTATGAGACGCTACTGTTGTTTACAATACAAATGAATGAAAATTTTAACAAATACATATATACCTTTCTGAGATTTGTTTCATGTACTATTAAGCTTCTCTTTATTGTCTTCAAGTGCCATGAATCAATGCGTACATTCAGAATTATGAAATATTCAAAGAATTTAAAGAATTTCAAAGAGTTTTAGTCCTTCAAAATACGAACATTCATCCATTTTCAATGCATTGTATGAAACACAAATATGAATTTGCAACCTTGCCAGAAATAGGAGGTTGGGAATGCTTGCACTTTTTAACTGGTGTTATTGGTCTATAGTAACTATGGCAACCAAAACAGCGATAATGCATTAATAAGCCAAGTTAGAGCGTAGGCGTTCTGACATGATAGAAGGTCACGTCCAGCCAGATATCCAAAGTTTCCTGGGCTTTGCGGGGGGAAGCCTGCAGACTTTTTGGCACAAATTCACAAATTCAATTAAAGTCTGGGATAAATATGACTTTAGCATGATCGTAACTTATGATTCTTCATAAGAATTTTGTTTAGGAATTTAATTGTATAGTGAGGATGCTCTTTTAAAATCTAAGGACGTTTGATTTTGAATTGACCATTATGTGAACTGTGTTGCTATCTCTTTTTAGGGTATAGAAAGAGCTTTACAAAATCATTAAAAATGGCAAAATATGAGATAGATCTGGCCTGGCATATATTGTATTTAGGCTTCTCATGTGAGAGGTACTTTTTTTTAAAGGTGCAACATGTTGATGATGACAAAAGCTAGGACCCCTATACCTAGGGTTTGCCATGGTTACTGCGTTACTAATTTTGTATGCAGTTATTATTTTGTGTAATGCTTTTTACAATGTTCATTATAATCTGTTTTTATGTCAACGATTTGTAAAAAAATCATGCAATTCAACCTTTGGGCTGCAATGTGATTTTTGAATAAATAAACCATTATATATATATATATAAGTTTTATCAAGTTAGTTTACAACTGGACTTCAATACAATGTTGATGATTATTACCCGTATCAGACATCTGAGCTGGTCATTCACAAAACCGTATTGCCCTAGTTTTCACTAGCAGTGGGAACGGAGGGGTATATTCTTTGTATTTTCCTTGGTCTCCCTGCGCGTATTGACTTTGCGTGTAGAGACGAGTGAAAATATACCTTGGTATTTTCCACGGTCTCGCATCCAGGCATCTCTTATTGACCGCGCCGTATTGTTTCATTTTCATTGCGCATCTATTATGCGTACGAGAACCTACGCACTTTGCGCGCACTCTATTGTGACGTAATAATCACACCAAATGCACACTGTTTGCAGTGTATCCAAAATTTTGTCAAGCACTGGATGCACAGTGCTGGTTTGACAAAGTTTGTTCAGTTCTTGAGATTGTCATGGTGGATTTCTGTATTTGCTCTAGATGTCTGATTTGGATAACAATAAAAATATTGACTGGCTTTACTTTCGGGGGATATCAGAAATATTGACCGCGCTAAGACCATATTGCCCTCGTCTTTCGACTCGGGGCAATATGATCTGAGCTTGGTCAATATATCTGATATACCCCTCAAGGCCAGTCAATATTATATAAATATGGGCCACATGTCTTTATGGTTAAACTTAAAGTTTGAGCATAAAAAGTGTTAAGCTTGATATCCCTGAATACATTTCTGCTCCATTTAACTATAAACCAATGAGTTTAAAGAACTAATGATTTCACTTTGTATGTTTTCATGTGAAAATAATCATGAAAGTTAATGAACTGTCCTCTTGTTTCTTCTCTCTTCAGAATGGCCTGAACGCTCTCCATCTAAGCTCTAAGGAGGGCCATCTGAACATTGTCACTGAACTGCTCAAGAGAGGAGCCGATGTGGACGCAGCCACCAAGGTAAGATGATGGGGGAATTAGGAGCATGTTCACATTGAAAAATAATCATATTTTAATACAATTCAAGGCTATTTCTGTGTTTTAAAAAAACAGTTAGAACATTTTGCTAGTTGACATTGTTTTTTTTCTTCATGAAAAGCTAGAAAGGGCAATTGATACTTAAATATTTACATATGAACCATATTTAAGGCTACATCTAAACCTTTGTTGCTTTGGAAAGGGATATGTTCATACTTTAAATTAACCACGGTTAAAGCATAGTCGGGATGTAAGGCTGAGTCAAGATTTTGTGCATTAGTAATGGGCAAGTTCATACTTAAAAACTTACCCTCAGTTTATACTTGAATAGGATGTGGGGCTCTTACAAAGTTTTTGTAGTTTCCTAATGAGCTTAAAGAAACTTATTTTCTCTTTAATGTAAGTTAGTGAAAGCACATATGATTCCCACAGAATGTAGAAGGAAAAAAATGATTCACTACATGTTAAAAATATGAATAAATACCCCAAAGAAATATGTTAAAGACACTTCTTAAGGACGATTATGCAATTAAGAAATGTAGGAAATGTAGGAGCAAGGCATATTCCTGGATTTTGACATTATTTTTGAAGGATGCCCTGATTATTATGAACATAGAAGTTATCATGTAGCTCTTGTTAGGTGTAACAAGATGTAATAGATTCATTTGACTTTACATCATTAAAAACATATAGCACTGAATACTAAATTGATAACAGCTAGTTGGACAAAAAAAGTTGTATGCATCGACTGGACAGTGATAAAACTCACACGATAATTCTAATCCATTGTAAAGCTTTGGATAAGATCTTTTAAATATAGTTATAAGACCTCTTTTTTTATATAGCTAAGTTTTAGAACCTTTGCATTAATTGACAGATGGGGGTGAATACAAAAATTAAAACCTGTTAATTAGCATTAATTGATTGAAGATCTTAATACTGAATGGTCGATTCTAATCTTGATTTCATCTCTGCCTTATAAGCGAGAGGCACCTGAAAGGGAGCACACCAAACGAGTCGGTTGTCAGAGGTGCGTGATTGTCGCTTCGGCCCGAGAAAGGAAACGATTAGCGGCCTTAGCCAGAATCACATGATGTTTCTAAGATGTCAGTAAATTAGGGGAAGGGGAGGGGGGGGGGGCTGCTCTATGTCAGGACAATAAGGGGTGAATCTCAGGTCAGGAAACAGGCTTGCAACTTTTGCTCAACAGTTCTCCTTTTGAAGTTCGAAAAAATGCTATGCAGGTTGTTACAGTTGATCTGCAATAGCCCATTTCTCAAGTGTAATTGTTGTCCTCAATTTGTAATGACCTTGAGTAGATTGTCAAGGTCGTCGCATGTTTTTTTCCCATTGTGAATTAAGTAGTCGTTCATTTATGTGCCTTGAAGATGTATTCCCTATGAATCCCCTCTCAATATTTCAATGGACCCGCACAGTCTCAATATTAAGTTGACAATTTTTTTTCATAGACTAAAATGTTCTTATAAACTCTTTTACATTCCGGATACTCACTATCAAAGGTATTTCAATAATGAAGACCGACAAAAAGAAACATACCCAATGGAATGGAGTAAAATGTATTTCAGCCTGCTAGGATATGATTTTGTAAATATTTTTGGTAATTGAAAATGAAGCCTCATTAGAAGAAACAAGTATCGGGGGGACTACTACTTGGTCAATATCCTACCTCTGCACTTTCCATATTTTAATGAGCACAGAAAAAAAAATCTATTTCCAATTTTGTTTACAACACAATTTTCATGACAAAAACTTTGCTTACCCAGGGGAAATTAGCATTACAGCTCATCGTTGATGCATCGTGGGGGGTTGCCAACCTAGGGATTAGTCTAGGGATCCATCCGTAGATGTGCAAGGAATAGATTTGCGAGGCTATTTTTGGCTTCAGGAAGTGACGGGAGGTGCGCGCTTCTTCTATTTTCGTCGCCTGTCAAAATTTTTATGGCAGAGAAATGTAAATTGTCTGCATCGTGACAAATTGGCAAGCCATTCAATGTCAAATGTTTGGTCTGAATTTAAAGCATTTGTTAGGTAGGCAAAATGTATCAAATTATGAGCCTATTCAGCCAATTGGCATGTACATGGTTGCCGCACCCTAACAGTGATGCAATTGTAGATATATTTCTTGTTAAATTGCAAAATCAAACTCTTGTAGAAATACATTACATGTGAATTACATTTGATCACAGAACAGATAATTCATGGATTGTGATTAACCGACCCTACCTTAATGTTATCTGATGTTTTATATATTTCATGTATTCTCCTTCAATATAACATCCGTTTAGTGCCAGAAGGGCATTAAATCATATACTGTAACACTAAGTTAACAGAATTTTGGCTCTGAATAAACCATATTTTCTTTTATCAAACATAATTATTCATTTCTAATTATATTTTCACATCACTCACATACTACACTAACAGATTGCCTGATGAGAGCCAGAAGGATGTTTAACTAATACCCATTTCACAAATACATAATTTCCTCCTTACTCTCAACAGATAAATCAACTAATGGGTATTTCCATTTGCCTGATTTTCATATCTCTTATGTTTTAATTAGGAACCTGAGGCAACGGTTCAAATACCTTCAAAAGAACAGCCAGTCAAACTGAAAGTAAAAGACTTGAACCACTTTGAAATACTTTTGAAAATTTGGCTTTTCATCTCGCAAAAAAACCGAATCATGTAAATAAAAATCATTCGCTACTCATCACAAAAATACTGAAAAATAAATGCATTATGAATTTGGAAGAAGATTAGTGTAGCATTTTTGTTTTCAATCGTATGAATTTTTATTAAATTACTCCTGATTCAATATCATACTTTTAAAATGAGATAGAATTCACGTTTTCCATTTACCTCAATTACACCTCATTTTTTTCATTTTTAAAATTCTTTCCTTAGTGTCATCATTTTTACTAATTTACCTGCTCATTTTCACTAGGATTTCTAGAAATTGGTTTTGTTCTATCTTTCCTTTCTGTTCCTCTCTTATTTTTTTAATATATTTTTTTATACCTTCCTTCCTTTAAAGTCTCTTTGTTACATAAACATTTTGTTAAGGCTTTTAGAATAAAAGATTATTATATCACCATTAACCTGTAGAAGTTAATTATTAATGTTCATGTAGCTCCATTCATGTTCGTCCATACATAGTAATTACTTTTTCATGCCTTAACATACTCATCAATATTAAAGAGCAATCCATTCATGAAAAATACACCTGTTAATACATGTTTTACACACATACTCTATTAACCAGCTTAGAATTGTATGATTAATTTCATCTCCATGAACTCTAAAAACCATAGTATTTTTTTTGTTAATAATCACAAATATCTTTCAACAGCACTTCCCAATTTATGTAAGGAATTATGAAATGTCAGCCTGTCATGTATAGCTAATGACGTTTGCATTCATTATTTCATGTAGTCTTGTTTTTTAAAAATTTTATATCATCATTCATCAGAAAATATTGCAGACCATGCTAAAGTGTTAGGCAATAATCTCTCAAGAATTCTAATTTTAAAGAAAATGGAGAACAGGTTTTTGGAATGTATATAATGTGTTCGTATATTAAAGGGCCTAAACGAAAACCAGTGTATATGCTGATTGGGCTACCCTTTAAAAAAAAATATGTGAAATAAATTATTATAGAAGAAAAAGAACATTGAGAGATGTTAAGGAAATATTTACGGGTACGTGTAGAAATTATATTTAAAAAACTCATATTATTCAAAGGACCACTTTCCTGATGAATTGACTGACTTTCATTCAGTCATTCCAAATTAATTTTTCTTTCCTGTAACAAACTTTAGACAAACAAACCTCAGGCAAAGTTGTCAGAGGGTAATTTTTGACAGCAAAGCTTTCATAAAATACAATTAGGTTATGATATTATCATATTTATTTCATTGGAAGAATGTCTGCATGTTTTTTTATTCTCTGTCATCATGCTTTTCCCAACGATTTCTAACTAATTCATGTCAATGCTTTTAAAGGATTTACTCCAAATTCATCTGAAACTCTTTTAAAAACTTTATGGATCTCATTTTGACAGTTGCAATATAATAATTTCCTCTCCAAGTCTCCATATTGTTATAGATTATGAATCATTGTAATAATCGGTTAAACATTTCAAGTTACTTTCACAGTTATGCATCCATCTATTATCATTTAGCAAAATCTGTATATACCTTGAGGTATGAGCAATTATGATAACTTTATTTTGTATCATTTTAATTGTACATGATCATCCTGTTTTTATGCACATTTTATGTAAAGCATTATTGGTCCTTGGACTACTGCACTGTACATTGTATATGTTGATATTAATAAACCGAAATTGATTGATTTATAAGGACTCCGCACTTTCATATACTGTATCCATTTTCTAACTCCGCAGAAAGGAAACACCGCCCTCCACATCGCTTCGCTCGCCGGTCAGGAGGACATCGTCCGCATGCTCGTGGAGTTCAACGCCAACGTGAATGTCCAGTCGCAGGTAAAGAAATTGGTGAGAGAGGTGTAATTGACTATCGTATCAATCATGACAGCTTCTTGCACTTTCATCCAGCACAGAAAACACAGCTCAGAGATATTAGGGGTTAAAGGTTAAATTGACCAATAGCTAATAAAGTGCGCCAACAAATTTCAAACGCCACAAAAAAATGTGAGCGTCACTTTATGCAACGATATACAGTGTGCAATGCGTTTACATGGTGCGCTATCCAACTTTGTATGCGCTGATATACTTCTAATCTGTAAAACCCGAAACTTTTAGGTGCGTTCAATGTTCAGTAATTGGTTCAGGCTCGCAAAAGTTCTTTCCTCTAAAGTTATTGAATCACTGCTGACACAACAATAAGTTATTGAATAACTCCGGACACAAAACTAAATTTTGTAATTTGCAAAAGTTTCTCGCTGTGAAAATGACCATCCTTAGCCATTAGTAAAAGTTGCCAGATTTACGGTATATTTTTACATGCGTGTCAGATGAAGTACATTTTTTGAGGGTGGGGTATAGAGAACGATTAAATTTAAACTCAAATTATTCTCACTGCAAATATGCAAATGACTTGATGTCTTGATCCAGCTCGAAATGAATAAATGGATAGAAAGCGAGAAACACAATTTCCATTTTAATGATAATGATTATTTAGATATTACAAATACATTGTAACCAAAACGAATACAAATTTAATGTCAAGAATCTTAGAAATACAGATTTTAACAGTTTTTATGAATATACCCAATTACGTAAACAGTAGTAACTGTTAATATTAATTGTTAAAAGTTTGTGACTTTAGTTTGTGAACATGTGGAAAAAAGTTCAATATATATATTTAGCTGCTATGTCAGTTATAAAGCTTCCCTACGAAACATACACATTAAGTAGGATGCTTGCTTTTTGCTCACTTATACACTAGCTTTTGGTGTTTAATAATTCACAGTTTACTTATGTAATGATCGCTTTAAATATTGCTTTGATTTTTTTATAGTGATTATCCAGATAATTAAAGGTCTGTAATTTTTTTCAACAACTAAAGAATATCAACATATTTTAGAATACCAGTCATTTGATTGCCACTGGAGTAGGGAGAAAAGAAAAGTGAATGCAAGCTTGAAAATTGAAGGGAAAGGAAAATGATTATCCAAATAATTAGATCATGAGTCAGATTAAACAAAATAATTAATATGACACTATCCATTGCGCTGAATACTACTAAATTGATAATCAAATTGCCATAACATTGTCAATATACTTCTGAATTGCTAACATTTAAACCTTCTTCTCGGTAAAACTTAAATGAAGACACAAAAAGCTTTACTTAATTAAAAATGAAAGCAATCTACATACTTTTTATTTATAATCGGCTTTATTTGGAGAATTTTTTCGAGTAACCAAATATATTGAATTTGTAGAAAGCCATTTCTACAGCAAAATGCGGGACACTCAATGCATGCATACATACAGATATTACCCTTAGATTATAATGCTAAAAATGGGTCTATATTAGTATATAAACGCTGTGCTCAACGTTGTTGGATGAAAGTTTGAACATAGTCACTTGATGCACCTCTGTCAACCAGTATAATATATGTAAGTGTTCACATTATCTCATGTATATGTTGTCTGCTGAGAGCCAGAAGGGAGTCAAAACGCTATATAAATCACTATTTGGTGATTAAAAGCCTTTAGAGCTCTCATCAGACAGTATTTGTAATATTGATGCATTGTTTTGTATATTATCAGTAGTTAAGTTAAATCCAAATATTGTCTGTTTGAAACCAGAAAGGTGTTAACTTCTTGTACAGTACTATCGAGTAGCACTAACGATCATATATATTTGTCACTTTGATTTTGTCCAACATAAGCCTTAAAGCCCCTCTAAAGTGTTGGGAGCCCACAAAATGTCACTTAAATTGAATCATAATGTGAAGAGGGTGTCATTATTACAAAAATCCCCCCCCCCCCCAACAAATGTGTTTGAAGGCAAATATTGATAAAAGAATACAATTTTAGGTTTTTGTGTACAATAGAACCCAAATGATGTATTCTTTTATCAATATTCGCCTTCAAACACATTTTTTAAGGAAAATCTTTACGGAAGTGTGTCTTAAATGACATCCTCTTTCAGATTATGATACAATTTAAGTGAAATTTTGCCATCAAATTTTGTGCGAATTTGGGGCTCCCAACACTTTAGAGGGACTTTAAAAGAGTTAAGAAATATTGCATGAGAACTATTTCAAATTGCTGTTTAAAATCAACTGTCCAGACAACAATCCTATCCAGACACATGGCATGTATTAGTTAACACCCTTCTGGCTCCAAAACAGATGATCTTTTGGAACTGTTCAGTTATGTGATATAATGCAATGTTACAGTACATTATTCAAAACTAGAGGTCTTTTATCATGGCTGAATTCCACCCTGATATTAATTTGGTTTTAATAAAAGCAGAAAACCAAGAGAAACAGATGATTGAAAGTTTGAGCAGTATCCGATTAAAAATAAGAAAAGTTATACATTTTTGAAATTGTCATCAGTGAAACAAAAATTGGCAACACTGTGACCTATCTTACAAGCTCCTCTCCAATTTGCTATGTACATAACCTTTCATACAATTTCATTTTTTAAGTTATTAATGAAGGAATAGATTTGTTTCATACAGGAGTTGTATAAAAATAAATTTGCAGTAATCATATTGAGGGTAAATGTGCAAGTTTCTTAAGGGAAGCTTCACATTTAAAATTTTTTGAGTACAGGCCAAATGGGAGGGAATCACATAGGATATGTTACAGAGTTGCCAATTGTTTTAAATTGATCGCCATCTTCAAAATTGTATAACTTGATAAAAAGAAATTGGTTTACGCTCAAACTTCACTGACCTGTTTCTTTAATTTTTCTGTTTCCATTAAAACCAGCTTAATATCAGGGTGGACTTCCCTTTTAACATTCCTTTACGCCTATGCCAACCATCTTCTGAGATGTGTCAAAAGGACTCAAATGTTGGATTAGGAAGATTTGTTATATTAATCTGTTGTAAAAGAGTCTCTATGGCCTCATTCATACTCAATGATCAATCCTTGACCCATGTCAAGGCAAAAAGGACACAGTGCCTCTTTGAGGTCATTATGACTCTCCCTTTACTTAAAGTTATTCTTGAATGGAGGTTGACTCATCTCAATGCATTAAGGACACTTGTGTCTTTTAGCCCATTTGACACTCGACTGTCTTGGTTCATTCTTAAAGCCACACTGTACTACTTGTAGCTACTTGCTCCCTCTATATAGAAAACTTCCCCAATCGGTGCCTGTTGGCTCCCCATGATCCTCTTTTTCTTATGTTAATTGAAAGCTGAGTTATAGCCACCTGTCAGTGACCTCGCGGTGTGGTCTAATCCCTTCTGGCTGAACTGGTACAGCCAGCCTTTAAACGGAGGTTGATCCATATCTATGCAAAGTGGCACACGTAACCCTTTGAGACCATGCACAGTCAAACCTGTCTATTAAGGTCACACAAGGGAGACAAAATACATGGCCACTATAGACAGGTGACCTTTATAAAGAGGTGCATGGCCACTAAGACAGATTTCCCTGTAACTCCCACCATGCCCCATTTATTCTTGTATGAAGGATATGAGGCTTTCCTGGGTAAACAGAATCATTATTACAGTCAAACCTGCTTTAGTGACCACCTGTCTACAAAGACCCCCCCCCCCCCCCCCCCCCGTCTACAAAGACACCCTGTCTACAAAGACCACCTGTCTACAAAGACCACTTTTTTTTGTTTCCCTTGAAAATGGTTTCTCATTGAAACATGTACTAAAGGAACCTGTACATAGTCTACTTGACTACAAAGACCACATTTTCCCCCTTGAAAATAGTTCCTCATTGAAACATGTACTAAAGGAACCTGTACATGAAGACCACCTGCCTATAAAAGACCACTTTTCTTGTCTCCCTCGGGTGGTCTTTTTAGACAGGTTTCAATGTATTAAATACCTTAGACCCATGATCATGCAAGAAGGACGCAACTGCTCTGAAAGTACATTTGTCATTCCAACTGAAGAGCTGTAAAGTCCACAGAAAATGTGAACTTAGGAGGCACACTTGCCATTCATGACAATAATAATAATAATAATTTAATTTTTATATAGCGCTTAATACAAATGTCTCTAAGCACTTTACAAATATACTATAACCCCGGTCAATGCCATTTGTCTGTAACGTGCCTTGTGATAGGTTGCACAGTCCTTGTCAAATAACCAAGCATTACTTAGAATCAAGTTTACACCAATTTTTAGAAGGATATATAAGTCAAGAATAACTTATATATTTTTTTCCTTCAAAGAATTCCAATAATTCTTGTGCTATGTGGTCTATTTCTACACCATTCATAGATTAGGGTTCTTTTTTTCCAAACTCTGGCTCCATCTACATTTTAACAGAACTACAATTGAAAAAACTTTGTGCATGTAAGAGAGATCTGAGGGCAAAATAAAGTTAAGGCCTTGTTCCAGCATTGGCATCACTCTGTAAGATATCTTCTGTATCATATTGTATATGTTACAGCTTATTACAGAAGATATCTTGCAGTAATCATATAATTTTTTACGTTTTTACTTTCAGAATGGATTCACACCACTGTACATGGCCGCCCAGGAGAACCACGTCAAAGTCGTCAAGTTCCTGCTGTCCAGCGGGGCCAATCAGAGCCTTGCAACAGAGGTAAGTGACCAATCACAAGCCTGCAATTCTTTTAACTGCATCATTCAAATTCAAAACTGGGATGAGGGCTGTGAGCTAGCTAGCTGATAAGGAATCGATTGAAACTCATTGGAGGTGCAGAGCAAAACACAAGGTCCTCTTGTGCCAGAGCCCTGTTTCATAAAACTTGATATTAATAACAAGTTACAAGCTACTGTTATAAGCCACTTAAATCAAGGCATCTGATTGGCTGAGAGCAAATTTGTCAAAGAAATTTAGCAGCCGTTATAATATAACAAGTTTTATGAAACGGGCCCCTGGTCCATGTTCAGAAATGTTAAGATCTGTTTACATCAGACCCCTAATCCTTTCCATTCATATGAGAAGCCAAATATAGGAGTAGAAAAAAACTATCTGTTTGCAGCCACAAGGATGCTAACTCATATAATTAACACAGAGTTAACGTCCTTCTGGCTCTGATGACATTGCTTTTTACATCTGAAGGAAATTTGTGTATACTTATAGCCAGGGCTGGCTTTAAATTCAAATTACTGAGGAAGTATTCAATAAATTTTATTTTAAAAAAATAATAAAAAAATACTGAGGAAGTTCACTTTGAACAGAGTGCAAACTTGTACAGATAGTTGCTAGTACACTGTCTCCATTATCCTGTGGTTTTGCTTTGAAAAAGTATAAGCACATTATTTCAGAAATTCTTGGAATCAAAGGAAAAGATTATGTAGGATCATTTGAAAAGAAAGCATTAGGAATTAATGGAAAGGCTTCCGATGAATGAAATATCGGTTTCTTGTTCGTTTTGTGTCTCAAAAGCCCTCATCCCAATTCTAATAACAGTTTAACAGGTGCAAGTCATGCCATATGAATCTTGCACAATGTTTTAATGCTTTATTAATTGCTCTTGTAATGACCTTGTTCTAATACGCATTGATCGTTAATTGCCTTCATGCATTATCCATAAAACATCGATTGAAACTAACCCATTAATCTGAAATTTGCAGGATCAACAATCCCCTTTTCACTTTTAAAATGTTATTAAAAGATTCATATATGTAGTTTATAATTCAATGCTATGGAATAGATTTTGGATATATTACATAGACTAAAATACTGCACAATGTATAATAGCATTATATTATATTTTATTGCATTTTATTGCATTATCAAACTTTTTTTTTTATTTATGTGAAGATATACCTAACAAATTATTAAATGATTGTATGTATAAGACCATTATAACCATATGCAAACCATTAGAGCAGATTATTTTTTATATCAGGTACCTGCATTAAGTGAAAGTTATTATTATCAAACATATAATTACCTTTTCTAATCATTAACCAGATATATATATTTCTTTTATTGATCAAACTGTAAAATGTTTTTCGCAATGTTAAATAAGCAAGTAATCATCACTAACTGCTCTCATTTAATTTGTTAATTTCATGATTGAATTCTCTTGCAATTGATATTAAATTAGGTAAATTAGAAAGATGGGAAAGTTTAATTTCAAATAAAAAATATATGATCTACTAAGAATCATTGTTTTATAATGAAAATAGGATTTTTGTCCCGTCCTAAACAAGGTACAAAACTTATGTAATTATTTGAATGTTCACGACATGTGGATTTTGTTTTGTTTCATGTGTGTGAGTGTTGATGTATTTGTGTTTTGCTGTTGAATAGTGAGTTGATCAGGTCAAAAAGGGGGAAATACCCCTCAATAAAAAAGGAAAAGCCCTACTTACCATATAAAACATCATTCAACACAATTTAGTCTACTTTGAATTTGAAATTAAATTGTAACAAAGAATACGATCTGATTTATAGATACACTTATTTAAATCTGTCAGTTTTAGACAGAAATTATTGACATGTAAACACTACCCCTTCTTTGTGTGTCTTCCAAAGCGTAAATAGATTAATCTGTGTGACTGTTTTATGTTTCTTTAAGACATAAAAATTATAGTAATGAACAAAAACAAAACAACTACTGGCAGGAATCTCTCTGTATACATCTCTTCTTTCTTTTTTAGAAGAAAAAAAATCATTCAATTTTGTTTTGGACCATAATTCACCCTATCATCGCCACCTTCAAATCTTTTCTTAGAGGCTTTTCAAAATCTATTTTCAGATAAGCTTGCCTCCTTTTCATCACATCAAGAAAATATTTGTCATTTAGCAAATCTATTCTTCAGTTCATCATTCAAGTAGCCCACTCTCTGCACTTTTCTCTCTTATCAAAGCATTCAAATTTGGCTCTTTCTTTTACAAATCTCTCTGTCCTCCAACTCTTTGCATGATCAAATATCTATCTGGAGCTCTTTGCTTTTAAAAACGCTTTTTGAGCAACACCAGCCTTTGTTTTCTGATTACATATCACATAGATACACCATCATTTTGTGATGTTTATTTTTGTAGTAGTTTGACACTTCTCAAATCAAATACTAGAACATAACCTAGCATTAATTTTGTTCTCCCCATTCCAAGTTCCAAAATATATGATGTTTAGTAGAAAAAAGAAGAAAGACTTTGATAAGCCTTACCCTGTTAATCTTAAGGTAATATTGGTATTAAAAAGACTTATTTTAATCCAATGTTTGTCTATTTTCTCCACTTCAAACATAGTGAAGAGCACATTTTTATTTCAAGTTGAATTCATTTCTTTTGAAAAGTGATTGCATTTTCAGTTTGTTCTCTTTGGCATCAAGTCAATAAACAGATTTCTGAACAATTTTCAGGACTTAATTTTACTCTGGAGAAAACAGTTGCTAAAAACATCCATGTGTTTCGTTGTTGATATCGAGTTCTTTAAAAATGACCTTTCACGTGGAGTTTGTGTTAAAGAAAGAGTAGGTGTTACTATCAAAAACAAAGTTCAACGCAGCTGTATAAAGCCCACTCAAGTCATGTCCCCCAACGTTAATTCCTCTCACTTTGGGCTCAAGAAAAAATAGCGATGCACCCAACTTGATTAGGGAGTGTCTGGCAGCGCTAATCACTGATTATATCTTGTAGATGATCATGATAGAGCTCGAGGCTTGCGTAGGATTCCTACCGAAAAAGAAGCTTCATTTATAGATCTTGTCGGTTGCGAGCCAGAAGGGCATTAACTCTTTGAAGGGGTACATGAGTTAAAGCCCTCCTGGCTCTGAACAGACGTCGTGAAAAGATCTTCAAGATTATGAGTAAGCAAGAGAGGAAGGCCGAGGGCAATAACTTTTGAAAGTTTCACCCTTTTCTGAAATTATTTGTTATTAAAGATAGAGAGAAGAAAGAAAATAGAAAAAGAGAGAAGAAAGAAAATAGAAAAAGAGAGAAGAGATTTTTATCAAGAGATGTTATTCCATTTTTATCCAACTACACGTTTTTAACTTTTTCTCTAAGTGAAAAAAAGAGAAAAGTTTAAGATTAAGTGATATTTTTCATTTTGGGTCAGAATTTACAGATTTGTCCCCATTTTCTCTCAAACTGAAATGAAAAAAAAAGACTATTTATTTCAAATTATGATACATTTAGAAAATAAACTTAGAAGCAAAATCGGAGGGAGAAATGTCTTAAAAGTTGTATGAAGATAAGTTCTCGGGTTACATTGATACTTCTACATTTTCATTTCAATGTTTTATCCATTCCTGGATGTTTTTGTAGGATTTTTTCTCTCATGAGAAAATGGAGTCATTCCAATGATGTTTGTATGTGCAAAGATGTTCATTGTGTGAGTGTTTATCTGTGTCCACAGAGAGACCTAATTCATGTATACATTTTTCTGTTACAAAATTCATTCTTCTGACATCTGTCATTAAAGAGGAATGAAATTGTAGAATTATACAATTTTCACGCACATCCTTTGATCAGTTTAAAATCAGAATTTCTTTTAATTATGTTTCTTAAAGCTGACTTTAATGTAGATTCTGAGACACATTATTCAAAGTTACCTCATTATTTTGAAATGTTCTACCAGAGTTTGGCATTTAGTCTCATCAATTTGATTAGTAAGATTTTGATTTGTACTTTAAATGAGGAAGATTTTTTTTTAAATGCCCCAAAACAATATTCACATACTGACAATATGATGATGAACATCGTTTATGTAAACTAAGTGAAATTCATGGAGCAATGATGTCAAAAAACTACATGTACAAGTGTTGTTGAGTGGTGGTTGTGAAGGTGTGTCCATTGTTTTGTTTTTCTTTCTTTCTTTTCTCTCAGAAAACAAAAGTAATCTGTTATAAATCTCATTATTATAACACATAATAATGAGTTATTTATTACTAGTATTGCCCGTCGTCTATCAAGTATCAGGACGGTTCTACAATTCTTATCTAATATTAAATTCAAATTGACCGACTAGAGCTATAAAATCCTTCACTGTTACTGTAACACAGACTAGCTCTTCTTCTCTCTCTTTTCATAGAAGATTGCCAAAAAGAAACTGATTCTGAATCATTTCTGCTGGGAAAAATTAAATGTAATAAGTAGCAGTTACAGACTGAAGTTAAAATTTAAAATTGTGATTTCCTCACCTGATTTGAAACACACTTTTCCATAGCAACTAATTCATGTGGCATTTAGCTAAGAGAAATGAGGGAAAAATCCTTCTGAAAGAATCACAAAAACATGTAAAATTGTAAATCCCTTTTAGATGAAGTTTGGCTAATTTTCTTCATAGTAAAATAAGTGTACATATGCAAAATTACAATGACCTATGCTTTTTAAAATTTTCAAAAAGTATTCATGATAGGTATTACATTTTAATGCTTATGAATGGGGGGGGGGGGGGAGAAAACACATGAATATTTGTACCTTTAAATATCTCTTTTTGTATTGTGTTTTTAGGCACTGATTGAGTGTGTGTGATTTTGGCTGCGTTTGATAGTAGTATGTAACAAATCTTTAATGTTGAGTTATGCATGGCTCAAATATGCTTCTCTTTCAAACAAATGGAATGGAAAGATTTTGGAAAGCCTCTGGTCTAAGAAATCATGTGAATGAATGTGTGAGAGCTAAATAATTTCTATGTTCTAGAAGGTCATAAGCTTGAACTCATATATCCATATTTTTGTCCATTTTTCCCATGTCTTTTTGTATTTTTTTTTAATGGATTGCATGGTGAGAGTAGGATGGGTTTCTGCCGCTTGATGTCGCGACCCAACAGGGTCACGATATCGTCGTGGAAACTCTCTTGCAACACTCACGACCCCAGTATCCGAATAAATCGGAGGTGAGACCGCCATTTTGTTTGGTTCCAAGAGTCTTCTTATATTTTTTTCCTCCATACCTTCACTTTCGGCACCGATCAACTCACTGTTGAGTCGGGCTTTGCCAACTGAATTTCACTCGTCTTTTAGTTTGTCTATGGTTCTGCATCTGTGTGTGGTAGTTGTTTATTTTATTGTTTATTTTGTGTGTTTTATTTTTTACTTTTTCTTATCTTTTTCTCTGTACATCTAGGAGAGAATTATATGTATTGTGTTAGATTTTTCTTTTCTTCTGATTATGTTGTGCGATATTGTGAGAAGGTGATCTTGTGACCTGCCTGCAACGCATGATTAGTGTGAATCAGAGCTGAAGTTGTATCAGTGATATTTCATTTGTGTCTAGAACAGCCAATTTGAGGATCAGATAGTGATTTCATCAGCATTAGGAAAAAACACATGAAGCAGATTAGACCTTTGTTGTTATTTGTATTTCTATTTTTTATCCCTTTATTATCATAATTATTTTTCAACATTTTATTTTACAATAGCCCATTAATAAACGTATAAGATAGTCATGTAATAAGTGTACACATCCTAGCATTTTTTAAATGTTTTATTATTTATCTTGAACATTTAAAACAAGTCATAACATTTACAAAAAAGAATCATCATTCTTTGTAACACCATGATTAAACTACCTTTCCGATTACGAAATAAATCATTATGTGTAATGAAATTGATTTCTGATTTAAAGATGCCTGAAAACAGCCATTGAATATCGATTCTCTTTGAATGTATAGACACATGTTCATCATACACTTATCGCAAAAAAGAATATATCATTTGGTGAGATTATGTTTGCTGTTTTTTAGGAAGTTACTGATATCGAACAGCCGCAAACTAAGACGACCTGAACCTAAAATTATTATATTATCCACAGAGCTGAAATAAAAGTCAAATCTTGTTAAGTTCCAGTTGACATCAACAGCTTTTCTCATATTTTGGCCACCAGACTAGCCTGATAATCAGACATTATCTGATTCAAAATTCCACAATGATAAAGATTCAAGATATTAGACTACCGGTACTCAGAAATGTACTTTTCCCAAAGACTAAACCTCTACGACTTTTCTTGCTTTCGCATACTGCGCTTCTGCCATTCTGCACTAGAATTTCACTTCCTAACTTAAATTATTTTCCTCGTAAAATATCTGCACTCTAACCATGCATGTCCACTTCATCAAACAGTCATTCATTTCTCTTCATTTTGTCTTTTAATGTTTTCAGTTGTTTTGTATTTACATGTTTTGTGTGTATATTGATGGCGTATAGCACGTTTTCTTGTTTGTAATCTCATCTTTTTGTTGTTGTTGTGTTTTTGCAGTATTTTTTCACACCACTTTTGTTTTGCAGTTTTCTGTTCACATTTTGTTTCCTGTTCGTTGTATCAGGTAGTTTTTTTTAAAATTAACTGGTAGACTAAGTATTAATCAAAAATTAGAAAAATAAAGAATTGTACAATATCCTTAAATTTCAATTTAAAGTATACAATCATGTTTATTATGTAAACTTTCCCGTTCCAGAGAATGGTTAACATCTTTGCTATGTAATAGGAATAAGAGGAGTTCGTATTTTAGGTGATATTTAGAGAGCAAAAATATTTGCTCGCTAGATGGCAAATGAGAAAAGTAGTTAATGAAGGGGGGGGGGGGGGGGAAGAGGTGTAGTCCTCTTTTATGTTTTTTCTTTCTTTTCCAACCTCATTTTGTCTGCATATTGTTACATATTTTAACATGAAGATCATATTCAAGAAGCGTAAAGTAACTATTTAAAAAAGAAATTGATCACAAAAGTTGTCGTGTATTTTTATCCTTCAGTACATGTGGTAGTATGATAGTATTTGAAAAAGATATTGATTACAAATTTAAATCCTATAATTCAAATGATAATATATGATAATATCGTAGAACTGTTAAAACAAAAAATATTTCTTTGTAAATCCATGCTAACCATTTCACGTGCATTGTGAATCAGGAATGAGGGATGTGTGCATTTGGTTTGCAGTGTCTGAATTTGAAATTTCGCAATCTTCTCCAAACTTGTCAGTAAAATCAAAAGTGTTTCACCTCTTTTCATTGAACTTGGTCTTCTTCAGTGCAAATAATAATTTTATTTTATTATGGCTGCTTTTCAGCCCAAATTGGGTACTTGGTTTGATGACTTTTTTAATGAATATGTTCCAGTGACATTATTTTCCTTTGAAAGAGGGCCCTTTTTTTAAATAGAATTTTAGGGGCAATTACCCTGAGCCCCCATCTGTTTTTTGTTGGTACTTATGTGATGGCGCAAACAGGATCAGCCTGTTGTAACCATTTAAATTTAGTTTGGTCCCGATGAAGGAATTTGGATTCAAAATAATTTAGCAGAAATTTAATTCAAGGGGGCTCTATAAAGTTGTGGGGTATCCCCCTCAGCCCTGTCACAATTTTTACCCACTGTATGGAATGAATTCTTTGACTTATTACACATCAGGACCCGCCTAAGAACGTTCATTTTGACTATGATGCAAAGGTATCAGGTGAAATCAGTACTTATAACCGTGTGCCGGCAGTTTAGTCAAATGGCAACGTTGACTTGTCTTTTTTTTTAGAATGCCTGCAGCACTGTCCCTGCTACTTTCCAATTGTGATGCATTGGTAGATGTAATTCTGTAATCTGCAGTAACCGTTCCAATAGTTTAGACTAAATATAGGACTAAAATATAGGACGATACATTCTTTTGTAATGTTCTGTAATGATGAGGTTAACGCTTGCCTTTGATGTCAAATTGCCGCTAAAACTTCACGTTAATGGATCGTTTTGACTTCTTAATATACTAAGGGAAAATGCATATTTTGAAGAGGCATTACTTAAAGGTGCGTAGCACTTTATGTGTTTTTGATGTGGCTTTTTTTTGGGGGGGGGGGGGGAGGTGATGGTGGACAAATATGTTTAAAAGTCTTAAAAGTTAATGCATTTGATTAGCAAAGAATATCCATTAGGATTTAATAAGAAAAGAACTTAATATTTTTGGCATATACAAGTAGGAAGATTGAATGCTTTTTAAAAAGTATGGCAGACTTTCAAGCAAAAATATGTTATTGGATGACCACTTCCATTCTCTCCTAAAGGCAATTGAAAACGTCTAAATAAACCAAAAGGTTAAAGTTTATAAGAAAGAAGTTTGATGGGGGCAAAATCACTTGTAAAGATAGTGGGACAATGCTGCAAATACTATGGAATGCCACATGTTGACTTGTTGATTACAGCATGAATGCCTGTTTATCTGATTGTCATCTTAGCATTTTTTTTGATAACCCAGTGAGCTGCATGAGTTTCATGATTTTCTAACAACTCTGGTGTGTCTTTAACGTTTTCACTTCATCATCATCATGCATGATAACTAACATCGATACTAGGATACGATCTTAGGAATGCTGTGTATAGACCCATGTGTGATCTGTGCATGCTAACATTGAGAATAAATTGAATGAATTACAATGTAAGATGATTTTAGGGATACAGTACCGTAATTATGACGTTAACCGGCAGTTTACCAATACTACGCATGCGAGAGTGTTAAATTTTAAGATTTATTAGTAATTGCTAACTTTTTGCTATGTTGAATGATAGAACGATAATAAAAGTACATGTTGCCATTAAATCGAAGGCTTGCATGATATATTGCTATGTAATATATACATGAATGATTATATTGCTTATTAATAGCTTTTATTGGTCGATTTCATTGAAAATGTGCAGATCCTTCAGTGGTTAGGTTTGTTTGGAATAATTGCCTTTAAAAATATTTTAATTCTAAATATGGGTCTTTAGTATTGTACTTTGACCAGAAAATGAATGAAATTATTAAATAAGCTAAAATTATAATTTGTTTTGGTCAAAGTATTACAACATTTGCCAAGTTTGGTTTTGGATAAAGAGAACAAAATACTTTTTAAAAAAACCCCATAGATTTACTGAAATTTCCTTTTTATATATATTATTTTCTTTCAAAAGACATTAATGTTTCATTTATTAAAAGATATTCTTAATTACAGATCAGTTCTAGAAGTGTAAATGAATTTGAGTTCAAGCCTGAGATTTTAATAAAGAAAAGAGATATAGTTTGTCTGATATTCATGATATTCAAACATGTACCGGTATGCTCAATTGGATTAGATAAACATGTATGCTCAATTGGATTAGATCAACCTATGATTAAAAAATTCTGACCATCTGTGACTTGACTTAAACACTGGACACCGTGTATCTTTCTTTTCCCAGGATGGGTTTACACCGCTGGCGGTTGCCCTGCAGCAAGGACACGACAAGGTCGTCGCCGTTCTACTGGAGAACGACCGTGCAGGCAAGACTCGGCTGCCGGCCCTGCACATCGCTGCCCGTAAGGACGACACCAAGGCTGCCTCTCTGCTTCTACAAAATGGACACAACCCAGATGTGCCATCTAAGGTATGATGTGATTTTATTATGTATTTATTTATTGATCGATTGATTGATTGATTGATTGATTGATTGATTGATTGATTTTTTTTTGATTTTTTATTCATTTATCTATTATTTATTTATTATTTATTATTTATTTATTATTTATTATTTATTTATTATTATTATTATTATTATTATTATTATTATTTATTTATTTTTATTTTATTTTTTTTTGGGGGGGGGGGGTCGGGGCTCTTGAAATGTATGATATGATATCGAAAAATTAAAACCAGAGAAGGTAAATGCAGTGGTTGTATGGAGGGCTTACATGTATGTAAAGTTACTTCAAGGAAGAAAACTACAGGGTGTTGTGAGGAGTGATTATCAGACTCATGTCAGTCACTCTAATAGCAAAATTGTGATGGGGGGGGGGGGCACTTCTTGATTTTTTTAAATTAAAGAAAGAAATGAGGTAGAGAAGGAGTATTTAGAGGCTGCGTTGAAATTCTGCTGAGAGACAGAAGGACACTAACTTCCTCACGGCAGCAAAGAAACTGCAATATGATGGAATTTATTTCTCACATGACGTTTTGTAATGATATTCGTTAATCTTAAATTCTATGAATTTCACTCAACCCCCGAAATGATTCTCTTTTCTTTCCTTCACAGAGTGGTTTTACCCCACTGCACATAGCTGCTCACTATGGACACGTCAATGTGGCGACACTCCTCCTCCAAAAGGGAGCTTCGGTCGACCACGCTGCCAGGGTAAATACCACAACTTTCACCCCTTTATTTTTAATTGTCTAAACATATTTGTAGCTTACACCCAGTAAATAAGATCGATTGATTGATCTGTACTTAAAAACATGTCAGAATAAACCTTGGAACCAGCGGGATTCGAACCTTCCATCTACTGCTTGCCGGGCAGCAACTCTACCACCAGGCCATCACTGGTCCATGGCACAGTCACGACGAACTAGAAAAAAATACCCAAGCTCTCCTGATTCATTCTGACCTGTTAATATTCATTAGTCCGCCATTAGGACAATAACTTTTATATAACACATATTTTCAGTTTGAGACATTTTGTACATGTACGTTTCACAGAACTTCTATTTTTTCCTTCCTTCTTTTCCTGCTTTATGAACAAGTTTTGTTATGGTCCTCTTCTTCTCTTCTTATAATTAGGCTTTCAAATGTGTATAATGTGTTTATACCTATTCACAGTCAAACTTAGTATTGAAGACATTGACAGATTAAAAGGGGAGTGTACATGCCCCCTCCCAACCACACCTTTGTATACATACATGTACTATACAACTGGGTAATAAGGGATATTTAGATATTTTGTTAGATTATTGAACCTAGCTATTTTCCTTCCATGTATGCCACTTGTAAAGTTTAATGATACAATTAATTTTGTAGAGCAATAAAAAGAAAATACCGGTACATAACAATTATTAATATGAACCAAGAGGACTTTCATGTTAATCTTCTTTTCTCTCCCTCCTTGTTTTAGAACCATATCACACCACTCCACGTCGCAGCCAAGTGGGGGCGTGTCAATATGGTCAACACACTTCTAGACCGAGGGGCGCGTATCGATGCAAAGACCAGGGTAAGACTCAAAATCTATTGTTACTCCATTGCTGTTCTCACCAATCCATTTTTTTTTTTTAATCGTTGGAATTCATTATTCACTTTCTACCAAGACCATTTGGATATGACATATGAACTCTCAAGTATTTACAGAAAAAATATTGCATTTCAAAGTAGAGATGTATGATTATATGATATCGTTTGGAGCAAGCAAATGTAATAATTGAACATGTCATGGTTGACAAGAACAAAAAAAGATGTTGAGTCTGCTAAATTTGAATAGTGAGGCCTGACTCCCTGCCATATGATATAACAAATCCAATCCATTGTAAAGAATCAGTGCTACTTTGTTCCTGTTTTGTGAAAATCATATTTACTTGTAGTTATGATCGTTTTTTTTAAATAAGATTAAATTGTTTTGTAGTCCTCAGATCAAATGGCAATTCATGTATTCTTGATATGTAGAACCATATTCTCCCCCTTAAAAATGAGTATATTGAGTTGCATTTCAAATATTGTTTAAAGCAATTGACATTCAGTAATGGCCATCAAGAATAAGATTTGCAATTTGTATTCAGTATTTGAGTGGTGATCATTTCTTTGTATAGGATGGTCTCACTCCCCTCCATTGCTCTGGACGCAGTGGACATGAGCAGTGCGTGGATCAGCTACTTGAGAGAGGAGCACCAATCTCGGCTAAGACAAAGGTGAGTTTATGGTAGTCACTCTTTCACTCCTTTCAATTTAATCCTCATTTCTAATGCAAGTATATTTTGATTTACATAAATGTAATTATCAAAGGTGTAACATAATATTGGTAAAAGTTGCATTGCAAGTTGTAAACTTACCAAGTTTTGTCATTTTGTTTAAGTACCGGTATGTGAAAAACTAATTGTTCCTGATTTATGTTTCTTAATAATGCAATATATTTGAGCTTACATCTAAATGTATCGAACAAAGGCCCTAATTCAACCAGTCCTCCTTTCAATCATGAGTTATGAAAAACAAACAAACAAACACAAAAAATATCAAATTTACAAGGGGTATTAATAATTTAGTTGTTAACTGTAGATACAGTCAAACCTGCTTTAGTGACCACCTGTCTACAAAGACCACATTTTTTGTTTCCCTTGAAAATGGTTTCTAATTGAAACATGAACTAAAGTAACCTGTACATAAAGCCCCCCTGCCTATAAAGACCACTTTTCTTGTCTCCCTTGGGTGGTCTTTATAGACAGGTTTCACTGTATGTCCTTTACTATTATGGTGATTATTTCATCATGACCTCCCCTCTTTACAGAATGGACTTGCCCCGTTGCACATGGCCGCCTGTCTACAAAGACCACATTTTTTGTTTCCCTTGAAAATGGTTTCTAATTGAAACATGAACTAATGGAGCCTTTACATAAAGACCACCTGCCTATAAAGACCACTTTTCTTGTCTCCCTTGGGTGGTCTTTATAGCCAGGTTTCACTGTATATCCTTTATTATTATGGTGATTATTTGACCTCCCCTCTTTGCAGAATGGACTTGCCCCGCTGCACATGGCAGCCCAGGGAGATCACGTGGACAGTGCCAGGCTTCTGCTCTACCATCACGCCCCTGTCGATGATGTCACCGTCGTAAGTTTCTAATTTGTATTTCTCTCTCAGCAAAATAAAATAATTAGCCACAGGCCAGAACTTTCAAGTCCGAATAGCACTGCATCAAAAATCTTTGGATGAAAAAAAAATTAAATTAAAAAAAAAAAAAAATGTCCACAAATGAGGCACAGGCGCAATAGTCTGACAGCTGCCTGATTCACATGCAACTTGCTTTCCTATTAAAATGTATATGGCACTCTGCTCTTCTCATTCGACAATAGGAAAAATCATATAATGTGTAGGAATTCACACCGGAAACCTCTTAAAAGAACTCTTTAAATCTGTAAAGAGGCTCTTGAAATCTTGAGAATAGCTGTGGATGAAATGGTTAAAAAACAATGAAAATAATTCTTTTTTTTCCCCCTGTCAGAAATATTGCTGTAGAAAAGTTGAACTTTCTGTAGAAGTTTTTATATATTTGATATAAGGGGTCTCTTCAGAGGTATAGGAGTAACATATAAAAAGTGTGTCTCATCATAATCCTTTCTTGACACGTCTTCACAAATATCTGCTGTAATCGTAACCTCCAATAAGCTATTTAAAGATTGACCATTCACAAGTTATGTTGTAACTGTAACCTCTAATAAGCTATTTAAAGATTGACCATTTACAAGTTATGTTGTAACTGTAACCTCTAATAAGCTACATGTATTTAAAGATTGACCATTCACAAGTTATGTTGTAACTGTAACCTCTAATAAGCTATTTAAAGATTGACCATTCACAAGTTATGTTGTAACTGTAACCTCTGATAAGCTATTTTAAGATTGACCATTCACAAATTGTGTTGTAACTGTAACTTCCAATAAGCTATTTAAAAAAAATGACCATTCACAAGTTGTGTTGTAATTGTAACCTCTAATGAGCTATTTTAAGATTGACCATTCACAAGTTATGTTGTAATTGTAACCTACAACATGCTATTATGTGATTGGCCTTTCACAAGTTGTGTTGTAACTGTAACTTCCAATAATCTATTTAAAAAAATGACCATTCACAAGTTGTGTTGTAATTGTAACCTCTAATAAGCTTTTTTGTGATCGACCATTCAGGACTACTTGACCCCTCTGCACGTTGCTGCTCACTGTGGACACCACAAGGTGGCCAAACTGCTGCTTGACCGCAAGGCCAACCCATCGGCAAGAGCCCTGGTAAGTCACTTCGTCGAGGACAATCTGACCATTACAGCTCATTTAAACAAAAATTGCTGCTGTTCCTATCATATCTTGTGTGATTAATATCAGATTATGATGAAAATTTGTTTTCACAGAATCCTTTGAAATGTACTAAAAAGGTCAAAATCTGGGCATCGTTTCACGAAACCGTCATAAGAATATGATTGCCAATATCGCACTAAAAGGTGTGTTAATTTTAATACACGCATTTCAAGGGAACCTCTACTTTGAAGGCCCCGATGATGAATTTTGATGGAATGTGTTAACGTACACTTAAGAAAATGTAAAATCCAAGCTACACTTAAGAGAAAATGTAAAATCCAAGCTACGTTAAATATTTTATCGCTGACCTATGGTAATAAGCAGTGCAACATAAGGAGGAATTTTGACGATCGGTCCTGTAAATAGAATGTGTAGCCCCATATGTACATAAAGATGTACCTATAACTGTCCTGGTTCATTCTTATTATACAGTATATGAGCAAGGAAAGAAAAAGAAATTGACCAATCAAGCCTATCATTAGCATATGTAGTCCCAGATATACAATTAATATATTGTTGACCAATAGTCCATTTTACTGCATGACAAACACTACAAATAGATTTCTGATAAATTTCCCTGCAGTTTTCATGATCAGAACTCTTTGATTTCTCTCTGCAGAATGGATTCACTCCACTGCATATCGCTTGCAAGAAGAACCGAGTCAAGGTCATTGAACTTCTGCTGAAGTACGGTGCTTCGGTCCAGGCCGTCACTGAGGTAAGTTCATAGGTCAATTCTCATATCAATCATGAGGACCGATGAAACCATTTGAACAGTCTTAAGGGCAGGCCACCCCCATAGCTGCAACTCTTCCCAATTCTTGAGGAGTGGTACCACTTATGGGCATTCAAACTTCAGCTATAACGCCTTTGAATCTTTTTTTAAACAGATATATGGCGCCATACAAATGCTGTTCATCATCATCATCATCTATAAACTCTTGAAATCCTTTTTAGCGTGTTTCCCCCCTGAAAATGTCTTTGGAGAAGTACACAAAATAATCTGTTAGTCCTAATTTTGTATGACTTGTATGATTTGCAAGGTTCCAAACCCACTTGAGATCAAATGATTAAGGCCTACACAAGATTCTTTTGTTTTAGTGGAAAGCTAGTAGGTATGTTCTTCACCCACTAAAATATGGGTGCAATAGTTACCCCCCCCCCCCCCCAGTAATATCAATTATTTGAACTCAAGGGCACTGCTGATAAAAGGGGATGACAAATTTGTTGTCTTGAGAGGTGTGTTATTGCCAGTAAATTTGGCATCATTTTGGGGTGGTGTTTATTATTTGGGTGTTTTATGTAGAGGGGGGTAACGCACCATTTTTTTCGAAGGCTTTTTAAAGTTTGTGATTAAAAAATCATGTACCAGTTGCCGTCCGGCGGGAGTTAGACATGTAGGTCTATATTGTTCATTTCCAATTTGCATGATGTCATAATTGTGTAAAGAGATTTGACCTCTGCTAATTATTGAAGTGATTTTGATCGAGTTTATCTTTTGAGTGAATTAGCTGCTGAAGAAAGTTCTTTTATATTTCACATATCTATGCCATACCATCTTTCCTAGATTAATAGAATAGTAAATTGATATACGATTTTGTTGAGACTAACATATATATTTAACCATGGATCTCTGTAAAAGTGTGAAACCCAAAAATTCTACCCACATTGTATATACTTCCTTTTTGTATAGTTTTGATAGAATTCATATCCCTCTATGAGAGCTATTATTTCTCCCCTTTGCTAGGAATGGATGAATCCACCTTTACATGTTATTGAAAATTCATCTGATTAACTAATACATTTTTAGACCATCCAATAGAGTTACAAAGCCGAGTGTTTCATTTATACATGTATGTATTACATCATTATATACATGCCTCCCTCTTTTTTTTAGACAAGTCCCACCCACCCACTTCCGTGTTTGGTATGTTTGTTTATTTGTTTGCAACCCCACAGTCTGGCCTTACTCCACTGCATGTTGCCGCCTTCATGGGCAATATCAACATTGTGATGTACCTCATCAAAAATGGCGGAGGTGTCGACGAGACCAACGTGGTAGGTGTTAATACTAGGCCAATTGCTGTTTCTGCATTATTTCTGCTGTAATAGCATATGGACACACTAAAACTTGATATTATTTTATGATCAAAGGAAAATTTACGTTTTAATAATGGTGTTCTTGATGAGGCTTTTATTCAACTTTAGATTTGTAGAGTAGCAATATTGTATGATTCTGGACATGTACAAGAGTGTATTTGATGCAAAGGAAGAGCAGAACAGTAAGTTTTTGTTAAATGAAAAGGAAAATATAAAAGTGAATATACTGGTGTGATGGAATAAAATTATTGAATCACCAAATTACTGGTACCTGGAAGCAAGATACCTTTAAACACAGTGCCAGTTCTATCATTATGTTAGGGCAATTTGGCAGTTTAAAAATCAGAGATGCTAACAGAGAATTATGCAAAGTACAACAGACAACAATCTAGGCCTAATTGTAATTTGAAGATACAGAAATGTTTTGAAGTTCTGGGACCAGTTTCTCATAGCCTTTTTTCAATGAAAAATGACAAAAATCAGTGATAAATCTGCTGATAACCAATCAAAAGCAAGGATTTCAGTAGCTTATAACAAAGACTGTAATTTGTCACTGATGGCAAATTTTGTGAAATAGGGCCCAGTAGTATGTACAGTACAAGATATCTAATCATATTATTTGAATTACGTTAGAAGTCAGAAAAGAATTTTATAAAATGTCCTTTAAACATTATTGCGGGTGTGATAAACCTGTTGTCGTCTCCTTCTATCATAGCGTGGCGAGACCCCTCTCCATCTGGCCGCTCGAGCCAACCAGATCGAGGTCATCCGCGTGTTGCTGAGCAACGGGGCTAAGGTCGACGCCCGTGCCCACGAGAACCAGACCCCGCTCCACATCGCCGCTCGCCTGGGCAACGCGGAGATCGTCAAACTGCTGCTGGACAACGGGGCGTCGCCCGATGCCCAGACCCGCGATCTCTACACCGCTCTGCACATCGCCGCACGTGAGGGCAAGGAAGACGTGGCGCAGGTGCTGTTGGATAACGGTGCAACGCTGTCTATGACTACCAAGGTAAGATATTGGTTACATTCTAACCTATCAAGACCACTTTGAGAGTTAAGTATCTTGTCAATTCTGCTTGTTGCTACGACAGGCAGCCAGTGAAAACGATTTTGTTTGATAAAATTATGGAAATGTAAGCACTACTTTAAACAAACAGAACTTTGGCAGTCCTTGCTCATTTTTACTGATAGAGGTGTCATATGAAAGGACAGAAACTCAACTTTCTAGAAATGTGATTTTCTCTTTGAAATTCAGATACCGTCCGCCAAATGACTTTTTGGTTTCCTCTCTTCAAATTAATTTCAATCACTCATGCGTGAAATATGCATCATATGAGTTGCATCAAATGAAAGAGGAGGATCTAAGCTTTTCAAATATGTGTCCTTTATTAATTATAAATGTGACTAAGTTATGATAAAACATTGATAATTCTCGGTTTCGTTTTTTCTTGGGCGCACTGTATAGTGGTATGGGTTTTAGGTGCTTCTCCAAAAGTCAAATCACATTAATGCCCACAATATCTTGTTTTCGATATTTGTAAAACTTCAGTGGTGTGCGCAGGGTGCCACCTGTAAAGCTCATTTCCATCCATTCAGTTCAGTTGACAAACTCTGCAACTATGTGATTGAAAAGAAGTCTTGGCATCTCAACCAACTCCACTTTAATTCCCCATCTATGTCTTTCACTCTTTGTACTTCTTATTTCCAATATTTTAGAAAAATTTGCAAGTTTGTGTTTTCAAACATTTTCCTGTTTATCACGTCTGTTTGTCATTACCCCCTTGCAGAAAGACTTCACTCCTCTTCATGTGGCAGCCAAGTACGGCCGCTATGATGTGGCCCAACTCCTGCTCAGCCGTTACGCTAGCCCAGATGCGACTGCCCAGGTAAGAATCATGTGAATTGGTGATCCGACCATTGCTCCTGTAAAAAAAATTGATGGAGTGGCCCTTTTTTCCGGTTGCAATTGAGCTTTAAGTTCAGTTTAGGTTTAGGTTTAGGGTTAGGGTTAGAGTTAGGGTTAGGTTTAAGGTTAGGTATAGTGTTGGGTCCAGGGTTGGAGAGAGGAATTTGTTTAGTGCAGAACATTACTATGGAACAATCATGACAGCACCATGTCTTGTACAATCTGTGACAGAGTATTGTATCATGACCTTTATCAGGAACTGAATTTAACTTACCATAGGTCAAAAGAAGAAAAGAAATAAAGTTGTCACTGTGATGATAGTCACAAGATATATGTATAGTTTACGAGGGGTGCAGTTAATTAATCAGTCATTTGTCAGCGTTGTAGGGAAAAAAGGGTGCATCATTCTTTTTACAATGCAGTGCTACACATGTTCTTAAACAAACACCTTTGTGCCTATCATTACAACGATATGCTTGTGAGAGTATGAGTTCTGAATGTCCATTTTTTGTTTTGTTCCTGTGTAGAATGGTCTGACTCCTCTTCACATCGCTGCTCACTATGACAACGTCAAGGTTGCTATGCTGCTCCTGGACCAGGGTGCCTCACCACACAAGACTGCTAAGGTAAAGTGGCTTACAACACCAGCAACATCAACAACTGCAACCACAACCGCAACAACCCTGACAATATCAACAGCTACTCAGCTGCAAAACCCCATAAAAACCTGACCACTCAAATTTGTTTTACTAATCTAGTAATGACTCCAGTCAAGCACCCGACACAAACGACTACAACTGCAACAACTCTGACAATATCAACAACTACTCAGTTGCAATTATCCATCAAAACACTTACAAGTCAAACTTGTATAAGTTTAAGCATTACCAATAGCTACATGTACTACAACACTCAAGAAACCCCATCAATGTCAACAACGTCATTTGCATCAACTTTTCATGATCCACATTTTTAACTCCAACTGTACACATATATTTCAATACCATCAGTATCAACAATATCATTTTCATCAACTAACAACATTTTCAACTCCAACTCTGAAAACTACATGTGAACCTGCATCATCATTATAAGTTGTTCTAATTAGCCTTACTTGCACTACATGAATCTTAAGAAACTGTATTTAAGCTCAACTTGAACGATGACACTCATTCTTTTACTTCAAAGAATGTAGAAGCCATCTCCTATTCCAAGTTTAATCCTTCCTTTGTCCAGAGCCAGCCCCCAAGATTAGCCATTGACCCTTTAGAAAGAAGGCATTTTAATCTGTAGAGAAGAGGAAGTAACTGTTAACCTCTAGGACAATAGCCCCTCTTCTCTTGTGCAGGCAGAGCAATGAAGCTCCAGACACTGTCTCGATATAGAGTACAGAAGCTGTGACGTCATAAAAATCTATTTTTAGAATTTCTCAATTTTTTCTTCATTTTCCGAAAAAGCATCAAAAATAATGTCCAAATGTCGAAAACCAATTGAATATGTTAAGTATTGGCTGAGATACGACCATCTGAATAAATATATGTCCTATGGGGACTCAGTGTTATATGCTCTGGCTCCTAGTGGTTAGGAGCCAGAGCATATAACACTGAGCTCCTATGGGGAGTATATTTATTCAGATGGTCATATCTCAGACAATACTTAACATATTATATTGGCTTTCAACATTTGAACATTATTTTTGATGCTCTTTCGGAAAATGAAGAAAAAATTGAGAAATTCTAAAATTAGATTTTTGATGACGTCACACTTCACCACTCTATAGGCTCTCCCATTTTAGTCTGGAAATTGGCTTGGATGCGGTTTTCCTTACCAAACTCCATACTTATCTCTCCTCTCCTCGTAGAACGGATTCACTCCTCTCCACATCGCCTCCAAGAAGAACCAGATGGATGTAGCCACAACTCTGCTGGAGTACGGTGCCGATGCCAATGCCATGACCAAGCAGGGGATCAGCCCCATTCATCTGGCAGCCCAGGAGGGCCACACTGAGATGCTAGCCCTCCTGCTGGAGCGTGGCGCCAAGCCCAACATCCAATCTAAGGTATGTACGATAGATCTGCTGGTCCAAAGGCTTTGCCATTCTATTTCTGTCCTATGTATCTTTAAAGCCCCACTGCACTACTTGTAGCTACTTGCGCCCTCTATATAGCAAAAAATGCCCAATCAGTGACCGCTGTTCCCCTACGATCTCCCTTTTCTTATGTTAATTGAGAGCTGATTTGATGAGAACACCACCTGTCAGTGATCACGCTGGGTGGTCTAATCTCTCCTGGCCAAACTAGTGCAGACATCCTTTAAAAGCATAATCAGCAAATTGTTTAGTCTCACATAAAATTATATGTAAAATGATTAATACAAAATATATTATGGGAGTTTTTAGCTGATGCCAAGGCTGTGCCCAAGCAGGACATGAGCCCTACCTCATCTCACCAACCACCTCTATATGGGTCATTCCATAAAGTTAGGGCAAAAAATAAGACGGTGTTCATGTAACGTTGGTATGTGATCTTCTACTACACATGGAAGTTGAAATTATCTGTTGAAGATTTTTATGCAAAGAATATATGTAGTAGTGCCCTGTCAAAATAGTTCCTTTTTCAGTTGCTTGTCTTCAAAATCTTTGCTTAATAAACATTTTCCTTTTTACCAGCGTTACAGGGACGCCATATTCATATAACATTACATAAACTTTGGGTTCATAATATTGATTCACCATGAAGCTTGAGTACCTCTGAAGATAGTTGGCTTTGCTTTTTATGCTAAACTCAATTTGAGCAATCATGGTTACAGTTGATAGGAGACATAGTTTCTCACTTCTGGGCCCTGTCTTACAAAGAGTTGATATCAATCACAACTTATTTGCAATTGATATAAATCGCAACTATGTACATAAGAGATAGGAGACTGTAAACTTGCGATTGATTGGAGGACTTGCAATTGATTTTGATCAATCGCAACTCTTTGTAAGACAGGGCCTATGTATGTCACAAAAATTGCCCCAACTTCGTGGAATGACCCATATACAGATCTTGCGATGTGTGCTATAGAAGAATGGAATATGGACTAAAACCTTCAAATCCATTTGTATTCAAAACGAAATTTTCTCTCTTACAGAATGGACTGACCCCTCTCCATCTGGCTGCCCAAGAGGACCAGCTGGAAGCGGTCTCCATGCTCCTGGACAACGGCTCCCAGATTGACCCTCAGACCAAGGCCGGTTACACCCCGCTCCACGTTGCTTGTCACTACGGCAACCTGAAGACCGTTACCTATCTGCTGGAGCATGGTTCGGCTGTCCAGGCCAAGACCAAGGTCAGTTGAAGATCACGCTTTATTTTTTTTTTACATTGCAATCCATTGCAAGGATCGGATCATGTTTGAATCCATCAGTTGTGTTTTTACCATTGTATCTTGATCTTGCATCTAAATCCATCCAGGGCCCTACTTCACAAAACTTGTCATCCGTGACAAATGACAGTTTTTTGTTATAAGCTACTGAAATCCTTGCTTCTGATTGGTTATCAGCAGATTTGTCAATGATTTTTGTCATTTGTCATTGAAAAAATGCTTTGTGAAACGGGTCCCAGGACAATTCCCAGGACAATGCCCACATTTTGAAATTTTTGCTCAGTAATGATTCAGAGCCCCCCTCCCAAAATGAAGCAGATCCAAGTGCAGAATAAGCAAATTTTCCGCACATATTGTTTATTCTAGTTTTAATACCATGTTGCATTTGATGCCAGAAATTTAAACATAAAATTGGCAACATGTTGAACAGTTTAGAGTCAGTTGTCCATACAAATTGGCAAGTTGTAGCAAATAGCAAATTGAATTTAAATTGGTTGTAAACAGTTGGCATTCAATTTCACAGTCTTTACTACATACGTTCATTTGTAGTTTTCTATTCACAAAGAAAATTTTGCCTTGCTTGAGGGAGGCCTTTGTTAAGCAGACCTAGGGGTTCTTTCACAAAGATCCTTAAAATAAAATATATTCAAAAACAAAAATTCAAGTATTTTAGACTTTTCATAAATTCCACATCGAGAACATGAAATCTCCTTGATAATAAAAAATATGAATGATTTGAATCAACATTTTATGCCTTTTAAATAACCTTTACAAAATACTTTCAAAGATGCTAACGGCTTTCCATAATGGTAAGTCGAACTTAGAGATAAGTTCAACTTGGGATCTTTGTTAAACAGACCTGTTTTTATCATCATATATTCACTGGTTGGGTTGATGTGTCATCAATTACATGATTGTACAATCATTCATTTGTTGTTACAGCATTATTGCTTTTGATGATTGGACCCGATGGCTCAAAACAAGTTGCATTCCTGAAAAGGAGTAAACAGAAAAAAATTAGATTTCTTTCAATAGCTATTGATGTGTTTTATCGATTAAAAGCTAGGATTTCATTTCACTTTTTCAAAAAACATACCTCTATGGTTCTTGATTTGTTTTTAGATTAAGGGACAGCGCCTTGTGTCCTCTGTGGAAAAGAGGGCTATATAAATCTAATTATCATGATTATTATTAATATCTATTCACCCTCCTTATTTCTTGATTTGATATGATGATGTTGTTTGTTTTGATTGCAGCATGGCTTGACTCCATTACATCAAGGTGCACAGCAAGGTCATGTAGCTATCATCAACATCCTCCTTCAACATAAGGCAGATCCAAATGAAATAGCTAATGTGAGTTTGTTTGTTTGTTTGTCTGTTTTTTTTTGTCTGTTTAATAATAATAATTATACATCTCTCAAGTTTGGTAGTGACAGAATGGTCAGAATCACATTTCAAAACAACTTAAACTTGGGTGTCATCTGCATATATCATTCGGCCTAAACCATGCACTTCAATAATATCTTCAAGTGGTGCAGTGTACAAAGTAAATGATAAAGGGCCAATGACAGATCCCTGGGGAACACCTTTAAGTGGTACATGAGGTTTGTGGGGGTGTCGTGGTCTAATGGATACGTCGCTGGACTGTGAATCACATGGTTCGAAGTACGAGTCCCGCTGTGGAACTATTTTCCTTCAGCAAGATTTAATCTACATTTGCCACTCTCCACCCAGGTGAAGTAAATGGGTGCCCAGTAGGAAGGAAATTTGTTGAATGTCATCATGAATTTGTGAAGGACCAATTCTTATGGTCAATATTCAACTCTCATCAGAGGCAAGAAGAAAACTTGCTTGTAGGAGCTAAATGGATATAAAGTATACCCAAATCTTATTTATAGGATTTGGAAACCCATTGGTGTATTCTTCTTTTACTTTATTTTAGGCTTTAGATAACGAGAGTCAGGCTCAGATAGTATACCTAGATAGATGGAAAGAAAACTTGGAAATGTAAGAGACGGATTTTGGTCTGCACGAAGATGCTTTGTACCAAAGATATATCACATACAAACTGCTATTTTGTCCGTTTATATGAATTCTAAGACAATTACAGATTTCCTATTACATCTGCTAATGTCCTGTTGTCTCTCCGTTTTAATGACATGTATTTTTCGCAGAATGGCTACACGGCTCTGGGCATTGCGAAGAGGTTCGGCTACATCTCTGTCGTCAACACTCTCACCACCGTTACCACGGAAACAAGCACCGTTATCTCTGTAAGTTTTTATCTTCTTATCATCTATATACAAATGACAGAACAAGTGATTACATACCGAATTAAACAGATACATTTTAGGATTAGATTAGAGATATCATTGATGTACTATAAGGTGCTATATAAAAGCAGAATATTATTATTATTATTAACTCTGTTTTTAGAGTATATAACTTAGGGCCCTTTTTGGCTCCAAACTGATGTTTTAATGAAAAGGATATAAAGAATTCAAGTTTTGAGTCTGACCTTTAATTCTGTGCAGCCCACCGAATTAAACAGATACGTTTTAAGATTAATTCTGTTTTTAGAGTTTATAAACTTAGTGCCCTTTTGGCTCCAAACTGATGTTTTAATGAAAAGGATGTTAAGAATTCAAGTTTCGAGTGTGACCTTTAACCCTGTGCAGCCCACTGAGGAGAAGCTGAAGGTTCAAGTCCCGGAGACCATGCAGGTCACTTTCATGTCCGACACCGAAGACGAAGGTAAGAATTCTGCACCCCTCCTCTGCTCCCCCACCCCATTAAAAAAATGAAAACAAAAAAAGTAGAAAAGATTATTGTCTTCACAATTGTTTTTTAGTTATTTAGTTTTATAGCTCAGCTCTGTAAATATTGTTGCTTTAAAACTATTATAAAAAAAGGATATTGTAGTAATCAAACACACCTTGATTTAAAACCCTCATTGCTTTATAGCTTAAAATAATTTTTATAAAAGTGTGAAGTAGATATATAATTTCATGTCACACCTCATGTATTTGCTTCAGATTTGATTTGGATTTTTTGCATTTTCATTTGCATCATGGAACATCCCATTGAATTTGAAGAAATGTTTTCATTTTATATTGAATTTGAGTGTATTCAGGATACATACATTCCGTCGTTAAAAGACAAGATCATATTTGACAGTTTGGAAAGTTTCAGTTAGTAGAAAAAGGATATGAAGTTACATGTTGGAATAAACTATCCCTTAAAAGTGGACGTTACATGTATATATTAGAGAATACTATAATATATTAATAAAAGATGAGGCAATTGTAATATTTGAACAAAAACATCAAATATATTTATATGTACTTTTATCTTCCCTTGTTGTTTCATAGATTATAGTTTATCTGCAAATTTATTACACATGAACATGTAGTTCCAAAATATTCAATTTTTTATCCAGAAATCCTTTTAGTCGTAGCTAAAGATAAATTGTGAAGAAAAAGGGGAAAAACGCTATTTATATCACAGTTAAACATATAATATGAATATGGAAATTATCAAAATGTCTGTCCTATTTAAAAAGATACTAACAAACTATTGACATCTATATATACACACCTCTTTAATTGATTGATATTTTCAGATGCACTGTAGAACTCAAATAAAACTCTCATTTAAACCACAATCTTTACTATATTTCTCGTAGGGTAGTTTAATAATTGTAGACTTTATTCTGTATACTGTACTTCTTTTAGGGGTAGTTCTAAATTTTCATAAATATTAGCCAGAATATTTAAAGCCATCATCTGCTTCCTTCATGAAATTATTTTGCTTTCAGTATTTTCATTAGTACAGCTGTCAGTAGAATTTTGAAGAAAAATAAATGTACATATATATATATGATAATTTTTTTTCTCTACCATGCACGATTATGTAGAAAATTTGTGCTTGTTTAGAATGTGATCCGCAAAACGATTTTAAGAATAATTCCTTTTAAAAATCATCTAAATGTATTTGTTTTATATATGTAGCTTGAATAATCAGTTTGTTTTCCTGTTTGCCACCATGCAACCCCCAGGAAAACCTTGCAGTGTTGCCAATTCAAATGGTTATACATGTGAATTTCAGTGGTTGTTCGGCTTTCAAATCTTTCATTTACAAAATAAGTTCATTTAAGATCAATATAAATGATTTTGTTTTGTTTTGCTTGTTGGACCTCAAACAGTGACAAAGTATGTGTATGAAATTCACTTGTTTCAGCTCTAACAACATTTTGATTATTAAAGGGAAAAGAGAAGCAAACAATTTCTGAAATAACTTTTGTAAGCTCCAAAAGCTTATTCGTTGGAGGATGAAACCTTTTGTAAGATGGCAACACTGCAAGATGACGTTAACAATCCACAAATTGATGTGTATCAATCGTCCAATCCCATAAAATTTGTAGTGAATCGAACAAAAGTACGAGTACGCCTTTTGCCGTTTTTATTTTGACAATCATGCTTTATTCTTTGGTCCTCCCATACCTGCGGTAATATGTGTACCATCTCCACACTTCTCTTTCCTGTTTATAGAAAATTCTGGTAGGTTGATTTGCTTATTTGTCAGATCGGTCTTGGAACATATCAGCAACTCATGGAAGCATCTTGCCCTTTTTTTATATTCTTGCCCAACTTGCCCTCAAGCTGTGGGGCTACCAGGGAAAAAAATTAATATTTATTTTTCGGGGGCTACTTTTCAAGCTCGCCTGCATGAAAATAACATTCTAAAATTTGTTTTGCATTGAACTCTATGCAAATTTACAGGGGCTCTTTTCTGATTTTCGGGGGCTATTTTGGGCATTTCAGGGGCTAATTCGCCCCGAGCCCCCCGTGTATCATTTTCACTGGGGGCTACCTGATTTTGATCTTGTCTATGTTTCTGGACAAGTAGCAATTACAGGGGATGGGGGGGGGGGGGGGGGGAGCTAAGAGAAGTTCAAATCTTCTGGAAAGTTCAAAATATTTTCCGAAAGAAAATCATAAGACTTGACATTGCTTTTGAGAATCCAATTTTTTTCTCAATATATACCAATAATCAAACTAAAATGAGCGTATTGTGAACATATCACGTATCATTTCTCACACAAGCTTTTAAAAGAAAAAATACTAAAATAATGGGCTTTAAAAAGAAAAGAAAAAGGCTTTATCAACATGACATCTTTGTTATTCCCGAAAGTTTAAAGGATTTTAATCGGCATATAAAATTTCTAGGGGCAGGTTGGGCAAGTATAAAAAAGGAGAATGTGTCTTGAATTGCTGACTGTGAAACAGTATGCTTCATATGTTGTTTGGTTTCATGGCATTTCATTTTGTTTATTATTTTTGTTCATGGCTTCTGTTTTCATTTCTTATATATCATCACCAAAATCATTTGCAAACAGTTCTATTTATTTCATATTTATATGGTATTTACAGGCTAGCTTTTAACATTTTTTTAAACACATTTTCCCCTCTCACTATCTCTACACATTCAATTCATATATCATGTTATCATAAGTACAGTATTGTATATAAAGCATGCAACTCATTTTCATAAAAGAATATTTATACGCTTTATACAATTTAAATTACAAAATTTATTTGGGAAAGTGTGATTCTTATAATTTAATTATATTGGGTCATGGTCAATTAATAATCACAGATGGATGTTGAAGAGAGAATGGAAGTAATGTGAATTCAATAAGTTTGGGGCCATATTGGTATTAATGTTGACTAATTTGTACTAACCATTGTGCCTTTTTGTGTATTTTGTTATTTTCTTGACTTTCATGTACATATGTCTTCAGATTTGTAGAAATAACAAACTGATTCTAAAGAACGATAATCATCCATCAAAATAAAAAGGAATCAAGAACAAAAAGATGAAAGTTTAAACAAAAATACATAGAATAATGCACACATATGAGCAATACATAGATATACAGTGAACCTTCAAATTTTGTTCTAAAAAAACAATTAAATAAAACCCATGGTTCTAGATGAAGATTATGTAACTGAAACACAAGGATGGGTTAAATAAAAGGGAAAATCATGATGACAAAATATTGATGTTAAATTTTACAAGAAGTATTGAATAGGAAAACATATATATATATATATATGTTGATTAATTTACAAGCTCTTTTCCCCCTTCTCAATTAATTTACTTCTACATGTATACTTTCTGAATTATTATGTGCATGTATTTTCTAAATATGTATTCTTAATGCTATATGTGTACTAACCCAACACTTTTCTTATAGTATTTTTATTTTATCATTTTTTTTTAAATTGCCTCTCAATCTATTTTTAGTTGGATGTAAGTTATTGGGTTTGCAGTGAACCTTTTTATTTTACCTCAATTTTTTTCATATGTGTTTTTATGATTTATTCCTTTACTATCTCTCTCTCTCTATTTATTAGTTGTACCAGTTATTATAGTTTTGAACCTGACTATCAAAAATGATAACTGTACAAACAAGTGTTGAAATTCATTTAAGTGTTCATATTGATGCACATCAGGCTCATCTCAAGAAAGTATATTGAAGAAATTCCTTTTTATGAAATGAAAAAGAAAAGAAAGAAGTGCTGTATAAAAAATGCACTTTCCTAAAGAAAGGCAACAAAATTATAAATGCATTTACATCTATAAAGGCAGAAATGAATAATTTTGTATAGTATGTCTTTAAAAAACAAACACATGACTTCTCTGGTAAAATTTAGTGTGTACCTACATGTATTTCAACAATGAGTCAATAAAAGTTTGTAGAAGGGCAAAATAAAACTGAATAAAACTTTAAAAGTCTGAGGGAGGAATCTAAAACATGTCACCAGAAATGTACAGTTGTGATGTCAGTTAATATAATTAATGTACAGTGTTTACTAGTGGGTATCGTGTATACATTGTAGATATATCAAGTGTGTCTTCATTTGTGAACTGTGTAACATTGTGGTATAGATTACAAGTAGGAATGAAGTAAATACAAGGAGAAAAAAGAGCAAGGAAAAGGGTCCCGGCAATTGAAGATTCCTCTGTTGAATATACCTACATGTATCTTCAAGATTTTCATATTGTCTCTGTAAAGAATGTATTAGTTTTTTGATTTTGATCGAAATCCTACATATTTTCTTCATTTTAGCAGCAAAAAATAAAGTTCCAGTGTATAAATGGGAATTTAAAATCATCATCCACTGGACACTCACAAGCCAAGTTTTATGAAGGAAAATAATAATGAATCTGGAAGAAGTTGTGAATAAGTAACTTTTTGTGTAATGTATTCATTTTGAAGGAATCAAGAATGATGATCTATAATTTGAATTTTGGAAAAGAAACTTTTAAAAGAGATTATGTTGATACTTTTTTAATGATAGGGTTGTAAATTTTAAAAGGATCAAGAGTTTTAAATCGCTTCAAGAAGTATTATGATGTTCCTCTATACATTTGTAATACAGATTATACAATCATACAAGTTGGGTTAAAGAGTATAGGAAGATATAATTCATGTAGAAAGTATTGTATAGTCTTCTTTTTGGGTTAGTGTTACTTATTTAATGATTCCTAAATGATGAAGGAAGATACATAAACAGTTAACAACTAAATTATTCATACCCCTTGTAAGTTTGATGTGTTTTTTTCGAACTCAAGAATGAAAGGCAGACTAGTTGAATTAGGGTCTGCTTTCAATGCTTTTAAGTGTAAGTTTGAATATGTCACATTCTCAAGAAATGTAAATCGGAACAAATCAATTTTTCACATCCTTGTAAATTGCAGAACTAGGTGAGGGTATGAATAATTTAATTGTTAACTGTATATGTCTTAATGTCTATGGATGTCTTGATGTATTCAATTGTCATCAGTCAAAATGGTTTCCCCCTTTAGTAGAGGCTCAAAGTGAGCCATCTAGTGGTATAGTGATGTCCATGGTTGTCCTACTCTGTACATGAGTATCAGGAGTTACCCATTTAGTGTTTAGTATTTACTCACTCATCAATTGTCTTCAGTCAAAATGGTTTCCCCCTTTAGTAGAGGCTCACTGTGAGCCATCTAGTGGTATAATGATGTCCATGGTTGTCCCACTCTGTACATGAATACAATTCATTTCTAAAAGCAACTATCTATTCCCTGATATATTTTCATATGTACATGTACATCATAGTTATGACCCCTTCTTTAAAGAAATCCATCATGTTAATCATTCATTCATAGTATCATTCAATTGATGTGTAGTTTAAATCTTAAATAGAACCTTTCAACTTTGAATGGTATAGAACATGTTTAGCCACTAAGTACTTGTTGTTAGATCATTAGTTCTGTACAGAAACAAAGAGTCAATTTACTGTAAATAAAAGAGTATTAAACTAGAGAAATGGATCAGCAAAGGTATGTGAAAAGAACACTGGACAATATGGATATTGGGCAAATTTTATGTTATTGACAGGAACAACAAGTTTGTGAATCACAAGTTGGCAACTTAGTATGCAAATTAAATAGTGCGATTATCATGACATCTTTGTCACCTGAATTTCTTGCCAGCCTTTACAAAGATCCTAAGTTGAAGTTGAACTTATCTCTAAGTTGGACAATTATGGAAAGTCGTTAGCATCTATGAAAATATTTTGTAAAAGTTATTTAAAACGAAAAGAAAAAAAATCTCTTTTGTGACCAGCTTGTTCCAACTTTCACTTATCTGTTTCTCTCATTTTTCTCTGTTTTTATTGTAAGGGTATTCCTAAGTTATACATTTTCATCTTTTCCCCAACAAAGAGGAAAGACTAAAATGCATTAATTCTTCTTAATTCTCCAACACATACATATTCATGTATCCTGGTTAAAATATAAATGGTGACTAATTATGCAGTATCTCATTGCATTTTATCATTTTTTGCTTCTTTAATGAACCATCAAAACACATAAGCATGGGTATGCAATGACTAATAAGAAACCAACCCTACTCCTTTCATGAAAAAGAAGTAACTTTTTGTATTATTTGTCAAGCCATACAGTGGATAACATCTACAAATGTACAGGCTATGGGTATATATGTACTCCCACGAAACATGTCATAGCATGTAGTCATCTTCCCAGCATGTGAACCATTTTAATAGAAAAGAAAAAGTTTTTTTTTTTTGTTCCAAATTGTGTAAATCTTCTACTAAGAAATACAATGATATTACAATATGCATTGCAATCCTGGTCTCACAAGACTACTGCATGTACTGTACACACACACACACATGTACAGGAGCATACATCCAGAACTTTTTTTTAATTCTAATATGATTATTAACCACTAAAAGGGGAAAAAAGGCTTAAGTATGTAGCTGAGAGAAAGGAAAGAGAAGAAATCTCTGCCAGCTAGATAAAATCCAAGATTTCTAATTATCGTGACCAAATTAAAAACTCATACGCTGTGCATGTATATCCCCAAGTATGTAAACGAAGCCTGTGTAAATAGTCAAATTTCAATCTCCAATCTTCATTTTTTCCAACAAGACTGGTAACCAGTTTTTCATGATTAATCCATATGTAAAATGTACATGTGTATATTGCAGGGGACGATGTATCCATGACTGGGGACCAGTCTCTGCTGACCCCCCAGGAGATTAGGACCATGGGAGACGACTCGGTCATCAACGACCACCGCCGATCCTGGGAGGATGATTGGATGCGAGGAGAACCGGTAAGAGAGGGGGCAGATGGAATTAGGGCAGTCGGTCATTTTGTTCAGTCAAACCTGCTTTAGTGATCACCTGTCAACAAAGGCTACATTTTTTGCTTCCCTTCGAAATGGTTTCTCATTGAAACATTACTTAAAGAACCTGTACATAAAGGATGCGGGGAGAACCGGTAAGAGACGAAGAGATGGAATTATGGCAGTCTGTGATGTGTTACAGTCAAACTTGCTTTAGTGACCACCTGTCTACAAAGACCACATGTTTTGCTTCCCTTGAAAATTGTTTCTCATTGAAACATGTACTAAAAAGGAACCTGGGAGGATGATTGGATGTGGGGGAAACCGGTGAAAATGGTTTCTCATTAAAACATATACTTAAGGAACCTGTACATAAAGGTGCGGGGAGAACCGGTAAGAGATGGGGAGATGGAATTATGGCAGTCTGTGATGCTGTACAGTCAAACCTGTTTTAGTGACCACCTGTGTACAAAGACCACATTTTTTTTGTTTCCCTTGAAAAAGGTTTCTCATTGAAACATGTACTAAAAAGGAACCTGGGAGGATGATTGGATGTGGGGGAAACCGGTAAGAGATGGGGAGATCAGATGGAATGATGGCAGTCAGTGATGTTGTACAGTCAAACTTGCTTTAGTGACCACCTGTCTACAAAGACCACATGTTTTGTTTCCCTTGAAAATGGTTTCTCATTAAAACATATACTTAAGGAACCTGTACATGAAGGTGCGGGGAGAACCGGTAAGAGATGGGGAGATGGAATTATGGCAGTCTGTGATGTGTTACAGTCAAACTTGCTTTAGTGACCACCTGTCTACAAAGACCACATGTTTTGCTTCCCTTGAAAATTGTTTCTCATTGAAACATGTACTAAAGCAGTCGGTGATTATGTACAATCAAACCTGCTTTAGTGACCACCCGTCTACGAAGACCACATTTTTTTTCCCCTTGAAATTTGTTTCTCATTGAAACATGTACTAAAGGAACCTGTCCATAGAGACCACCTGTCCTTAAAGACCACTTTTCTTGTCCCTTGGGTGGTCTTTATAGACAGGTTTCACTGTACAATGTCAGATAACCATAGGGGCATTCCCATATGTGATGCAATACTGTAAAACCCAAACATTTATCTTTTTTATGAAAATAAAATTTTAATCAGTTCAATTCTGAAAGTAATTAGGGCCATTAGAAATACATATTCATGTAAGCTACCGGCAATTCTCTCCACTGCAACTATGGTATTTGGCCATAGAGGGCAATGCCAGTCATGGCAAAGGCACTGAAAGTCCGATATGGAAATCATAGTTTCGGAACCAATAAACTATAGGTAACAGGTTATGACGGTGCCTATTTAGATCTCATCGAATCATCAGGGGAGTGCATTAAACCTAAACAATAGTTTATTAAGATAAGGAATTAGTTGACACCTCCGTGCATTCTCTATGGACAAGAATTCTTGTCTTCCCCACTATTGTATTTGTTATGAGGGATTCAATTCACCTGTTAGGCATGATAGCATTTGTATTGATGGAATCTACCTTCCATTCATTAGGGATTTGTCTGACATAGCAACAAGCAATGTATGCAATTGGCACACTGATTATTAGAATACAATGACTTGTAACATGTGAATGAAAGAGTATGTATCTGAGGTCCATAATGGTTACTAGTGACAACCGTAAACGTTTAAGGCTTGCCTGACATTGCAGCAACTAATGTATGTAACATACATTCTTATCAATGACATAACATACCTTGTACATGTAACAGGTGAATGCCATAGTTATTACTCGGGACTTCAGGGACCGGTAGTAGAAGCATCCGTACAATATGAATACATTTGGGAAATGTTACATTGACCCCCTAACACTATGAATATGACGGACAAAGAAAGCGGACAAAATATACAGTTCCTCATTCTACCCTCAACAATTGCTATGGTAGACAAAGGAACATCTCTTCACTGCTATTATGTAAAAATGTGCAGAACAGGTGAATATGCAAAACTGTGACACCTGTTCTACAGATTTTTACATAATAGTAGTGAAGGGATGTTCCTTTGTCTACCATAGCAATTGTTGAGGGTAGAATGAGGAACTGTATATTTTGTCCGCTTTCTTTGTCCGTCATATTCATAGTGTAATCTGCCAACAACAGGGATGCCAATTTTCAGGCCCTGGGGAGTTATTTTCAGACCATAGTTTAAGGCTTCTTTGTGTCCAAAATAGCTCATTCTAGGTGATTTTCAGGCCCTCTGATCAATTCTAACTGGCATCCCTGCAACAACTGTCTCCATCACCCCTCAGGTTATGAACTACTACACCGGTCACGAGTCCCTCTCCGGCCACTACGGGGGCGACAAGCAGCGCCCCGCCTACAGCCCTACCGGTTACAGCACCATGGACTCCAGGAACAGCACCCTTAACAGGGACTACAATGCACCCCTGGGTCGCCCCGATGACAGCATCATTGAGGGAGAGATGATCATGGCTACCACTGAGGTAGGCTTAAAGGGATTGCGTAACTTTGTCTCAGATTATGAAACAAAATCCTAGATTTAGCTCATGCTACAATAAGGATATATTGACTGCTTTGAGAGGCATAGTTGTTTCTATAGGGTCAAGGGAAACTCACAACCTGCTATGACCCCAAGGCGCTTGCGCCGCGGGGTCATAGCAGGTTGTGAGTTTCCCGAGACCCTATAGAAACAACTATGCCTCGAATATTAAAAGCAGTCAATATATATTTTATATACCGAAAAAAAGAAAATGTTGACTCACCCAATTAGGTTTCCATCTCTTTGAAGTCATGAATATTAACACCAACAATAACTTGTGTACAGTATGAAATCCAACAAGCTGTGCTCCAGTAGAACAGGGAATACCAAACACGTTTACACGAACAGTAACTTTTGTACAGGATGATATCACCAACAAGCTGTGCTCCAGTAGAACAGTAGAACATGAACAGTAACTTTATAAATTCACAAATTCGCAACATATTTACACAGACTGTGCGTCTAGTCTACTTGTTGTAGATGTTTACAACACAGTTTTGTATGTTAAATGTTGGGGCTTGGACTTGCGTGGATTGGTAGATTCGTCGCCTGAATGCAGCGACCAAAATCGAATTGCACTCAAACACCGTTAACGGTATTGCGCATCGGTCATCGCACAAAAGAAACTTATACGGTAACACGTAAACCAAAATGGGGATCGCAGCAAAATGACGTCACGTTTCACAGCCATGGAAAAAGTGCTATGAAAAATGGATATAAACCGGTAGAGCCGGGAAAAATGACTATGAATTTCAATTAGCGGGCATGGTTAAGAACATGACTGCATTTTCAACCAATCAGAAGACAGGATTAGTAAAGAATCTTAAAATGAGGTATATAATGATAATTATAAACCTTTAGGTCACCCCATGACTTTACAAGCCGATCACTTGTCTGATTATCAAGATATTTATGATTGGAAATCAAAATCAAATTCAAAATCAAATCAAACGGTTTTCATAACACTACAGTCTATTGGGGAAAATGAGTATGGTAAAACCTTTTAAAATTTTTTTTTTTTGAGGCACTTCATGATCATTTTGAAGCACAATTTTTTTTAGGGCTTTAATATTACACCATATCACAGAAACTGTTGACTATCACAGACACTGTTAACTGTTAACACGTAGGGCCGTGCATCTCAGATTTAACATTGCTAAACGATGCCTTTAACTTCCATCTTACCCTAGAGCGTCGTGGAATCAGCACCACCTCTTCTTAGCTCCACGCCCAACCGCCATTCTACCGGCCCTGTAATAACACTCAACGGCAAGACCTACAACATCGGGGACCCCTACGTCGACGATAACGGCCGCCTCGTCTCTGGCAAGGCCTTTGGACCCAACGGACGACCGGTGTCCGTCACGCTTGACAACGCACCGATGCACCAGATGCCGTTCTTTGCAGGGTAGGACTCTTTATGCTGTACTTTGCGGAAGTCATTCCATTATTGTCGCTGCATTTTCTTCTGATCTATAATGATAAAGATCGCACAATATAAATGCACAACAGGGGCAACATTCACTAAAAAATTGGATCCAATTGATGGTTCATGAATGAGAATTTTGTAAAGTGAAATTATGATACGCATAAAGTATTATGCTTAATCCATTCATAACTCAATATTAATATTTTTCCCTCTCTGTTTGGCCCCCTTTCTTTGTCTCTTTGACATTGTTGTGGTCTGTCTCTTTATCTGCCCTTTTCTCTCTTTTAACAATTTGTTTGATTCTCTTTCTCTGTCTTTTTATCTCTGTGTCTCTAACTCTCCTCTCTCTCTCTCCCTTTCTCTCCCTTTCTCTCTCTTTCTCTCTCTCCCTCGCTCTCCTTCCTCCTCCCCCTCTCTCTCCTTTTCTCTCCTTCTCTCTTCTCTCTCCATCCCTCTCTCCCTCCCTCTCTCCCTCTCTCTCTCTCCTCTCTTTTACCTCCTTCCTCTCTCACTCCTCCTTCCTCTCCCTCTCTCTCTCTCTCCTTCCTCTCCTCCATGCAGGTTCCTGATCAGCTTCATCGTGGACGCCCGTGGTGGCACCATGCGCAGCTGCCGCCTGCCCGGCCTCCGCGTCGTGGTACCGCCACAGCGCGCCTCCGGCCCCACGCGGGTCACCTGCCGTCTCATCAAGCGCACCAAGCTCACCACCCAGCCACCCCTCATGGAGAACGAATCCCTCGCAAGCCGAGTGCTCGAGGTCGGACCTGCCAACACCCAGTTCTTAGGGTAGGCCAATTGTGTCCCCAACTTATACTCAAACACCTAACATTAGTGTCGTGCCGCATCAGTTTCTTTTTCATCCACTTTTGCGGTGTGTCATTCACAAACTAACAAAGCGGCAAGTAATCACTTTCATCACTACTTTACGTCCCGGTGTTTTCCTTTTTTTTTCCCCATGACAAATTCTTCAGAAGTTTAATTTATTTAGCACCACAATATCAAACAATTCTGAAAAAAATCTTTATAATGAAATGGTAAATGTAAGGTCCTTTATTTTTTTAATTTTTATGTTCCAGAATTTTTTGTTTGTTTAAAATGTGGGTGATATATATCGACATCCAAACATATCTGGGAATCATCTTTGCTGTTTATTTCCTTTTTGTTAATTAACATACATCTTGTAGCAATTCTTTTGTACTTTGTTTCCATTTCATGTTGCATTTGTCATTCACAAAATATGGTACCTTCTACTTGTTCTGTTTTCTGAGCAGCAGTTTATTGGAGGGTTAATTCATTACTTAATTCCTTGTGTCAGTTCCTTAAATGCCCCCCCCCCCCTGAACACAAATAAAAACAGAAAATTCAAGAAGGAAACATATACAAGAAAGGAAATTTGTTGACAAGCCATCGTGAGAAGTTTGTCATTGCACTTTTAAAACTGTTATTTTCATTCTGTTGAAAATTTATTGTGCACTTAGTTCATCATCCTAAAATTGCAAGCCAGTTATTTGATTTTAGAGCAGAGAAAATTAATTTTTAGTACCACCCTGCAAATTTGTTTTAATTACACTGTGTTCAGTTTGATTTCAAAACCAGCCCATACTTAATTTGATAACTCTAATTTCTCATGCTTTTAAAAAGTTATTCAACATATAATTTCTGTTAATTCGTCATTGTCGAGTATGACCATGTTGCCTACATGTATTTTCACCATCAGTTGCTTAAAAAAAACTTGTTCATCACTTGTCTGTCATCATGTATACTCAGGTTATTTTCAAATGATCAAATACTCAAATGCTCAAATGATTTATTTTCTTTTAATCAGTTTTTACACATTGCGATGCAAAGCTTCTGCTTTAATTAAGTATTTTATTTATTTCCTTGTATTTTTCATCTATTTCAATCAATGCCTAGAATTCTATTAGTATTTCTTTGAAGTTCTAGAATCAAATACAATTTTGCATTTTTTAAACAGCAAGTTATTCCCCAAACTCAAGATTAATCCTTTTCTATGAATGTTTCAGACAAAAATCAACTAATTCATTTGCTTCTTTAACAAACTTAACAACATATTGCTGATAATCATTTTGCTATTCAAATATTAAAGCATCTAGATAACAAAAAGTAGTAAATTTAGTGCATTTGAAATGTTATTAACATCCACTAATTCTGGAGCAATTATGCAAAAACAAGCATATTATACAGATTTTGTTTGTTACTGTGTGTTGTGTATTAACTTGTTTTGTAATATTAATGCAGTTTGTCTTTCACCTTGTGTTCTAACGTCACAATTGTCTTTGTCTCTTTTCCCTCCAATCTCTCCTAATGGACTTGTTTTAATTCCTTTGATTTGAACATTTCGCTCCTCTTCATGCCGACATTCACCTTCCTCCATCTCCTTGTCCCGTTTCCATGACGACCCCCTCATCCTCCCATCATCTCCATCCTCCATCCCGTTTGGTTTTTATCATGGTTTCCTTCAACCATTATTTGACCTCCCCCTGGACCTTTGAACTCTGACCTCAGGGGTCTTGGAAATAAGAGCGTGACCTACCCTCCCCTTAACGACGGCGAAGCCCTCTGTAGCCGAATCATTGAAATGGGGCCGCCGAATGAAAAGTTTTTGCGGTATGTGTGAATGAGAGTTAAACTTGTTTTGTCTTGTGATGCACTTTCACTGCATGTTACAGCAAATAATGGTCGGCATGTTTCTGATCATTAAAGATTCGGTAATCAAACGTTGATGGTAAGAGACGCCGATTGTGTGCATATTCATGAGGCTGGTTTTTAATATTTTTTAAAACCTCTGTGCATGGTTTTGCCGTGCGGCATGGTTTCATATGATATCACACGTCCAACTGCACAAGAATGGTCAAAAGTTTCCCCAAAAGAATGACCCCTTCACGAACATTCACATATTTTCACATTTACATAGTATAGGTCCCATGAAACATCCCTGTGGTTAACCATATTGCTTATAAACTACAATAAATGATATTTTACAAACTTTGGGGGCTTGTCCTGGAGTGAAATGTCTTTTTTCAATTTCGGTTTCATGTATTCCCAAATCAGTTTTCTTTTTGAAATTGTTTAATTGGCAGATAAAGTAATGAATTTGTTCTAATAAATACTGGTACCATTATTTGACACAGCCTTCCCTTCATCTTCACAATTGTAGACAGCTGCATGTCTGTCTGCAAATGTTTTTTTTTTATCAAAGGCAGATCATTGCACATTTTTCTTGAGACTATTGGGATAGAGAATTGAGGAAATTGCATGTGGATGAGTTGAGGACTTGAGGCAGCATTATGGGTATCTAATTTTCAAGTCAGATAATCATAGGTCATGTGAATTTATATTTAATTAATATTTTACAGGGAAATGGGGTAAACTTGACTATTGAAGATTCAATACTTAATGTTTATGATGATGATGATAATACTAACTTACAGAGCGTAACTGTTGTATAACATAATGTATTTGAACAACTTCTCAATAAGTCTGGAGATAAATGATCTCTTTTGATATTGATGATCACTTTTGATATTGATGAGGCTAAATTACTTTTTTTGTGATTTATCATGAAATATCATGGGTATTTCTAAGACATGTATTTGTGCTAAACTTCTCATGGAAAATTAAATGAATCACTTATTTTCATCTTCCTTGCTCAACTTGTACATTTATCAACAACGAAATTGTATCTTTTGTTGCTTTATTTCATTCCATTCTCAATTCATGTCAGTCATGCTACATGCTACCCGTAATTCTTGCCCATGCACACAAAAAATAGATTAAAAAAACAGAAAGAAACTAAAAAGAAACACACATATATTTCATCTTCCCCTTATGTGTTTTTCCTTCTCTATATTTACTCTTCCCTTTATTTGTACCTGAATTGCTCTTATTTACATGTATCATACCACATATATGGAACCTGCAAAATATGTCATGTTTGTTTCCGCCATGTCAATATCCAGTCACCAGTGTTCAGAATGTTTTGAAAAGGTCATTGGAGTTATTATGACTGGAAAATGATGTGAATTTAGGAAGTATAGTGGAGTTTGAATCCATTTCAAAACCTTAGCTTAGCTTAACATACTTTTATTTAACCATCAACTTTCTTTTCCAGATGCATGGTGTGAAAATAATACGGCATCATGTGATTTTCTTTACAAAAAAAAAAAAACTTCTTATACTCTGGTTTGTTTCTATATTATACTCGAGGCATGTTTTGAAGTGCTGTTTGATTTTACCCTACATTACAGAATTATTGCACAGAATGTTAAACTCAGTTTTCAGGAGTTTCATGATACCCTTTACCAAGAGTCAAGTTAAGAGAGTTCTTGTTGGAACACAATCATTTTTTTAATGTAAAATTCAAATGTTAATACTATCATAGAATGTTAAAATAAAATATATAGAAAAGCAGCAGGTATTCTTTCGTTGGAAATCTTATGGTAGGATTAAAGTTGTGAAGGGTTTAGACATGTGTGGAGAATGCTTGCAATACTGCAAGGCAACGATTATTGAAGCAATTAGATTTAATACACATTGATAGAGTTTCTGCACAAGTTTTTAGAACCTTACAGTTTTATGTAGCACCTAACTTAGATGTGCAAACTCAGTGAAACTTGTTAAAACCCAAGTCATATCCATAGGCACAATCAAACGTTATAGGTAAATGTTTGATCAAACCATGACACATTATATATTTCTAGAAACACAGCTTCATTCATTAGCTGCACTGTCTTAGATCAGTGTACAGTATATTTGCACTGGTCCTCACTATCTTAAGTAGGCCATAAAGATTCTTGTAGAATAATGTATCAGAGTATGGTAGAAAGAGAAAAGAAAAGGAGAATAGAAAAGGAAATATCCCAATCATTGATAGAAAAGTTCAGTTGATAGTCGGTTGCAAAGTAAGAACTCTAAACCTGAAACGTGTATGTTATGTTGTTTTTTAAATGGGAAAACAAAAATGCTCATTCAACTTTTGTTTGGTGAAAGCCAGGAAGTCTTTAAATAACTTAACATGCAAATAGCACCCTTCTCGCTTCAACAGATGATTTCTTAAAATATGTAGTGTCCTTAAATACCTTGAAATTACTAACTTATGCTAGATATATCTCATCCCCCTCCCTCAGTACTCCCTCTTTCCTCAAAATCAATTGGAGATCATTAAATTTAAAATTTAAAGTTGCATTAAAGGGAAATGTCTTCTAAAGAAACTAATGAGCTTATAAAAATGAAAAATATAAAAACATGATAGGTTATGCACTTCATAATCATCTTTGTGTAATCGATATCTAATGATATCTTTCTCTATCGCAACAGACCGGTTTTGATCGAGGTTCCGCACTTCGCCTCGCTGCGCGGCAACGAGCGTGAGATCGTGATCCTTCGCAGTGAGACGGGAGAGACGTGGAAGGAACATTCTCTGGATGCAAATGAGGAGGAGATCCAGAAATCCATGGAGGGATACGACCAGGAGGGTAATGCAGTGACCTTTGACACTTGCAAATATGTTTCTTCTTGAAAAGAAAGTCCTTGTGTTCAATTCTAGGAATATATTTTCTACAGTGGTTTACATTCCTAGTTAATGAGTACCTGGTCAGAATGTATCTCTTTCAAACTTTTAAATGCTTCTTTAACTGCCAAAAGAATGTGAAAAAAAAAAGATTTTCTTTCCAAAACACTTTGAGATATTATTTGATATTATATGAGATTACAGAATGGAAATGATAATTGTGTTATTGGATATTTAGGGCAGGAGGAAAATAAAACATAGAATTGGAACTAAAACAATATCATTTTGGTAGTACATGTACATGGTCTAGTTACTGATTTCCTGTGGTCAATCTCTATCTGTTATCAAATTTGTTTGGAAAGTCCATCTTCCTACAGACAGTAGTTGTAAAAGATTTCATTAAACAAATGTGTAAATGTTTGAATCAGGGTAAGAGACTAACTAAATACATGGCGTATATACTCATAAACGAATAATACATGCCAATAAAAACTAAAACAACTACAACAACAATGATTTTGGTGCCCTCTACAGACAATGACCAGTCCAAGGGCCAGTCGGACCGCCGCATGTGCCGCATCCTGACCAAGGACTTCCCACAATACTTTGCCATCATCTCGAGGGTTCGTCAGGAGACCAACACCATCGGACCGTCGGGAGGCATGCTGAACTCGACCGTCGTACCACAGGTCCAAGCAGTGTTCCCTGAGGGAACCCTCACTAAGAAGATTAAAGTGGGACTACAGGTGAGAAAAAAATGAGCAAATTTATTTCATGCCGTTTCTTAACACTTCCTTTCATTTCTTGGCCTCTCTGCACGGTTGCATGTTTGCCATTTAAAGCCCGTCTGTACTAGTTGGCCAGGAGGGATTAGACCTCCCTGCATGGTCACTGACAGGTGGTTATCTCATTAAATCAGCTCTCAATTAACATAAGAAAGAGAGGATCATGGGGGACCAATGGTCAACGATTAGGCATTGACTGCTATATGGAAGGCGCAAGTAGCTACCAATAGTGCAGTGGGGCTTTAACACTTTGGTTCATTTCTTGGTCTCTCTGCACGGTTGCTCGGTTGCTCGTTTGCCAAACATGTAAGGAAAGTTTTGCTTCATGCAACACAAGGGCTCTGAAAAATTACCCATATACAGTCTTGATTTCCCCCATGACAACCCTTATAACACCAGGGGAGTGTTTCACAAAGACTAAGATCAACTTTAAGTTGGACTTAACTATGGCAGACTGTTCATGCCACTGTTCTTTCTCACCATAATGGCCTGTCATGGTTAAGTCCAACTTAAACTCAATTTTATTCTTTGTGAAACACCCCCAAGTAGTGATTAATCTTGCACTGAAAACAGTAAAATAATCTCAAAACCTTTGATTTATCAATCCCATGATGAATACCATACTGCACAGAATTTATTGGGCCATTTATTTATAAAGAGTTCATACAACATATGTCAATTTTTGAACAAAATGTATATCTTATTAAAAACTAAACATTTAAACTAGATGGTGTGTCTATATATGTTCTTTCACTTTTACAATGTCATTTAAATGTATTTAGGCTCAACCAGTTGGAAACGATGTCGTCAAGAAGGTCTTAGGAAACCGTGTGATGGTGAGCCCCATTGTCACCATTGAGCCACGACGCCGGAAATTCCATAAACCCATCACAGTCACCATCCCCGTACCCACTGCCTACAACCAAGGGGTTATCAACGGGTATGGAGGGGACTTCCCTACCTTGAGACTGCTCTGTAGTATTACAGGTACGTCCGAACATACTTGTTCTTGTAGGATGTGTATTGTGTTCTAAAGCAGTGTAGTGTTTAGATAAATGGGTGTATTGACTTCTTCAGTTATGATTAAAGTGATTATGGCTTCGAACAAAGGAGTTAGCAACTAGTACGAAGTTCCCTACATTTAGACTGCTCTGTAGTATAACAGGTACGTCCTAACTGACGTGTTCTTGTAGGATGTGCATCGTGTTCTAAAACAGTATAGTGTTCAGATGAATGTGTGTATTGACTTCTTCAGTCATGATTAAAGTAATTATGGCTTCAAACAAAGGAGTTAGCAACTAGTAGGAAGGGGACTGTCGTACACTCTGCCTCCTCTGCCGTATTACAGGTGCATCTGAACAATCATGTACTGGTCCCATTATATTGTGTGTCAAAGCAAGTAGTGTTTAGATGAATGAACTTTCTGTCATGATCAGTTATGATTAAGCATGCTTGTTTTGACTCCTCCAGGTGGAACTGCACCGGCACAATGGGAGGACATCACTGGTACTACTCCGCTGACCTTCGTTAACGACTGCGTATCCTTCACTACCACTGTTTCAGCAAGGTGAGAAACGTTTCTTCAATAGAAGTCATTATTCAAGCTAGTGCTAGACTTAACAATTATGGAAAGCCGTTAGCATCTTAGAAAATATTTTGTAAAAGTTATTTTGAAAGGCAAAAAATGTTGATTCAAATCATTCATATTTTCTATTATCATGTTCTTGATGTGAAATTTATGAAAAGTCTAAAATACTTTTTGCTTTTGAATATATATTTTTTTAAGACTACAAATGTTCAAGTCCAACTAAGAGTTAAGTTCAACGTTGATAGGATCTTTGTGAGACACTCCCCAGGTCTGTTGAAGTCCTTTATCAATCATTGGTCAAGTGGTTCGAGCGCTTTGGAACTGCGTGGAAAAGAAAGTGATACCACATACAGGTGTACACTTGGATGGATTGAATCCAAGGATGCATTCCTTAACCCACTCTGTAATGTAATAACGATTCACTAAATTACGATATTCTTTAATATCCTACTTTCATTTCTACCCTAGATTTTGGCTGATGGACTGCAAAGAGATCGACCAGGCGAGCAACTTTGCCCGAGAGCTCTACCAAGAGCTCAAAGCGGTGCCCTTCATGGCCAAGTTTGTGGTCTACGCCAAGACGCACGACCCCGTGGAAGGGCGCGTGCGCGTCTTCTGCGTGACGGACGACAAGAGCGAGAAATCTCTGGAGCAACAGGAGAACTTCAAGGAAGTAGCCAGGAGTAAATTTGTCGAGGTGAGCTATCTTCAGAAGGCCTGTTTTCATCAGCTCGAGGTTGCCAAATAGCCCGCTATTTCTGATTTGGGAAATAATCCCGAAGTTACAAATCGCGTCTTTATCAGCTCGAGACTTGACCTCGAAACATGAAACTCGAGCTTGAGATGTTTTGCTCAGCATTCGCGCATAGTGCGAAAGAGACAAAGCTCTAATAATAATAAATACTTATAAAGCGCACTTATCTAATAACTTAAGGCGCTAAACAAAACAAATAAACAAAATACGCAAATCTCTCTCCAGAATTTTAACAACAATAAAAACATTTAAATATGTTTCTGAAAGGTGTCTAGACATTGAATGTTTCGAATGGCACTTGGCAGCTTGTTCCAGAGGACTGGTGCAACATGCACAAATGCACGATCCCCATAATGGGTGGTTCGGGTTCTGGGAACTTTTAGGATGGTAGAGGCAGAAGCAGAAGAACGGAGGCAGTAGTGGGATTCTGTTAATATTGCGTTTATCTGATGCCCTCTAGGTTCTAGAGAGCAGACCGGTCTTCATCGAGATGGCAGGCAACCTCGTTCCCGTTCAGAAGTCTGGTGACCAGCTCAACCTCGCCTTCACCGCCTTCCACGAGAACAGGCTGCCGTTCTTTGTCAGGGTACGCGACCAGTCGTCCGAGCGCTGCGGCCGGCTGTCGTTCATGCGGGAACCCAAGGTGCAAAGGGGCCTTCCTCCCCAGAAGGCCGCTTGCAACCTCAACGTCACTATGCCATCTTATGTCAAGGTGAGAAGCTATAATAATAATAATAACATGCTTATATAGCCCTGGGGGGTGTTTCATAAAGATCCCAGGTTGAACTTATCTCTAAGTTGGACTTAACAATTATGGAAATCCATTGTTCATGTTCTCGACGTGAAATTTATAAAAAGTATAAAATACTTGAATTTTTGCTTTTGAATATATTTTATTTTAAGGCTACGAATAGCTCTCCATAATGCTTAAGTATAACTTAGAGTTAAGTTCAAGTTAGGATCTTTGTGAAACACCCCCCTATATCACAAATATATCCCTATGCGCTGTACTGGAGAGAAGGATAGAAAAGAATTTAGAACAGTGAGATACGCTCAACATACTTCCTTAATGTCATTTATAGTTAACATTGGAAATTGTTTCTAAAAAGAAAGGTTACATGTATAAGACAAATTTTCGACAATATCTCTGCTGATGCACCCTGAAGAGATAGTGACCCGTAGAACTTTGTATTTATTTGAGGGATTGTAAGGAGGGTCTATTCATACTCAAATAATAATAATAATAATAATCATAATAATATTATGGATATTTATAAAGCGCCGGTATCCGCCAAGCTCTGACGCTCATGGCGCTTTACACATAGCACCCTGGTTGTAACCGCGCTGCCAAAGTTACTAAGAAATATTTTCTCGGTAAATGAATAATTTCCTTCTATCTTGCCGACGATGTAATACCTTGTTTCTTGCAGTGGAGAGAAAGAAAAGACAGTTTTATTGACTGCTTAATAGACAGTCCCAACCTGCGCTTTTCTTGTCCACACTTCTTAACACTTCTAATTTCTTTCCCTCTGACACCAATTTTTACCTCAAAAAGGTGAAAAAAGCAAGTGAAAGTGAATCGGAGAGCGAAGAATCAAGCGAAGATGAGGTATTGTGGATGCCGAATATTTGGAATGATTTGGTTGTGGTATATATTTTGTTTGCTGGTTAACTATTATTTTGCTTCTTTCATTTGTGTAGTTTTTATTTGACTTTAATTTTTAGTTTTGTTTGCTTTAGTCTCCAGTTTGCGTGGTATTTATTTTTTTCTTTTAAATATTTATATTTTTAACAGTTTTACCATCATAGTATTTAAAGTTATGGTTGAATTTTACAACCAAAAGCCCTGATATTAAATCACAACTTCAAATTTTATATAATGTATGGTGTAAAACCAGTAAAATTTTGTTTTAATCTTGCATCACAAGTAACACATATACATGTGTACTATACAGACTTGTTATTACAGACTGGTGTCTCTTCTTTGCATGTATAATAGTTTCTGCAATGGTGTAGTGGTTTTGAGATGGGGTACCATTCAAGGGTTAAAATTAGTTACGGTAATTTGCTGAGAATGCATGCAAACCTATTAGTAGAACTTTCACTAGTCAGGGGTAGTAAATTGGTGTGTTATTAGTACAATGTGTATATTAAGCAAACTTTGGTATACAGTCAAACCTGTCTTAGTGGTCACCTCTCCATAAAGGCCACCCGTCTATAGTGGCCATGTATTTTGTATCCCTCAAGAAAAAAATGCTAGTTGTAGAACCTGTCTAGAAAGGTCACCTATCTACAATTAGGCCACTATTTCCCTATGATGGCCACAGTAGACAGGTTTGACTGTATACATGCAAACACGTATTTGGGAAAAGGAATTTTGGTTCCAAGCTGGCATGCAAATTTCTGAATGGAATTCAGGAGATTTTTCATCTAGTGCACAGCTTTCTTTATAGTGGAAAGTTTTCATCCATTGCAAGAACCATCGGCTTTGCACAATTATTTACGCACATATAAAGCACTATAATGGGGATGCCCAACTTGTATTTGGTGTGTTATCCAAGCGACATGGGACTTCTACGGACATTGCATGCAAGGTCATTACCATGGAAACGCAGGGATCATCGAAGAGCATGGTTATTATTACTTCACTGAAGGAGAGATAACAGCCAAATATTATGTATGCACCAATTAGAATTTATGTAGCTGCCTTTTGGTGAACAGTTTGCTACATTTTTATTTTATTGCATGTTGTTGCTTGTGTTTTGTGTATGATTTTGGTTTAAATTAATTAGATATTCATGCATTTTGATGGACTTATTTGTAATAATTTGTTTACAACATACAGTTATCAGTTCATTAAATTGATTGACGTGCTTGACACAATTTGTTAGTTTTGTATGTTGAATCAATTAATTCTTTTGTAAAGCCATTAAGTCAATAATTAGGTGGTTATGGTTTTGTAATTGTTTATGAAGAGGGTATTTAAACTGCAAATTCTCTTTATAGAAGTAATATTTGAAGCTTATATTTTTAATACATTATAGCGACACAGAACCCCTTATATCAAGAGTAAAATATATTTTGGTGATTGGTAACACTTTAACAAATTTAAAAACCGCCATGATGCAAAGCTTTCATGTCATTTAAAGCCTGTCTGCACTAGTTTGGCCGGGGGGATTAGACCTCCCTGCAAGATCACTGGCAGTTGGTTATCTCATCCAATCAGCCCTCACTTAACATAAGAAAAAGGGCATCATGGGATACCAACAGGCACCGATTAGGCATTGTTTGCTATGTAGAGGGTGCAAGTAGCTATAAGTAGTGCAGTGGGGCTTTAAGTTACTGGTTTTGCAGCATGCCTTCTGTATTTATGGAATACTCATTTGATCTTTTTATCAACTTATCTTCCACCATCAGGAGTACAAGATGGAAAAGGGCGAGGTATGAATGAACGTTTGGAAGCATGCTTGTCAGTGATGTTTATTTACAAATATCATGCATTTTGCATTCTGGAGGCAACTTTTTATGGCACTTTTTTTCACTAAGCTTCCTTACAAAACATGGGGAGTTAGAAAGAAGAAAAATTACCGTTCAAATTGTGATAAGTGTATTATACATATCAGGCACTTAATCTCAAAATTAGCATTCTGTACTAGAAGATTTATGACAAAAGTGCTTTAATAAATCAATGAAATGAACAGTTATTTCATGGCGTCGAACTCTGACAACTTAAGTTGGCTCATTTATTGAAATACTTTATGTGAGCAATTTTTAGAGATTTTTTTTGATGATTATAAATCATATCATATTTTGTTCACTGTATTCCTGTATTCATGCATTTTAATACAGGTCTACATGCATGCATGCAGGCTATTCATGTACCTGTATTTGATTTGTGATAAAACTTTTCATGTAGAGTACAGTAATAATTTTTGAAATAAGTCTGTAGATGAAATTCATAGAATTCATTGGCATTGATTTGGAATCTAAAAATGTTTAATTCTTACTCCTAATTAAGGCTTTGATTGTGGAGAATAAAAATGACATTCCTTAATTCTAAGACAGCATTTTTTCTTCGCTTTAACATATTACTTCATATACGTAATAGTTTGTCTAGATGCAGACTTTTTCCTTCTCTTCTTTCAAGTTCCCGCATTTGTCTGTTGAAAGCCAGAAGGGTGTTAACTCTGTGTGAAACTATATGAGTTAATGCCCTTCTGGCTCCAAACAGACAATATGTATTTTATATGTTATGCATATGATATCTACCGTAATGGCTAAAAGAGTGAGATGTAAAGAAGAAAAGAAAAAGGGAAAAAAAATTGAGCTGAAATAATTGTTAAACAATATCTTATATTTGATACGCCTGGATGTTTTTAGGTGTCAGCATCGTACACGCACATGTACTATTGTAATAATGTCTCCAAATGCTTTAGATGTGTAGGATAGGCCCACTTCAAAATGATATATATCGTCATGCAGTCCCATGTATTGATGAACTTGTACCGTTTTGTAAGTTTCCATCACGCTTTCTATATCTTGTAATTCCCTTTCACAGCGAGAACAATATACAACCCAGGTAACAAAATTCAAAACAAAAAGCACCCATGCCCCCCACCCCCCTCACCCTTACCGTTTTTAACCCCACCTTTTGGCCACTTTTTGTTTAACAGAGACCCAAACGAAAGAAAACCTTTTGTGTGATCATTTTGAATGAAGTTTACTTTTAATTTGTGTTGCATAGAAACATTTTCCCTTAAACCTTTTGGTTGTTTTCGTTCTTGTTTTCGTTGACTGAAATTTGGAATTTCATTGTTACTGAATGTTGCCATACCTTGTCTCATGTATGTGTATTTGCCTTTTATACATAAATCATGATGTACATGTAACTAAATTTTAAAGTTGTCTCATTTTTTAAATGGAGAGTAACATACTGTGAGGTGTTATCCTTTGGCTTTGGCTTTGATCCAAACCTCTTTTTACCCCCATCAAAAAAGACCTTTAACCTAAAAAAAAATTCTCATAAATTGAAATACAAAAATTGAGAAAACAACAAAAATAAAAATCATATATATTCTGTAACAGAAATCTCTAGCTGAAAAAAAGAAAATTGTTGCTCACTGCCCCCCCCCCCCCCACACTAAGCGAATATCGGTCGATGCAATTTTCAAACACCCTCCTTGAAAAAATCCTGCATACGCCACTGCAAACACTTGTAAGTGTCTTGAAGACATTGATTATTCGAGAATACAAAGATATTTTTTTCTTCATTTTGGGGATAACATTTTCAGATATCTGCTCCCACAGCACAGAAAAAATAGCTTAGAGTTGTGATTTTGATTTTGAGTTGTACTACCCTCCTATTTATCTGTTTTATGTTTTTGCAGTGTTAATTTAGAGGGTATATACACAGAAATGCCAGGGTGCTATACAATGAAAAATATAACTTTCTAAAGGCCAAACTCTTGACTAAACTGGCCCCCTCTCCCAAAGAAAGTGTTTGAAAAGTGATCAACACTTAAAATGAGGATGATAGTACTTAGTTCTTTTCAGGTTGACTCATTTGGTCTAGAACTTCAAATTTTTAGTTTAAAAAGAGATTCTGTTTGATACTGGGTCAGGAGAATTTGACACAAATACTTGTGCATTCGAAATTTGCTTGCCCCGCCCCTGATAGAATGCATGAGAAATTTGTTACGTTCAAATTGAGGTGTTGTGGTATAGTGGTTCATTCACTTGACTCTTAATGCAAGGGTTTAGGGTTCAAATCCCAACCAGACACCAACGTCTTTTGGCAAGGCATTATTCCACATCTGCCACTCTCCACCCAGGTGTAAATGGGTACCTGGCAATTGCTGGGGTAATAATAATTGCAGGTCCCTCGGGAAGAACAGCATTGATGTTTTTATTGTGAATTCTGAGAATAAATAAATGAAATAAAATCACACAGCATTGATGCTGATGAGGCCTCCCTGGGTAAACCAAATTAGTATTATATTTTTCATTATTATGTATCACCCTGGTATTGAAGGTGTAACAAATGCATTTAAGTAAACACTTTATCTTGTGCAGTTGTGCATGCCTTGTAACAGTTTAGTTCACAGCATCATGTATACATCAGAGATTGTTTATTGGAATTAATTTAAACCATGGACGTCACTCCATTTTTATCATTTTTCTGTTTCCTCATGTCTTTCCTTTTATTTTATCCGGCCTGGGCTTAGCAGAAAGAGCAAAAGATGTTCACAAAGGTATCTAGTGACGCCCTTTGAGTTTTCTTTTGGGCATGCCCTTAATCAATGTCTTGTGATATGGAGATTGCCTTTAAAGTTTTATTATGACAAGGAATTGGACTTTTTATTAACTTTACAGTAACATAACTTGTTGAAATTGAATTAAGAGAATGGGCTCGTTTGCATGGATTTATTTTGGAGAATGAGAGAGAAAAGGGGGATTTCAGAAAACTACAGTACTAATATATGTGTTAAAGTTTAAGTAGTTTTTTTGGTTAAATTCTGTTACACTAAATGTAATGTGAATGAATGATTTAATTTAGGCTTGAAGGTTTTAATAGAAGTTTTGTATCGTGGGTTCAAAGATGATTTTAGATGACAGTTATGAATATTGTAGGATATCTGTGATTTAAACAAAAGTAAGGTAGTGATTTGTACAGTAGAATGATCAAATCCATCTATATAACATTATTCAGGGAGGCAAAGCATTTCTTTTAAAGCTTCACACCTGGTCAGCATACGTTACTTTAGACATTCATTTTGATTACATAGTAAATTATCTAAGTTCTGGGCTACATTTCACCAAGCTTGTCATCAGTGACAAATGACAATTTTGTAATAAGCTAGTGAAATCCTTGCTTCTGATTGGTTATCAGCAGATTTGTCACTGATTTTTTGGTCATTTGTCATTGAAAAAAGGCTTTGTGAAACGGGACCCAGTTTAATGTGGTAGCACTGATAGTAAATTATATAAAGACAAGGTTGAGTTCTGGGAAAACAATGATTTGTGAGCTTTTTTCATTTCTTTTATCTTAGTTTGGAAAATTTTCCTCTGAAAAGGATGGCTCTTGTAAATGCCCTCAAATTTAAAATATGACAAGTAACAGCTAAAACCTACGCCACATGTTTAGTCCCATATACACATTTCTGTGTATTGTACATATGACTTTTTATAATTTGAATGATTCCACAACCTCACAATATACACCAATACTCATGTGCTACATGATCTGCTAATTCCAATTGAAGGCAGACAATTCTTTCACAGTGCAATCGCACAACCAGAATTCAACTTTATCTTTAAGTTCGGAGGCGTAAAGATTTACAGTTTTGAGCTTACTGTATATCTTTCTGTATAACAGTCATACTTTTTAGTCGTAGTTGTTTCCCCTCCATACTTTGCAACAATGTGATGATCTCCAATCCTGTAACTTGCATTCCTTTCACAGAAGGAATTGTATTCACTCACAAGTATCGAAGAGTATCAAGACGGGAGCAAGGTATAGAAGTTCAATAGCAGTTCAGAATTTGTCTAAATTGATCAGTATTCTTTCCTCAAATTGGCAATAATTAATCTTATTTTCCACACCTTTCATATTTTGAAGAAAAAAATGTTTATTAAATGAACTGATGTGAAAGAAAATTGCCAAAATGTAACCAAAATATTACCAACTTGTACATGAAATCAGTGTTTTTTGATATTTTACACTGCGTTGCCAATTTAGAGAATTTAATGATTAGTTACAGTTAGTAGTGTATAGATCTCTTTAAAGGATTATTATTACTTACATGTATCCCTAAAGTTCCTTTTGCTTTGGAAGGTGTATGTTGTCTTGGAAGTGTAGGGTAGTAGTGAATTAAAATTAACATCAATGCATTAATGTATTATAATTCAAGAAGCCAAAACATCTGTAAAGTTTGAATTTTTGAATAAGATTGATCCTCAACCCTACAATTGTAATTTTAGAACTCATTGTAGCGTTTGATATTTCAAAAAAATATCTGATTCTATATCTGTTTCAAGGAATCTCTGCATGCAGTTGTAATTTATGTACATCACAATTTATTGGTAGGATGGGTTGATATTCTATGGATATAACATAAATCTAAAATTGTCTTGGAATAGATGTATTTGCTTACTAATTTTCTCTTTTCACTCCAAATTCCTTCGATCATTCACATGATGCAAATCTCATCGTAACATTTACAATAAAGGTATTTTAAGTGGAAATGTATCATGTATTCTTAGTTATAAATGTATTATATTATCTCGATTATTAGATATTGATTGTCATGCATGTTGATGTTGTATTAAAGTTATATTCTGTAATCTGTATGCATTCTATTTTTTTTAAAGAAGAAGAAGAAAGAAGAAGAAAAAAAAAGTAAAAACAAGCTGATAAAATTAGTCATTTTGGGGATTTAAAATCTCCTTGGGTGGAATATTCTGTCTGCACTGCAATGTTTGGTGAATTTGTAGCAGTCTAAACTTAGAATCATTCTTTATTGTACAGTAGTTATTTTTTTTTTATATCAATGAATATGACAAATATGATTGTTTGGTATACCTGTATCTGTGTTCAGTATAGATGTAACCTTAGTATTGGTTGTTTGAGATTCTCCTGCATGCTTCTATTTGGTTTCTATTTTTGTTCTGGTGTTGTTTTTGATATTCTCTTAGGGATTTGATTAATAAGCAGGGTTTGGTAGAATCATATTGTGTTATGTTTTATGATTTTACCCTGATTAATTTGGAATGATGTTGATTGCATTTTGTTTGCACTTTGCATGTCATTTACAAGGTACAATTTTGTAGTTATGATTTTTAGTTTGTTTATAGTGCTTAAAGGTAATAGCGTTAAATTTTTCCTACCGGTACCTTAAAAAAAAATATATAATTTGAAGAAAACAAATTCAAATTTTGAAATCCAACTCTCCCAATTTTCAGCTTTGAAGATGAAAAATGAAATGACTATAACTATGTAAAAATATGTAGCATACAAGTTATTTAAAGGCTGTCATATTATCAAACGCATCATACCTGTATAGACATATATTATTTTTAATATTATTTTTAATATGATGCTACTACCTCTAAGCATGATATACAGGTGTATAGCTTGTTGACATTTATCTTGAGTTTTGTTTAAAAGTGGTTATTTTGTTTGTATGATATTGTAGCAGCTAGCCATCAGAATTTACTCTTGCTTTTCCATTTCTGCGTACTTCATGGGTTGCACTGTGCACAATTATTCATGTAGAGTAACATTTATGTATTTATTTGTATTAAAAAATAGTATCAAAGGTTCTATTGATAAGGATTTTTTTTAATGGATCACAATGACAAATTCAATCATGCCCTAGCCTAGAGCTGCTATCATGTAATATCAAACTCACTATGCCAAGTTTAATAACTATGAATTTGATAGTTTCTCATCCAATTTGTGTTATCCATTTAAGCAAGTTGCTTGCTGATGCAGCCGAACACTTTTAGTAAAAAGTTTGAATACATTTCAACCAACAAGATCACCTGCATTTAATCCGAGTCCAGGTCGATTAATAATTTCATATTTTCCCTCATTTTGTTTGTGTCTGTCTGTACAGGAGCAAGATGGAGTCCCAAGCAATCTCAACTTTGCATCGCTCAAACTACGCAAGAGATACACATTCCTCCAAGATCCATCAATGAGTAAGTTTAACATTTTTTTTTCTTTAATAATAATAATAATAATAATACACAATATTTATAAGGCGCTTAATACTGGTGTCTCTAAGTGCACCATATTCTGACTAAACAATTATTTACCAAAACTTATAATAAACACACAACTTATACATCTGTTCTTTATTCAATAAATCATGCATATATAATAATAAAAAATAAGATAAGAGTGAGATCAAACATCAAACATTTTCTTTCCATATCATCTGTTTGAAAACAGGAGGGGTCAAGTTCATAGCCCTAGAGTTTGGGCCTTCATCATGATAAGACTGAACTCCCTTTATGACAAAAATAATGTAAAGGAAAGTACTTGTGCCCTTCGATTGTGTAGATGTTTCAATTAAGGAGGTGAATAATAGTTGTCACATACAACATAATCATTATTACCCCGGCCATTGGGTTCAATTGCTAATAGATATGAGTGATGTTTCCTTTTTCATTATCCCTCATGATTAAACCTTAATCTCAATAGTATTTGGAAAGATGTTTTATTCAATATAGTCCTGAGAGCAAAACTTTGAAAATGGGTAAATTGAAAATAAAGAGACCAAAACTCACTTATTGTCACGTTTCTTTGTGCAGGCCCGAAGAGCGCCCACCAGAGGGCCGAGATCAGGCTGTGGGACGCCGCCAACCAAGTAGGAGATCAATGGCAGGACCTGGGCCGTGAGCTAGGCCTCAGCGAGAGGGAGCTGAAGGCCATAGAGAGGGAGAACGACGACAGACCAGAACAGGCCTTCGTCATGCTGCACAATTGGTCGGAGCAAGAAGGGAAAGATGCAACGAGTAAGTTTGAAAGCCCATCTGTACTAGTTTATTACAGGAGGGATTGGACCACCCTGCAAGGTCACTGACAGGTGGCTATCTCATCAAATCAGCTCTCACTTAACGTTATAAAAAGAGGATCGTGGTGCACCAATGGTCACCGATTAGGCATCGTTTACTATATAGAGGGCGCAAGTAGCTATAAGTAGTGCAGCGGGCCCTTAAAGCCTCCGATTCAGATTTTCATATTGCTTGCTACACTGGGATTAATGATTTAACATGTTCCCATTGATCGTAGGTAGCATTTCAGAATATCTCTTACCCACATCATCCATGATGACAACAACCCCCGTCCCCAATAAGAAGTCTTCAAACACCCTGGGGAGTGTTTCACAAAGACTAAGATCAACTTAAGTTGACTTGAACTATGGCAGCCCATTCGTGTCATTGGTCACTTTCACCATTTGTCTCTCAAGGGACGTCACAAATCTACAGAATTTACATTTTTGATAATTCTTTGTTGAAGAAAAAAAGTGACTTACATTGTGAACTTAAGTTATATTAAAGACTTGAACTGATACTACGGTATGCGATTCACGCCCTTAAAAAGTATGAACCAGATGTAAAATTTTAGGGAAAAAACCTTAGAAATTGTGAGCTTTAGAAACTATTTTTTCCTTCAATAATGGACTATCCAAAAATGCAAATTTGTGACCATGATTTGTACGTCCCTTGAGAGACCAATGCTAGTAAATGGTGAGAGCAAACAGTGGTATGACCGGCCTGCCATAGTTCAGTCCAACTTGAAGTCGATCTTAATCTTTGTGAAACACCCTCCCCCCCCCCCCCCCCCCAGGTGTTTTTGGAATGACACATGTTTGTGATTTGGTATGTAGATTTTTGTCCTATGGGGTCTCAATTGTTATATGTGATGTTGAAATTCTACAGTAAAAAGCTAAAGACGTTTATGGGTATGTCTTCCTCTCAATTTTGTTTATTAAAAAAAGACGAGATCTTCAAGAAATATTACTTTGTTCATCCATAATATAGGGCATCTCTTTAACTCCTGTAATAAGTTTTCCAACCAGTTTAAGAACAATTTGATTTTGCTATAACACTCATTTCCCATAGGCTTCCAGCCGAATATACTTGGGGTACCATCCTCAATGGGTGAATAGCATGAAAAATAATTTTCTTGAGGTTAAAAATCAATAATAAACTTTTTTGTTATTAGGTGAGAGGCTGGAGGAGGCGCTAAGGAGTATCGGTAGGGGAGACATCATCGACCGTTGCTTAGGCAACTATGTTAGTCTAGATGTTTCAGCCCAACCAGATGACGATTCAGAAATGATGAGAGACATCCAGATGGCTCTAAACGAATCAGGTTAGTTTGATTATCATCTGCTCATCTTCAACTATCATCTGTTTCTCCAACTCACACCCGCTATGGTGATCGTGCCTTCTCTGTATGTGCTCCTAAACTCTGGAATAATTTCCCCATCTCTGTCCGTAAATCCCCAACTCTTGACACTTTTAAAAGTAGACTTACTGTAAGACCTACCTATTCAACATAAAGTAATTCCCCATCTTCATACCTAATTTAAAACCACATGTCCTATCTTCTTGTAATTTATTCATTATCCAAAGTACACAAATATTGCAGTTTCATTTATGTTACTTAATTATTGTATTTTGATTTTCATTATCATGTTATTGTTAATACACTGTTAGTTAAGTAAGAGCGTTCGTTTCGTCTAAATTAAGCACGATGTTCATTTCACTTTTCTTGTTGATGCTTATATCATATTTAGATTACTGGTAAACGTAATTTTCATTTCATTTGTTATGTAAAGCACTTAGAAACTGTATGTTTATACCAGCGCAATAAAAATCTTAGATATTTATTTATTTATTTGAAAAATCTTTAAAAAATAAAAAATTGAATGTAAATACCGACATGGACATGTACCATCCTGCTTGACTCTGAGAAAGCAGTGTTACCTTTATCTGATTATAACAATAGTAATAATAATAATAGGCATTTATATAGCGCCGTCTATCTAGACAATTCTATTCCAAGGCGCACAAAAAAAATAGAAGGAACAAGAGTTTGATATTGAATAATCAGCAATGCTATCACTAGTGACTGATCATCATTTGTTGACCTCCAATCATTGTTGATGACGACTAGGGTTTATTTCAAATTTTGTCGAATATTTTCACACCTATATGTTCTGGAAGATTTATTCTCCCAAGCCAGCTTCTTACCGGTGCTCCATGCTTCCCTGTATTACAAACGTTTCTGTATAAAAGTTTGAAAACAATTGATAGCAAAACTCTTTTTCATTCTCCATTATTTTATTTGATATGCCCTCCACTTTTTAATATGTTTTTTAATATCAATATCTTTTATTTTCCAGATCGCCTAGGAAACGACATTGATGCCTTTTCACCTCAAGGTCAAGCAGACATCACACTAGAGTTCTCTGGGGTAATTTCCATGAATTTGCATATCTGTGATGAATATTCATCTGGAGTCTGTTGTGTTGCTGAGTGCGTGTATTTTGTGTCCATTGACCTGTATCTTGTTTGTTTGTTTGTTTCATGTTGTCTTTTTGTCTGTTTGTTTGTTTTATGCCGAGGTTGTCGTTGGAGTGCTTACTTGTTTGTATTTTTGTTATCCTTTTTGTCAAATTGTATGTGCTGTTTTTATTGGATAATAGAGAGGGGAGAGAAGATGATGAAGAGAAGAGAGAGGAAAGGAAAAAGTGATGAGAAGGAAAAGGAGTTGGAACAGAGATGTTTAAGACATTGTTTGACATTGTTTATGAATGTGATTGTTCTGGTTATCTGTGTGTCACGTCTTACCATGCCAACAACACAAAAACGTGCTGAAATGCTATGCAGCATTGTCAAAAGTCCTAAAGATTTAGATGTTTACCAACAGCAAAGCATGGCATCCCCCCCCCCCCCCAAAAAAAAAGCAAAACAAAAACCAAATCAATGTCTGTCCCACAAGCACCACCGGTCTAAAAGAACAACAGAGATTGAAATAACCGAGAAATATCTTTATTTCATGCTCATGGCAGAAAGTAGATGGAAATTACAGTTAACAGGCAGAAATAATAATCCACAATTTTTTTTCCATTTTACTTTGTTTTGATGGAACTTTTCATTGGGGCAAGGTGACATCATGCCATTCATACTTTAATGCAGGGAAAGTCTCATACAAAAAAACGATGCACGATATCAGACTTGTGTTGTACATAGATGAGGATATGTGGTATATATATGTACACTGTAAGTGATATGTATACATGTATGTGTCTAATTGATGTGATGCATAGTGCCGAGAAAGGTATGAATGAAGTTGTGTTTATTAGGATGTGAGAGGAAGGATACGTCAAAATGAGGATGCTGACAAAGTACAAAAAGTTTCAGTACTTCTTAATATTCCATCGAAATAAAGAAAAATAAAGTAACTCCCTAGAAACTACCTGCTCTCTCACCTCACTGCTTCTTTTCTGTACACTCCTGCTTTATACAATCTTTCCTTCCTATTTTCATTTACTTCAAAATGTGTAAAGATGTCCTTCATATTGTCATCATTTCATCCAATCCTAGCGGCCATCATTTTTTTCCTAAACTAGTTGCTCCTGAGCCACAGAGATGTGAAGTGGTCCTTTATTATTTTCAGTATTTGCCATTTTTCTTTGAACTTTGCTCCTCTAGTCCCACGCAAAGCTATTTTTGTCCTGCCAATGCCCATATTTCCTCACCTCAGCAGTTACTTCACAGCAGTCTTTAGGGGATTATAAATCCCCCATTTTCAGCCGGAACACCTTTTCTTCAAGCCCCAAAGAAGCATGTCACAATTTTCCTCTCAGTTTTATTATTATTATTATTATTATTATTATAGCATGTTTATATTTCCATTATGATTTAGTGCGATCTACTTTTCACCCCATTCAATTCATATTTTACCTGACGTAATGATGTACAGTGTATTATTATTATTGTGTGCTATTGACTCAAGTCTTGTATTAAGAGTTACGCATGCATGTATGACAATGGTGATACCCCCTCCTTTTCCTTAACCCTTAGAATGCAAGTAAATAAGTTAGAGCTGTTAAGCTCATCAATAACCCAACCATTTCTTTGCAGCATTAGGAGCCCACAGCCATGCAGTGTAGTTGCACTTTGACAAAGAAAATCTTCTTAAACTTTACTTTCATCGCTCATACTTTTCATGTTATGTTCACAATTTGCTTTTGAATTTTTATTTCATCCATACTTGAACATTGCATGATTATTTTTTATCATTAACCCTTTCTATCTGTTCAATTTCTTATTTATTTATTATTTCTCTCTTTTAAATACTCTCACTCTTTTCATCTTTTAAACAAACCTTATACTCATTCAGAACCAGTGATTCACTTTCTTGTATATCCTTTGTGACAATTTTATTTATATTTTAAAGATTTATTACTGATTATTCATTTATTATTTACGTGTTTTATTTATTCTTTTTTTGAACTAACCCCACTAATTGAAATTTAATATGATTCTAAACGATGCTCCAATTTGTATTAATAAAATGGAAATCCCAACTGCGCTTCGCACCGTCCGTTCGTTCGTTCATTCGTACACGCCGCACTGCGCTAAAGGATCACAGGGGATTAGACACTGCCTACAATCATGCATTTCAGGTATGCATGAAAAGAGATCATCATTTTATCGTTCCTCCACCACCTCCATACCCCTTCACCTCTGACCTTTGACCTTTGACCTTTGACCTCCGTGGAAGTTCTGCTTGCTCGGTGTGGTTGGCAGAGTCTTATGTAATAAAGTTTGTTGGCGATGTTGTTGTGGTGGGCGAGTTTGGTTTCAGGCTCGATGTTTGTAGTGGCCATAGTGACATGTGAATATGCTTAACAACCATTTCCCCAGCCCTTATACATCTCTCTCTTCTCTTTCATGTTCATGTATTCTGTTACATGAACACAAAGATGCACCTCGTATCTTTCTCTTTATCTCTTTCTTTTTTATTTCCGCTATTTCTTCCTCTTTCTCATCTTTACTCTCTTTAATCATTCATCTCTCACTATTTACTTCTATCTTTCTTTCTATGCTTTGTACACGTATTTGACAGTTTTGACCGTGTTTAGTTAACACTGCATTTAACATATTCTGGTACATGATACTGGCAAGAAGGTATTGGTAACATTACTATTTGCCAATTTTTTTAATTAATTAATTAATTTATTTTTTTTTATTTTTTTTAAAAAATTTGTTTATTTATTTATTTATTTATTTATTATTATTATTATTTTTTTTTTTTGGGGGGGGGGTGGGGGTCAAGGAGAGGTGGGTATAAAGATAATATAGCTTTCTGATTTTGGGGATAATAAGTTGTACATGTGGATATGTATTTTAATTGTAAGATGAAGATGCATTACCCTACATTACACTGAAAGCATACTGTGAGTTTTAAAAATATATCCCCTACATTTACTAAGGTGGGAGGATATTAAACACAGGTGTCTTAAATATTAGATATCACATAAAAATAGCGTAGTCTTTACTATCACATACGTTCAGGTAATTTTTTTTTTACCTCAGAATTTTTTTCATACGAACAAAAACTTCAGACGTTTATGAAGTCAATTTGAACAAAACTATTGTTCAAGTAGGATATTGATTATACTCACATAGCATTCTTTTTGAAAAATGTGGAGATATTTAAAAAAAAAAAAAAAAAATCATCATTGATGATAGCTACATCAAGTTTTAAATTTGTGATTATGCATGTTCAAGAGAAGGTCCAGAATGAACAAGTAGATTGTTATGATCATTTCTAACTTAATATGAGATATATGATATCTTACTTCTTTGCATAGGAAATATAAATTAGGAAAGGTAAATGTTTTACTAAACAATTTAAACAAAACAAAATCTGTGAGAAATGTTATCTAACTTTACATTTAGCTTTTCAGAGTGCACTAAAGATTTGACTTTCTTAATCGACCTTAAAGTATTAGGAAATTGAACCTGGGTTTCTAATAGTAATGCTCGCATGAAATGGAATAAGAAAAAAATCCCCCTTTTTTGTGTGCAATAATAATGCTTAACATGAGAGAGAGATAGTTTTATGTTCACACTGCTGAGGTTGTGTTTTCTGTGAAAGGACCATAACAAATATCATTAAAGGCAAAGAGTGGTGGAGATGACAAATGTTATTAATTTCATGGCACTAGAAATTCTGATGATTATTATCGGTTTTCATGATCTGTCAAATTTGCAGGAGAAAAATATGTAACGGCATAATATTCAAATTCCTATGACTTGTGTTGCATCCACAGTTGATAATCCCTGTGCTACAAAATTGAAAATGAAAATGTATGCCATATATACATGTAGAAGATCATGTTTTTGATGTACAACAGTCCAACGTGTTAGTTTTGGTGTACTGTGGGTGTTGTTTGAAGAAAATTGATTTTACATTTTTAATTACTCAGGCGTCTTGTAACAAGTGTCATTATTTTCTTTTCTCTCTTCTTTTCTTTCTTTTATTTTGTTTGTTCTCCTCTCTCCAAAACCAAATGCATCATTTCCATGGTAACAGGGGCAACAAACACCTGATATTCTCCAAAGTACATTAGAGGTATTCAACAAGTCAATAGAAATTGCTGTTTTATTCAATTGTACAATGCCAGCTCTATAAATATCACAAGAACTAGATAGGAAACGCAAGAAATGCTTGGAGTGATGACTAAATTTCATCTTTTACTATCTGACTAGCAATTGTGAACCACCACTGAAAGTGAAAGGATACTGTGATATGAAGCAATTTGAAACCACCAACATTTTATTTTGTTACCAAACTCATAGAAGAAGGTTATTCTGTTTAGATATGTCTGTATCTGACATACATGCAGGCTACGTTTAGTACTAACACAAAGATTGAAATGATAATTTTGGAAATACAGAGAAAGGTTTTACTCCAAAAATTTGATGGCTTATAAAGAGGTCTGTAATGGAAAAGCAAATATTTTGACAAGTATGTGTTTAAGTATATTCCAACAAATTATGATTTCAATTCAAACTTTTTTCTTGATAAATAAGAAATACAATTTATTATTAAGAAATACTGATTGATCCTCAAATGAAGAACTAAGATATGTCAGGAAAAGTACAGCCTCTCTTATGAAGAGACTTCATTGAAATCAGCAACGTGAATATGATGAAATCAGCATTTAAACAAATTCTAACTTTGAGAAGAAACTGTTCATCTCAAAAGTGTTATTCTTGACATATGCCAAAATTCAAATTAATTGTTACTCCCCTCCTTCCCCCACAACAACATCTGATACTATTTATTTTGTCTTCTTTTTGCCGCTGTCTCAACTGACTTGCGTAGGAGCAAGCTCGACAAGAGGTTACAGATAGATTAATCAAGGTACAAAGATCCTCCTTCTGTCTTAACTGAAAAGATGTTTTTCTATTTTTTAAAATTGTTATTGGTAATAAGCAATTTGCTTAATTATTAAGAACCACTTGAGGTATCAACTGTCCCTTTAAATGGTGTAACCAAATAGAAATATTGCTGAAAGGTAACAAAAGATGAATAGTTCTGATACCCAGGATATACGCTTTCTTTATTGGAAATGAAACTCAAGACAATAATTTTGAGAAGAGAACCAGACAATGTTTTTTATTATTAATTATTTAAAAAAAAAAAAAAGTCGTATTTGAGAATGAAATCCTGTGCCCAATGTTGTTTTATTTAGACTGAATTAGACCTGGTCAAAGTTCAATCTCAAAATTGTTACTGTAATTCACATATTGTGGTGAAACAGCTCCCAGAATCTTGTAATCTGTGATTTATTTTGTCAAATGAAATTTGAGCAGATTTTAGTTGTTCTCTCGCTAAGAAGGTGACATTTTCAGTCACTTGTCAATTTGTCCTCCCTTATGGATTTGTAAATATTTCAGATCACAAACTTTTTTGTCCTTTTGGACTACATATTTCCTTTTTCCTAAGGAGTTTTCTCTTTCTCTTCCTTTTTTATTTTCTTTCCTTTTTTCCTGAACTCCCCCCTCAGGAGTTGAAAGAAGAAGCTATCGAGGCAAGCTCTTCTGAGGTACATGCATATTCATGATCCCAGATCCTAATTAACATATGTGGCCACACCCTTGTTGCTTATCAGTAATTTCATGAGCTGTTTTGATTGGTTGATAGTGGTTGTTTGTTCAAGGAGAGTGCATGTTGCAGTAGTTTGATGGAAACAACATTCTTTGTGAAAAATGTGGTGACTCTGTTTTTATTCCCCCTATTAGACCCCTACTCCCCATGCGTCTTAATAGAACGTCCTCACTTTATTTTCTTTGCACATCAATGCGCTATCCTCCATGTTCTTCATGCTCTTTCTGCATTTGATTCCTTTCTTGAAAAAAGATCTCTCTCCTTTTCCACATCATGTACCTCAAACATTATGCACACTTCAAACTCCTTTTCAATTTTTATGAATCTTTAATGTGCAGATGCAAATTCTTTCATAGCCTTTGTCTTTATTATCGTCAAAGAGTTCTTTTTTTCGCCGTATATTGTGCAATAGCATCTTCAGTTCCTGTTATCTGCATAGATCTTTTCTTATCAGATTTTCTCCCTTCTCTTGGCAAGCAATATGTCCAGAGGTTTTCCCAAGAAGGGCAACGATATAATCCACGTTTTGTTAAAAATTTAGCAGAATTATAAACTCATCATCGAGTAACCTAACTCATTCTAACAAAGCTAATCCATTTTTTATTACTCCAATACGATTGATGAACTTCAAAATTTTGTTTAATCCACCTGAATTTATATGAAGATTAATTGAATTGATATTCCCTAAAATATTTGCTTCTGTTGGAAAGACTGACCCACCAGCAAATGATATCCAGATTTTGTAATCCACAGTCCTTTCCTTGCCCTAGCACAAACCTGTGCATGTCGAAGTGGTTTGTCAAAGTGTGAAGCCGTATGATCCTGTGCAAACCAGTTCAAACCAGTTCAAGCCAGTTCAAACCAGTGCCAACTGGATTGATCTAGTTTGAAATGACCAATTGCACCCTGTTCTGCAGTGAACTGGTTAATTGTTTAATATTTATGCATGGTGTGTGACCTGCCTGCACTGCTCTGCTAAGGAAAGAAAAGTTCATAGTTCAAAGTTCGTGATCCAGAAAGATCAAATCCTAAATGTGCCTACATGTCTTCCCAGTTAGTAGAAAGTGGTGAGTGTACTATTTTGTGTCCTCTTTATTATAATTATTATTATCTTTCCAAGCTATACCTCTGTCAACATGTTAGATCTAACAAATATTACCATGATTGCAAAGACTCAACTCGAGGGTTCTTTCAATATCTCTTAGAAATCATTCTGGATTATGTAATTCGTCATTGTCAAGCACATTTTGAAAGGGCAATGGGAAAGGCAACTAAAAGGGCTTTTAGTAGATTTTTTGTTCATTCTCTTTCTATTCTTGATTATTTCTATCAGGGATTACCTTTTCAAGAACTAATTCAGCAGGTTCATTTACAGAAAATTTGAAACTATTAGCTTCCTTATCATCATCTGCTTCATTCATATTTAATGCTCAATTTGATATATGCCTGGCAGATTAATCAATTCTTCATTATTTCCATTATGAAAGGAACTTGTATGAAAGAAGAAAAAGAAATGTTCTGGTTTGTAGCTTAAAAATTCCTTGAGTTCAGCCGAAATAAAATAGTTTTTATTTTCATTCTTTTGTAAATCATAATTTAGTAAGATGCATGCTTGTAGATATATCAGTGATTTATTTTTATGATGTACCGTAGTTGCCAATTTTTAAAAGTTAAAATAGTTATCTGCAGTCTCATTTTCTGATATGTCAAGTACTTGTCTCTTTTGCAATATCATACTGATGTTTTTCGATGTATTTCAAAAGCACATCAAAATCTGCAAACACCACACTAAACTTCAAAGCAAAATTACATGTGATTTTCTAGAATATTCATTTTGTGTGTGCATGATTGTTTACACGTTTTGCATGTCAATTTTCTAGATATTTTGATGAGTATCCCCGTTAGCCCCTCACTTCACCTTCAGAAACTTAACTGTTTTTATAAAGTGCTTGTGCCCATGCCAATAATGAAAAAACAATTAAGTAGTCCATATTTTTCTTTCCTTGACATAAATTAAAAGAAATATTTGAGGTACAGATCAAAGCTAGAGAATATATGTCGTTTTTAGTAGATTTTAGCAGATCACATTCCTTGAGTACTTAACAATAAAAATGGCAAGCATTCTTTTTAAATTTAGACAAGTCAACAGTGATTTTCTGATTGATACAAGGTGTAAACTAGCACAAACAGTTTGGAAAGTGGCCCTTTCTTCACAATCAGTAAAAAAATTACCTGTTTCTGTCAGTTTTCGCTTGCCACGCTGCGAGCTTCTCCAAGACTTTTGTTATATCAATGACACCAAAATTGGTATTTTTCTACTGATTGTAAAGAAAGAACTGATTTTCAAGCTATATCGCCAATGAGACTAACCTTTCAGTGAGCAGAAACACTCACTTATGTTGCGCATAAAATAAACAGAAATATATAAGAAGTGTTTATCTTTATTTGCAAGGATCATCATTAAAGAATTTAGTTTTCAAAGATTAATTACAATAGTTTTTCCTTCTTTGCAACAGGATGTGAAAGAATCGGCAGCTGCAGCAGAATTCTATGAGGTAAATTTATCTTTCATTCTGCATTTTCATTGAAATAAAACAAATATAATCCCTTGTCATATTTATTCTTTCTTCTGCATCATTACATGCCTGTTCAGTTATTGATTTCTTGCTCTTTTTTTTCCATTTTCAAGTTTGCTGTGTCGTAAATGAACTTTCCCTTCTGATTTTAATTACATTTACTATTTATTTATTGATGAAAAGATTAAGGGAGGTCTTTTTAACGTGTGAACATATACCAGTTTAACACCAATTTAACACCAGTCTACTTGTACTCATCAATTATGGTTTGATCATTTCATTTTATACTGATGTGAAGGTTTGCATTAGTATGTAAACATTGCACTATTTTCTTTGTTCCGAAGCCTGGACTTCAATTCAAAATTTAAAAAGAAGAAAGAAAAAGAAAAGATAGGATAGATTTCCATCTTATCAAATCAGTAGAACGTGGTAGAGATAGTTCTTTCAAAGAGAAGAACAAAAATCTAACTTGTGTAGATTCTTAGATATGTTGTTTTGGATATAATGAAAGTTCTCTAACTCTCTGAGTATCGCACTTGGATTAATATCTCTGTCTCATATTAATTTGTTGAAGACTTTGGGATACTGTAATGAAGCTCTCCTTTTTCTAGTTAAAGGACTTGAATAGTGCATGAGACATTTAATGACAGAAGCATGCTGAGATAAACACTTATTCAAACACTTATTATTATTCAAACCAAAATATCTCTCTTTATCCTCTTATTTATGATACGTACCAAACCCAACCCCTCCTATATTTGTTCTTTCTGATAATACCATGTAATTTTATGAGTAAAGTAAGAAAAGAAAATCATGTTCAGATTTAGTTATGATTTTATAATAATGTGATGTTCCCTGACCCTGTTTCTGTACAAGTCAAACTAGAAAATCATCTTGGTGTTTAGGAATACTTTCTTATAGATCATGTCATGCATTCCAACCCTGTTTGACCTTTGACCCTGCAAAATTTACCAAGTTCATCCCAGCTAGGAATATTTTCTTGATCATATGACCTGACCTTTCCTGACACTGTGTTGCCGTTTTGCTGAGTTATATGCACATACCGATTTTTATTTTGGTCATGCTCCGCCATGGCTTGGCTGTGTTGTTTTACATGCATGAGAGGATTATTATTTTACCATGTTTCTCCTCCCCCTGCATCGCTAGGAGATCAAGGAAGAAATTCTTGAGAAGCATGAAGAAGAAAGAAGAGAGCTCCACTTTGAACCCTCGTTCGGAACGCTGGAAGAAACCAAAGAGGTAATCATTCAGCTGCTGCGCCCTCTAGCTGGTCCTCCTCTACTCATCCTCCTCATCTTAAGGCTTCAATTCATCATTTAGTAAACAAATTGTTAACAAGATTTTAATATGTGTTTTGGAAATTCAAATGCCATTATAAAGGGGAACCACAATCATTTTCAATTTTGAAAATCCTTATATAGGTTAAGAAGGCTATTACTTTTTTGAAGACTTTTGAAGGTCAATACACAAATTGACAACTGAAATTTCTCTTTTGCTCCTTTTCTCTCATACCTATTTCTGTCAAACCCCTTTAATTCTGTCAATTCTGCTTCATGGAATTATTACACTGGGTCTTAGTTTACTATAGTTTCATCTTCTCTACCCTCTGTGTACATACCAACCATGTCTGCACCTTGCATGCATATAGGTTATTAGCCAATCACATTAGATACTGCATCCTCCCCCATCCTCATTACTTTCGGGGGATAAGAGCACATTTTTAATTTTTTTTTTGGCTCAGGATATTGGAAAATTATGTCGTCAGATATTTCGTTCTTTTTTTCCTCCTTGAGCACAATTTTTTATTTTTTTCAAATATTTTTTTTTAATTAAAAAAAAATTGAGGGGGGGGGGTTAACCACCCCCCCCCCCCCGCTGCGTATGCGCCTGTGTGCCACTATATACACTTCCCTAAGCAACCTTATATGTGCCATGTACATGTCTGTCAGGGATTGCAGTTGGCTCTTTGCAGAGGCTGTTTTCTTGCATGGATACCTGCACGCCTCCCTTTTACAATAGCATATCATATCATATCAATTTGGTATTCTTTGATTTGTAACCCGAGCATGACATCTAGTGAAGTGTATGCAAGTTTCTCGTCGACCTTTCATATACATGCATTTACACTAGATCGATTTCAGCAGAATCCTTCTGATTTTACGTGGTTGGTGGTTGGCACTATTTTTGTTTCACCAAATCAAACCATATCCTTTGTTCATTTTTATTAAAAAAGGTGTTTACATATAAAAGTCATGTTGTACAGATTGGAGGGTCTCATTTTGTTGTTAACTCCTTGAATCCTGAATTTTGTCATTCGCTTAACCTTGGTACAGGGATCACCCAAGTTCTTGTAGGCAGTGGGTTAATTAATTAATCATATGCCATTTAAAGAAGAAGAATAGGAGATTATCTTGTAACAAGCATCAAAGAATGTCCCTTGACAATAAAATGCAAGAACTGACACTTGGATGAAATCTGGGGCCCATTTCACAAAACCTTTTTTCAATGACAAATGACAAAAATTGGTGACAAATCTGCTGATAACCAATCAGAAGCAAGGATTTCAGTAGCTTAACACAAAAACTGTCATTTGTCACTGATGACAAGTTTTTCTGGAAACCCCCCCCCCCCCCCCCCCCCGGAGATCATCAGTGATTAGCATCCCTTGAGATAGAAATGTTTGTGAGATGATGTTCACTCTGTAGAATACTCAGAAGCGGACATTATCTGAAGAATAATGGTCTTGCTTCGTTAAGTGGGACATGGACAATTAAAGGCCTTCTATGAAACACAGACAATAAAAATAAGAACTACTCTACCCAAAGTAATGAAACTATAGCACCAATACCGGTACATACGTGTATCATATTTCTCCAAGTTGTGCATTTCATTTATGGTGGAAATTTTAATCTTTTTGCATCAATTTTTTTCTTCCGTCTACTTTTTTTTAGGAGGATTCACCCTCTCCAACTGGACCACAGGTATTGTGTTTACAGAGCTTTTTTCATTTTTTTTAAAAAACTCACTTTTCATGTGTTTTTGTTGTTTTATTTTCTTTTAAATTTTCTTTTGGAGGTATTTTGAGGCACACTAACCATTAATTGCCACACTTAGCATTGCATTTAACCACAAAGCTCTTTTTTGAATTTGATCACAACCCAGTTCTTAGTGTCCCCAACAAAATAAAAAGAATTAAAAGTAGAAAAGAAAACTTAGATTGTGATTCAATCTTTCAAACTTATTAGAATAAACTTTTTAGTTATATTTAGCTATGACCTTTATTCATAGCAGTTTTTTTTCTTCCAAACATTGCAGTTTAATATTATGATTTAATACAGCATTTAAATATGATACAAAGTCATATCTTTCAAGTTTCTATACGAAAGATGCATTTCATGAATCTGCTGAGTGACTGTTTTGATTGTCACTTCAATTGTTCAGTATCTAAACAAAAACAAATAGAGAACCAATTTAGACCAAGGTATTGATAACAGTTTGCATATTTTTTTCTTGAATGTACAAATATAGCATTTATCCATTCATCAACATGCTTTCAGCTCTTGAGTACTTATCATAACCAGCCTTCTAACCGAGATCTTAACATTTGGCTTGCAGCATGGTTCTACTACTATGATATTTATATCACTTTCTCCTGTTTGAATGTAATTCAATCACTATTCATTAGCAATACAATCTTCAAATTGCCTCTTTAGATATACACGTAAGATAAACTGATAACATTCTTACTGTCTATATGACTATACTCTACTCATGAAGTAGAACCATCATAAATATTGATGAAATGATATGTACGATCTACCTGTAATATTGATGTGTCTGTACCTGAAAGCATTATGCAATATCTTCAAAGTGTTTCCCAGTGTTGCCCAGACAATGGATGACCCATATGTTTCATCTTGTTTGAAACACTGCATGGTATGATAGTTACAGAAGGCATGCCAGTGCTCGATCAACTTTTGGAATGTCTTATGGTCTTGAGATTCCTGCACTGAACGTATCCCAAAGATTTCACTTACAAACGTCCTGATTGGTCAGCCTTCTCTCCTTTGTTTTGAACTGTCCTATTAAACTAACCCTTCCAAATCGTGCCCTCTCAGTCCTCTTGGTTCCCTTTCTACAAGTTCTGAGAACAGAAAAATCTACATCTTTACTTTTTTTTGAGAAATTGGTAAATGACTTAATCTAATACTTGTAAGAAGAGAAGCTTAAAGGAGAATCATAAGGTATTTTTCCACTATTAGATGTTTTTACTAAAGAATTGACAAGTTGTTATTTTGAAATATTGGTATAAATGGGAGTGTTGCTTTTACTCTATGTGAAATATCCGGATCCAAACAAACTGCAAAGAGTGTGAGGAAGAAACGATATATTCTGGGATTATTGTGACCTGTCATATTACAGACACATCTTTCTTGTCCCCCTTTTCCTCCCCCTAGAAGTCAAACATGGACATGGCTTCTGCGGGTCCTTCCTCCTCAAAAAGCGTAACGGTCACGCAGACTCGCGTCACGGTCACTTCCAAAACAAGCGGTCCCGAATCGGGTACCGAATCCTCGACGGAAACCGCGGTCTTTGTAGGCACTGCCGATAGGACTCTTGAAAAAGCCGCGGAACAGATCAGGGTCCAGGTTGATTCCATTTCCTCCGAAGGGGGTGTAGAGACTGATGAACTGGAAGGGGTGCAGTTGGCACCCCAGATGTCGCAGGTTAGGATCGAGGTCGACGAGGCACCGACGCCCGACCGCATGAGCTCCGATGAGAATCTCTACATCGCCCATGCTGCGAACATTGTCCAAGAGCCAGAGATTGAAGCAAGTGCCGAGGAGAAAGAAGAGAGCATCAACCCGTACAGGGATATGGAACCAGATCCAATCGGTGATGTAGTCATTGAGGAACCCCAGATCCAAGCTCAGTCTGAGCACCGGGTGGAGAGTATCAATCCGTACGCAGACATGGAGCCAGAACCGTTGACAGGGTCGGAGCCGATCGAGGAACCTGCCGTTGCTGCAGTATCCTCAAGCGATGTTCATGGCATCAACCCTGAACTCATGGGAGATCCAGAGCCTCTGGATGCCACAGGGAACATCCCAGGCCCAGACCTGACTGATATTCGGCACACCTCAATGGGTGCTCAGGCATGGGAAGGAGACACCTCCCCTAGCCAACCGACCTACCCACAAAGTCCCTTTGAGGACTTCAAGATGGGCCATCCTGGAGAGTCCACTGTGCAGCAGATCACAATGGAAAGCAAAATAGTAATGTCCAAGTCCGAGACCCAAAGGTCCGAACCTACCGTGACAGGTTATAGAGTGTCCACTTCGGAAGTGACCGTTTCCGAGTCTGGGTCACCACGTCTTCTAGAGGATGAGGTTCCCTTGGCAACAGAGCAGTTTGCTGAGGTACGCTGAAGTTTTTCCTTATGCGTTGTTAAGTGTTGTGTGTGCTTATCTTGTTTCCCAATGACTTGTGCAGTCCCCCGGGAGTGGGCTAGGGGAGTATGGGATTTATTTTTTGGTTCTTACTCCATTTTCGCCTCTCAAAAAGTTAATTTTATGTTCTTTGGATGTCCAAACTCTTCTCTACACTCTTCACCCTTCAAAGATTGTCAAAGATCCTCTTTCATCTTTACACCTTTTCATAATCTCCTTTTGCCTGATTCACTTTTCAAACGATATGTTAATTCAAACAAGAGATTATAGCATCCAATTATCCAATGTTTCCCAGCCCTTTGCAAACAAAAAAACAACTTCAATCCAGTTTATTTGAATGAAAGAAAAGTAGTTAGTTTGTAACTCGTATGTTCACCTGTGTACCAGTTCACCCTGTACAATGTCTTTCTTGTGTGCTCTTGTATTTTAAATTAACTTTCCAAGTATTTGTTTTTGTAAAGAAAGAAAAACTTTATTTTTTTATTTTTATAATGATGTAGGGCCTAAACCCATTTTATTCATTCCATTTAATTCATTATGAGTACCAGTAATCATTCTTTGATAGAACGTTTGATTTAGGAAATGTAATATTTCTGATTGATATGAATTTAATTATGGTTTGGGGAAGAACAGATTGGTTTGCTGGGCAAATATCAAAGGGAACTTTCGTGCATATTGTTATCTTTTTCTGGAATAGTAGTGAAAACCAAGCATGTTGATATTCTTTTTCATGTGATATGGCATTCATCTTTTACTTTGCCTCATCTACCTTTCATTTTCCCCCATCAATTGCAGAAACTTGCTTTGTCCATTATAAATGTAAGACAAACAAATGACTTTATTTGCCTATCTTCCACTTCTAACCGGTCACACATTTCTATTCCATCTGCACTGTGTCTCCTTTTAGTTATTAGTGTGAAATAACATTTTGATCAGGAAAATTAGTAATTATAACAAGTTAATATTATTATTTCTCGGTTATTATTCTTTGTTTTTTAGTTTTTTAACTAACACAATTGGAAAACTTTCATTAACCATCAATTTAGCCTAATGCTCAAACCAGATTATGCTCTGCAGGTGTTTTACTTTTTTTTTAAATAAAATGGCAGCAATTATGATAGTGCTTCGACTAAGAAAAGATTCTAATTATAAATTATTATACACTGCATAACCTTAAATTTCTTTCTAACCTTTTGTTTGGCCATGTACTATTTTTCAACTTGACTTCTGCATACTTATGTGTACATTAAGAAATTATTATGAGTGTAAATGCCATAATAATGAATGATAAAAGCTGTTTGGTAATTGCTCTAATATTGATTACGGTATATTGTTTTAAACCCTAATTGTTCTAAACATATAATCTAATGATATGATTTTTTTTACTAATATCTAGCTAATATATTATAAATTGTGTAGTATAATCATAATATTTAGAGCACAAATATTCTCCCCTTTGCTGTCATCAAACTCAGCATGGAATGGCTTCCCCTCCAAAAAAAAAACACAGTTTGAATTGCCCTGCGGTATATATTGCATGCTTAATGATCCCTTTTATGTTCTTGCATTGTGTGGCGAACAACTTTTTTTTCTTGCATGATTATAAAAGTAAAAAGTAACACGTCTGTAAATATGATTAATGAATTTTAATTTAATTATTAGAATTATTGCAAGACGATAAAACCGGTGTAGAACCTAAATGTTTATGAAATTTTTGAAAAAGATTGGGGTCTCTATCAATTCTTGTGGATCGTGGACACTCAAGATTTTGTTAAGATATCGTAAGTGCATATCTTCAGTCAAGCAATATTTTGTTCTTTTTAGCATCAAAATGTCGGCCGTATGGAAATGAAAAGTGATACCAAAATCTATGGGGTATGTAAACATTGAGGACTAGCATTAACATTTTAAGATTTTACTTCACAATCTTCTCAAACAATGAAAAAGGATTTTCAAAGTCAAGTACCGGTAACTGTTAGTATTCTATATCTGACATCCCTGTCTCTCTCTCTCTCTGTCTTCCTCTCTCTTTCTCTCTATTTGTATTGTATTACTCTCTTGTATAGGATGTCCAAGATTCAGCTCGACCTACGGACCTAGGGGTAAGTCATGAAAATGTTAGATGCATCCCTCAACCTTCCCCTAATTCCCTTTTTAAAAACCATCCATGTTAAATTAAAGATAAGTACATGTAGGTGTTAAAAAATGATGTTACAGGTAGATGGCTTTTAAATGTGAGCTATATTTAGGAGAGAGAGAGCAACATTGCTCAGGGACAGGATGCCACCGTCAAGCAGATGTTCACTCAGGTTTGCCATGATGAGACATTCAAGGGATTGGAAACGGATGCAAACCTCGGACGAGAGTTATGATGTTGCTCGACTGACATACATACATGTACTACATAGCTCATAGAGAGAGAGAGATAGTTGCAACAACATGCCCTCAGAAGTCAATCCATGGAGCTCCAGATAGTTCCCTCTCCCATACATAATAGGGCGCTTTTGCAAACACGACGGTAACACGAGGGAAAAAAAATCTGCGCATGCGAGAACCAGAATTTTCTTTGTTCTGTTGATTTTCACGTCCGTACGCGGCCATTATAGCGTTCATTCCCTAAACACGACGGAAGAGCTGTATCCCTGTAATTCTCCCAGTCGTCTTTGCTTCCGTCGTCTTTGCGAAAGCGCCCTACTCTCTACGGGTGGGAACTATTTGTCACTCCATGGATTTGATATCTGAACAAGGGCAACTTCTGTTGATGTAACTATCTGCGCTGTACAAGCTGCGACACGTTAGAGTCCCCAACCTTGAGTAAGAACGGAAGTTCCTGAAGCAGATTTTCATAGATGAGGGTAGTATTTGTAGCACTTAAAATTCTTTCGGTTGGAAGTGGTAATTTCGCTTGGATGAAGTTAAATGCCTGATGGAGTACAAAAAAAGAGGTTTGAAAAGAGCTGAAGGGCTTCGACTGTAAACAATTTATTAGCATATTGGTTACTTCCCCTGCAATATGCTTTCAACAATTAAAAAAGGCATATCTTCCACTCCCCTTTATCCCATCCTCCTTTGAAAACACATCTTTGTATGCTCTCTAAAAATAAAAAATGTTTCCTAGTGTTAAAAGTCTTTAATAGCAGTAGAAGTGGCAGTAAAAGTAGTAGTGGTAGTGGTAGTATTAAACAGTCGTTGTGATACATGTAGTATAATTGGTAAAGTGGTGATATTTTCTATGGGAATTGCAAGGAAATACCTTGCCTTATATCTGCAGAATTGCCAATGATATGCAACTGCTTCTAATTCTTTTGAAGTTGTTGGCATATTTGCAGATGTTCATGAGGACCACTATTACATGTATCTTGTATTAAAAGCCAAGGGTGGAGAAAGACCTCTTCCCTTTCCTCAGTTCCATTCTTTTTTCGTGACTGTATTATACATTTATTGATTTTAAGAAAAAGTTTTCAATGATTATTGTCATGGTAGAGCTACAGGCTGCATCTTGTACAGTGCATGAGAATGAGATTTCATCCCAAAATGTTTTCCTTTATTAATGACAAAAAAAGAAGAAAAGAGATAGTGGTTATTTTTCATATTACGTTTGGCACTCCTATATTCTTACAAAATTAGCAGTGAAAAGTCTGATTACTTTCTTGTACATTGTTTAAAAAAATACTGATTAAATACTTCCTTGATAACATTTTGGGAAAGAAATTCAAGCACTAACAATTTTCAAATGTACATGTAGTGTGACTAACTTCATGTTTCTCTTTTACTACCATATTATTGCAATACCATGTGTTATTCAAGTATTAATCAAGTCTAAGCCTCTTCACAGCCTAAAATACAAATTCAGGATCACAGCAAGTAAAGAAAAAGGAGAAGAAAAAAAAAATGCTCCACATTTATCATTTCACCATTTCACCCACACCAAAAATTCAAAATGACTGAAAAATATATGCTGCTGTGCTCCAAACTCTGCAAAATATTCTCCCGAAAAAAAGAAGAAGATATTCTGTGAGATGCCCTTCTCAAAGGAAACTCTGCCTGTTATCCGAGCATGCAATAGTTACCAAATTTTCATCTATTTACCCACAATGCTTTGCTCTCCTTCAAAATGACTGAGACCTCCTCTCCCTCCCATCAATGATAGATTGAGACTATATATCCATTTCATGCAAAAACAGAACAGGCATGCTCGTTCAATTAGCCAGGCATCCTCCTCTCTATTTTCCATCTCCTACGACCCTTGTGAAGGTTCCGAAAACAACTCCATGCACAGTATATTTACGACATTACTAGCTTTTCCATGCGATGTCATTTTAATCAGTTTAATTTCCATGTGCCATCTAGCAGTCGCTCCATCCATGTCTCTCTAGCCACTCTGGAAGATGTGCAGTTCTTGCAAATGCCGCCATTTTATTAATTTTTTGTTTGAAATTCCATACTAACGTGCAGCCCGTGTTCCTGCATATTTCTCCATCTAATACCATCACTTTGTGTCTCATCTTGTGTCATATGAATGTGTGTCGTTTGACTGTGCCGATTGTGTGCAAATGTATGTTGTGAGTGGGTATTCTTGTCATGGTGAAGTCGGAAGTCGTTTCACTTGTTGGTGAACGTGCTGGGTTCGTTCTAAAGAGAGATGTCAGGAATGATTTGGTCGACTCAAAAGTGTCTAAATGTGAAAGCATTTCTTACCAGTAAGGATGTCCCATGTACTTTCATCTTCTTGTATTGTCAACTTGTCTTTGTTTTCCATGTGATCATTTTTGTTCTTTTAATGAAAGATACCCATTGGCTGCTGCATGCTTTAAAGCTTAGAGATAAAGAATAATTTTTAAAAAGGAGGCTTTCATAGAGTAGGCCCGCTAGAACCTTCCCTTAATTCTTAGAACAGTGCCTAGATTTCCTGACCCTTTGCTTAGAGGCTCTTTCTGTGCTAACTAAGAAATGTGCATGCATTGATCTTTCATGCATCAAGTCCTTCTCATTCTATGCACCTGCTTCAAATGCATCTACCTGTGAGTTTGCACCGGGCATGTTGTTGGCCCTGGCTCTTGGCTTGGGCCATGCAGGGCTGTCCACCACTGCCTGTGGCTTTATTCATATCTGGCTGGAGGGCTTAGACTTGCTACCCAGGCTGTTTGTCAGTTGATAGTGAAGTGACTTAATGTGATTAACACCACAGGAGCCTGGAAAACCAGCAGAGCACCAAGAAACAACCGGAGTGGAGACAACTAGATCTGAGGTAAGGATCTGATTGATACACGACTGTAAAAACCCAATACACACACACACACACCCACACACACACAGTGGAGGAGGCTGATTATTCTGAAGTATTCAGCAAAAATCTTTGAACATAGAGCTGGGAGGAGAAAAGTTTGACATCTTTTTCAATGTTTACCCATTGCATTCAAGTTTGTGCTGATTTGCAATGGGATTCTGAAAATCAATTTAAAAAAGAAGAAGATTCGTATTTGCTTTGAGATACAAAGGTATTTCAAATACTTGCATAGATTAGTCTTGACTTGGTGAATGTTAACCTTTTTTGTCCTGATATTTTATGCCTGTTATTCATGAATATACTGTGGTAACCCATTATTAAAGAGAATTCACTTCAATATCAATTTATGAATGACATATAATCTTATTTCATGCAAAATGAAAATGTGCTTGTGTGCTCCAGGAGAGTGATAAGCAATCGCAAACACCTTAACTTTTGTAAGTGGTCAGATGTACTTGTAGTCGTAGATGTATAACGTGAAATATTGCTTGTAGCCGACATGAAAGCTGAAATGTTACAGAATGGGCAGTACTAATAATAGATGAAACATTGGCACCTTTTATATCGAGTATGTGTAACTATGTGGTAAAGATTTTAAAAAGTAGTCGATGATGCACAGTATGCATGTAAAACTCACCTCATTCTTTCTGTAGACAATAACGAGGACAGTGACAACAGTAGAGCAGAAGATCATCACCCAGGAGAGCACCAAGATTGAGACCAAAGAAGACATTCCAGAAGAGCCATCAAAGGCATCTGAAGAATGCAAGGAAGCAGTGCTCGATTATGAAATGCGACCTGAAGCAAAGGCATCAGATGAACCAAAAGAACCTGAGCCAGTTGAGACATTTGAAACTAAGGTAAAAGAAACAGAAACATGGAAAGAGCCTGAGCCAGTTGAACTGACCCAGTCTCAGGTTGAACAGGACATTCCAGTGGAAGAGGACACTAGAGTTCCTCAAGATCTTGACCTCCGAAGCAAAGACCAAGACGTTTCACTAGAACGTTTGGTCCAGTCTCCCGAGCCTGTAGCTAGTCCAGATGCTGAGCAAAAGGAGGCTATCTATGATTATGAAGAACAAAGGGAAGTGACAGTGATAACACAGACGACCAAGATCGAAGAGAAGACAGTGAATGTAGTCAAAATTCAAGAGGAGAGGCAGGATGATGAGCCAACACAGGAACCCAAAGTGTCGGAGCCCATTACTGAACAGCAGGAATCCCCAGTGCGAACTCTTCAAGACTTTGATAAACCCATTGCAGTTCAGGAAGTTCAAGAGGAAGAAACAATTCTTGAGCCAACAACTGAGGACAGCATTGGGGAGGTTGTCAAGGATGAACCTAAGACAATTGAAGAGAAAGAACCTTCTGACGAACCTGTGATTGAGATGGATAAGGTAGAGGAAGTTAAAGAGGAAGTCGAAGAAGCTCCTGAGTCACCAACAAGGGAAACTCTTCCACAAGAGCATGAGACAGTCACGCATTACCAAGAGACAGTTACTACTGTGGTAACTACTACTGAAATCCGGGGACATGGAGGAGAAGAGGAAATTGATGGTGGTATGTTCAGTAGGCCAACTGTTCAAGAAGATACAGAAGAAACAAACATTCCTGGAGAACAAGTGAGAGAATATGTTTCCAATGTTGTTGATTCTGCCATCAGCCAGGAGCAGTCTCGTGCAGAAATTGTAGATCAAGCAAAAGATGAACCACCTGTTGACTCTGATTCGATCCCGGAAGTTCTACAAGTTGATGACTCTCAAACAAGTACGACGGTTTTAGAAAAGAAAACAGATGAAGTCGTATTCAAAGAGA